CATGGCCTATAGCCCTGACCCTCTCTATCACATTGCGTGATATGCTCATCGGTCTGTTCTTTGTGGTTTTGTTCGTTTCTACTTCATCATCTTTACCTCCGATCATTCCCCCTCCTCTGACTCTCTCATTCTCTCACCTCTACGTATACGATATTTTTAATTTGATATCACCTAGATACAGAGGAGAGTAATTACTGAAAGTTCGCAGCCAGTTTGTGCTGGCCGGCTCCTTCCTTCCTCCCAAACAACCCTTAGGAAGAGAGAACAGAAAGGAAGACTTGAGCTTAAACTCAAGAAGTGGATTAATGACTTACTAATAAAAGCGGCTACAATCTAAACAATTCATCACTCTTCTTATATTTATATACACTTCGTTGTTGTAACTACACGACTGGCAGCACCACGGTGAAGCCGATGTAGATGCAGTCATAGAAACTGACGCATCAACTTCGATGCACGTAGACTTAGGCTGCTAGTTTCAACCTAAAAAACAAAAAGCGACTCGAAAACTCAAGTTTCAACTACTACTACAACGTCCCCCTTATACCAAATGTTAACAACATCAACATCATACAGACTCCATAGGATAGGATGGGCTAGGATCGGATCGATACGATAGGATAAGATAGGTAGTTGCCTTTGCTACGTCCGCACACGAGGTGCCAACACAAGCGCAGGCGGAGCGCTCCAAGGAGGACGTGAAGGGGACGTGGTGATCCAGATGTACTTGTAGAACTTGTCTCCTTTTGAATAACGCAAAAAGACAAAGGGAAAATCTGAACCAGACTGGGCGCCTACAAATTCTACTACTAGGCGCCGCAACTACAACTACTACGACTACTACTACTTCTACTGAAGAACGCAACCACCAATATCGTCTATCGATGTTGCTCGCGAACGACGTTTTGATTTTTCAACTAAAAATCAACTCTAGAACAGATTGACTCTGCTCATCATGTATAATCATATTTATTCCCCACTTCTCATCGAAAACACTCTTGCTTCTCTTAAACGGCCTCCACATATACATTTGGTAACCATCTGCGCGAGACTAACAAAGTAATCTAAATTATACTAGTGTTGAGCAGGGCAAGAATTAATTTCATCATTTCGAATTCTAGTATCACTATAATAAATTAGTTATAAAAATGACTGGATAGGGAGAATATCGACCACCAATAATTCTGTTGGATGACGTGACCTTGACAAACTATATCAACTTCACAAACTCTCGATCTCCGTGCCCTCGCTCAAAAGCGACAACACATTTGATAGATATAGTCCAGGTAGAGATCGCCCTGTCATTCATCTGGGTAGAGACATCAGAGTCCTTCAAGGACTGCGCGAGCAGCTGCACGGAGTAGCACACAATAAGACTAGAAGTAAGATGGTGATGCCGAAGATGATGATCATGAACTACAAGAAGCACAACGAACTACTACTAGCTACAGTGAATGATATTAATTTACAATATCAATCATAAAAACTACCAAACCCTTGTACTGCAGAAGAAGTTGTGAAGACTGAAGACCACCACCAGCTAGCATTTTACGATAAAAAAATGAGCCAACCTTTTGTGAGGATATGTAAACCAAGAGCCATCAGACGCGTGTTGCAAGAACCCGCGCAGACGAAACCTTTAAGGTCAAACTCTTAGGCTCGGCTAAAAAATATTACTTCTACTTACAGGAAAAAAGACGAGTTGTAGTTTGTTAGGAAGGTCTTCTAATGTTGCCGGTAGAAGCAGTCGTCTTGCTTTTCATATAATTTGTATGTGTTTGGACTTGGGAGGAGATTACTTTATAAATTTCTATACGGACACATATTGCGATATGCGCTTCGATACTAGGTTTTTCTTCTCGAGTCGGTGACGCCTTGGTAGTTGCCGTCGTGGTATGAGTCCAGCACTGTTGCCTTCCTCGTCGAGTAAGTAATATTAAGAAAGGTACGAAGAGAGTACGAATTTTGGGCGAGAGACGATTGAAAAAAACGCAAATCAATGCAAAAAGCAGTATATATAAGCATTCCTGTGGTTACTAGGTGAGCAGGTGAGCCTGCGCGTGGGTCTAGCTCTGGGCCGCGGGAAATAATAGTACGATTTTTGAGACAAATAATACAGAGATTTTGAATGTTCGTTGTGGACATACACATAAACTTGTTCCTGGGATACTTGCTCTTAGAGATAGTCTTCGTTGTGGACATACCAGAGAGCTCCTGGGATGCTTGCTCTTAATTTCTACGGTACTTGGTCATCAGTAAACTCTCTGTCGTTTCCATTATTTTCTGTTGTTTTTTTCTGCTTAAAGGGACAAGGCGATATCCAAATATCTCTGTCATTTGACACACGCACGCATCATTCAAACGACTGACATGGCCCATGGTAGAGCGGGGCGTCCACACTCTTCCTCTTGTGCAAGGAAAGTCGAACGTACTAAGAAAAATCCAACCTGTGACCTCGGTGGGGCCATGTTATGTACAAGTTTTATCTTTTTTTAACGCAACAATGGTAAAACTACAACTGCAGACGGACCCACAATTAATTATAAAGTATACACATGTGCCCCTACGTCTACGCTTTTCATCATTATAAGAAGACACAAGCCGCGCCACACTACTAGGGGGATCACTCTAACCCTACAGCTATGCCCAGTCGGGCGAGCCTCACTAGTAGGGAGCCTCGTCAGCTTCAGGTTCAGAAAACACACTTACTTTTCATTTAAAAACACTGGCTCCAAATTTCACAAATCAACGAAGATGAAAAATCTTGCGAGTGCAGTATCTGTTTTCAGCATTCAACGCGATGAATTGGGGTGAAGTCAGAAACACAACAGCACTGCAAAAATGAGGCGACTACCACACTCAAGTAAGAAAAGAATTAGCTGCTACCATCTAGGCATCTTGCTCTTGTTTTCTTCAACGAAAATATTAGCCAATAGAAACCAGAAGAGCTCGAGTCGTCAACGAATAATATCTGTAGTACCACATCTTTTCTACTCAGAAACGGCGAAGCCTGGCCAATCAGGGAATTGATTCCTACTCTGATCAGGAAAACAAAAATAGAAAGATTGCACACACATTCGAGCGAATGGCTCTGATATGTCCCCCATTGGAATCTCGAATCTATTATGGCCCTGAACAAGAATTAGAAGCCGCCGGAGTATATCTAGTGCGTAGTAGTCAGTGACGCTCAAGAAGTTTATGTGAGATCTCTTGTTCTTAATTACAACGCCTCACGGAGAGGCTCGAATCCATAACTAATAGGAAGAATGGCCATGATGTTATGGTGCTTGCTTGTTCTTGAGGGTATTTCTATACACCAAATGCAATCTGCACACGCTGCGTTGTTGCCCCCTCTCCGACACGACAAACTATTGATTCTCTACTCAGTAAGTACGAAATGGTCCTCGTTTTTAGTAATTAAAGGGAAAAGCCATAGGCGGTCGGCTATTTTAGAAGAGTTGAAGAAGCATATCGAAGTCGGTGACAGATTCTAAATTGTAATCGAAGATTGATGCATCCACAAGGCCCTGGCAGGGTAAAGTAGCTGTAGAGTTGTCGAGACTGGCGCTCGGCGGGTCATACAGAGGCTTCGTATCGAACAGCTTGAAGCTGCGTGCGAGAGGGGAAAAAAAAGAGAGGTCTTCTACCTAGCTGCACTAGCTTGCTTTCTATCAAGGTGAAAAAATATTGGATCATAAGATTGCTGCAAATAACTACACAAGCACAACTGCATCTAGCTTTACGAGAGAAAATCTAAGTCACAAGCGTCGAAGTGATACATACGGACACATCTGAGCAAGAAGATGTTGTTAGGAGAGTAGTAGAAAGAGAAAGAGATTAAGGTACTTAATCGCTCAGTTTCGGCCAGCAAGTTTTTTGTCCTTGCTCTTCTACGTAAACTTTAGAAGGCCGCCCGATGCGACTCTAATATGTCTACTTTCGATCGGTGGGACTGGGGGAGCGTTTGAAGTATACTGATCTCAACTATTCGTATTCGTAGGCTGCCTTACTTGTGGTCCCAGCCTCGGATAGGACGAGGGAGACTACACAACGTATTCAACACGCTGACGCTTATAAAGGCTGCTACTGAACTTCTACTACACTTGACTACTTTGCATGGACGCCGCTTCTTGTTTTAGACCCTCCCTAAATCCATCTGAAAGTAAGCGCATCGCGGCACCTTTTCCCCATTAAAAGCGGTCCCAGGATGCTCTTGAACAAACCGAATTTGCGGGAGCCCCAATTTTGGTTGATAAGGAAGCAGGAAAGTTCGCTTTGTCTATCTTCTCGATTTCGCTAGCACCGACGAGGACAATGGACGGCGATGATGAAAATGCAGCTCGAAGAAAATTGCTGATCTTCCTCCACCATAACGACCTCCTGGTCCTGGTTCAAAATATCCGATACTTTTGTTTTTCTACTAGAAGAAGTGACAATCCTCGTCCTTCGTAGAGCTAGAACTGCTGGTCGTTCATGCCTATCATCGAAGCACCCGCATAGCCATGACTTGCCTCGGTCTTTTTACCTCCCTCCTGTGCAGAATCACGAGAACGGTAGCCTCATCTTACGACCTTCATGGTGAAGGTGAAGATCAGCGTACTTATCTGCCGTAGATTCTTCTTTCTTGATAATTCGTCTCACCCCCCACACCTTTGGTGCACTAATTCGACACCCTCTTTAACTATTTCGTCATCATCCAACATCGACTACTACAACCTAGTTGTACTCACACATGACACAACCACGGCCAGCACCTTGCTAACAAAGATGAATCAATTACCAAATCAAGGAGCTGCGACGTCAGTCCTGTTCGAAATAGACAAGGGATGAAAAAAGATGTTGATCATGAACCCACACCTCATCGGTCTCGGTGCGCTGGAACAACGGTTGGATCTTTCTTTGAGCTCTAGAATAGAAGCGCGAGTCTGAACACTTCCTCACCTTTGCTTATTTGCCTTGTTTCGGTTTCTTGGTGTTGGTGTTATGCCTGATCGATGTAGGTATAATTACGCTATTATACCCGTACTGCTCAAGCACAAGCAATCTAAGCCTCTTCACTTGCTCAACACTCAAGCGATCACGTAACACTCGTCTGCCTTCTTTGATGAGACCCATGGTTCAGGTAGCTGGCTTTAAGGGAAATATCCTCTCTCTCATTTGTCATCAACAACCATGAAATTCATTCGGGACCTGCTTGACACTCCCTTGACACCATTGTCCTTGCGGCTTCTTCCATTTGGCCATAGGCATAGTACTGGTAGTCTTCGTTCATCTTTGATGTGGCCTCTGGTGACGTAGCGCTAGATTCTAAGCCCAACTCACGTCATTTGACAAAATGCTCGCCTCGGGCGCGAGATCGAGTCCCTCATCACATGAGCAGGAACAGCGGCTTCGATCACCACAGATGAACACGACAGCGTACATCTTCAATCAACAAAATCTATTCTATCTATCTTCATGTCAATCCATATCCTCAAGTATGCTAATATATCTTGAAACCGAAGTGGGGGTTCGTCTAACCGTATGAACATCTTCAAGAATCGTCAGTGTTCTTCTCGCGGCGTCCTTTGCCCACTTGGAAGTAATCGTAATTGATGGTAGATTCTTCATCTTCGTGGTCAGAAGCAAGCTGCTTCAAGTCCAACTACGGGGGTTGCGGTCGCTTGCACTCAAATCATCTTCATCGACAATTATGGTTAGGCTTGTTGACGCGGGTGCGGCTGTTGACTCGCACTCGGTTTGTATGGTAAAAATGTTGAGCGTGTTGTGTGTAGTTCTATTGTCTGCGCCGGTTTTTTATCTTCACCCTATGTGTCAACTCTCTACCTTAGGTACTAATTCCGGGAAGTCGTAGGCCCAATCCGAATCGACTAACTCTAACATCATCATCGGGTACTAATAGCCAGTGTTTGATGTTTTCCAAAATTGCCGGAAAAGATGCCGCGCACGCAGGAATTTGATTACTTCGTAGTTGTAGTAGTCTTGTGGGTGTGATCTCTATTCAATAGCCTGTAAGTGCGACGGGTACTCATGCGGTGATATCATTATCGCATGCAATCACATCTTCAATAGCATTTATTTATAGTTGTGAATATAGTTGCGTTGAATGAACATCAACAATGATCATCATGTGATGATACTCCTTGACATTACAAGTACAACATGGCGTTTAGGGTCCTAGCTAGGACAACATTCTCAGTCATGTAGATGAAAGAAACTATGAATGTGGTTGGATATTCCATCGTGTTCTTTAGGAGGAATCACGAGCTCAACTGACCCCTTAACCCTATCGCCTCATTGATTTGAAATTTGTGGCAAGACTTCCGCGCTCGGTTCCACCGCCTACACCGAAGACGGCGTCGATGTGCTTCCTGCCGTGTCCAGCGCCAACCATAGTGTCGTTCTTGTGTTTTCCGTTATCATAAACCCCCACACAGTCAGCGTGGTCCTTCATCCAATTTTTTTCCTCTCTGCCATCGGCACCCAACCGCCTGCAAGTGTGAAGGGAAACAGAAATAACTATGCGAAAATGCATCAGATCCATCGGACAGAGAAAAGAGAGGGAGGCAACCTCACGACCATGATCAACAAAAAGAGTTGACTTCCTTGATCTTATTGTCCAGGGATGATTTGCTTTAAATTTCAGATTTCAGGGGGCTTCGCTTTTTGGCCAGTTTTTTTTGTTTGTATCCCGGCGCTACTGAAGGAGCGGCCTCAGCTTTATCCGGTTCGCAAACCGGCGGCAGGTGGAGTCCGGTTACCTCCTTATAATACTGTGCACTAATTGCCTACGAACCTGCCGATTATAAAAGACATAGGACGCTATGTGCGTCGGCCTCAAGTTGAATCTTCCCTGACGATCACTCTCCATCATGAGCATGATCATCTGTAGCATGGTCAATATCAGTGAGGCAATCAACTAAGTATATGCGGCCGCCTAACGAGCGGCGGCGCTGGATAACGGAGGAACAAACAGACCCAGGGCCAACTCTGGACTGTGCGAGCACGACTGCGCTCCCGCTGACCTAGCCCACAAAAGATCATCCATAGCAAAAGGCCAGAGGCTAGTCACCCAACATGGTCGATTACGAGGAACCTCAAGCGGAAATGGGCTGCGACTGTCTTTGGACTCTGCCCGCTTTGCTTACGCTGTTTCGGGCTAATGAAGGGTGAGCCCTCAGTGAGTCAATCAATAACAGAGCAATTTGCAAGGTTTCACGGCTCGCATGGCATGGAGTGCATGGATCACATGGAGTAGCATGGAGCTAAAGGGGGAGCTTCTTGCGCCCCTTAAAGCTCTGCGCTCCATGCACTCCATGCGCCATGCGTGCTATAAACTACTCTGCAATAATATGCGGCCGTCTAACGAGCGGCGGTGCTGGATAACGGAGGAACAAACAGACCCAGGGCCAACTCTGGACTGTGCGAGCACGACTGTGTTCCCGCTCAGTGAGTCAATCAATCAAGGTGCCTCCATAGGGCACAAACCTCCTCGCAGCTGCGACTGCCGCACCTCTACGTCCGTGGTCAATAAAAAAACAAATTATATTGGTGAACATGTACTTTTTGTGAGGCCCAACGACGCGATCGTCCCATGGTGAATCCCAGGTCATATCCTCTCCGGTTCGGTGAGACTTCTGTGACACGCGATCGCCTATTACCATATCCCCCATTACAACACCCGCGCTGGGCCTTGGCGCATGATACCGCTTTCGCTGCTCGTAGGACGTAGTCTTCCCACCAAAACCCGGATTTTGGTCGGTCTCCAGGAATCGCTGGAAGACAAGAAAAATGATAATTTTCCATCTGTCATCAACACGTGATACAACCATGAGCGACTTAAAGAGAACCATTTACCATAGCCAGTCCAACTTGCGCGCGATCCTAAACCCAGCACTTAGGAACGACAACGACACAGCCCTGTACTCGGCTCTTCGTGCTGCCCTGACAGGACTCGGACCAGCGGGCAGACTAGAGCTGAGATTTACCCGCGGGCACTCAGGCGTCATCGGCAACGAGATCGCTGACCAGCTAGCCGGAATAGCAAGCTCTTCGGACTTCCCCGCCGAGACGGGACAGGCGATCGGCCACAGGCAGTACCGCACGGAGGCCGCGAGGGTACTTCGCGTAGCCAAGTCGCGCCAGATAAGCGGAGCAGCACGCACAGGGAGCAAGACGGCCAAGACCGTAACAGACACAGGCAGCTGCGGCAAGGACCTCCTGCGAGGCGTAACGTGCTCGCGGGAAGACGAGCGGCGATACTATGCCTTCAGGCTGGGACGTTTGGCGAGCGGAGTCACCGGGGAGGACGTTGGCTGCCCGTTTTGCCCTGGCCTTGCGGCAAGCACGCAGCACCTACTAGAGTGCCCTGCGCTCCAGGCTCTAGTAGAGGCCCACGGAGTTCTGGCGAATGTTGGGGTGGCTGCGTCGAACCCGAAGCGGCTAATCCCATACCTTCGCGACTTAGCGACCAGCTTCGGCGGTGCGTTCTTGCGAGCGCAGCCGCCACACCTCCAGTGAAGACAAGGGGAAACGAGTAGCGGCCGCTGTGGTAAACCCATCGCTGCCCGCTACGATAGGACGGGGGCCGAGATAGGTGGTGGCGAACAAAGAACGAGCAGGGAGGAGACAAGAAAGGAAGCACGCGAAGACAAAAAAGAACGAAGACAAAACGAGAACGCGAAGAACAGTGCACGCAGGCCGCAAGAACGTCAACCAAACCCGGACGCGCCTCGCCGCCAGGTGCTACCTACGCGCAGTCGCCGCCGCCTGCAGCACGCCGCGCCTGGCATGCCACAAAAGCCGCAGCTGGCGGGGACTGTGGCGACCTGACATGAAACCATAGTCGATCGCAATGACGACCATAGCACTACATACACAGAGCACAAAGAAATCCGGCGGGATCGTACGCGTCGCCCGGAGCGCATCAAAACAAACAAACAACCATTTACTAGTTGAACAACGTACTCCTAAAATTTTGATTGACCACAAACTACCAGAAGATGAACACAGAAAATGAACAGGAGGAGGTGCAGTAGTAGTAATCAAAATATTCTATCAAATTTTCACGAGCACACGACCTATAATTCACCCAATCCCGGTTGTGCAAATAAGTAATGAGATGAAGTACTTAAGTAATACGCCTCTTACTAAAAAATAAGCTGTACTTGGAGCAAAAAAAAATGTAGGAGTGAAAATACTGCGGCTATAAGGTTCTCTGGCGCGTCTTTCTCGAGCACGCATCCATTGAAATGGCTTGCGCTATGATTTAAAGCTAGTTAAAGCATCCTCTATTCTAAACCCGTCCTCTTTGATTTTTCCTCACGACAAGATGCATGGGTTTGCAGCTCCTGAGGGATAACTCTATTACCATCCATATAATTCGTAGTATCAGGTACTACAACCAAAAGGCTAGACAAGATGCATTTATCTCTGGAGACCGTAATCTGAGAGCCTGATCCGCTTTCTTGTTTGATGGTGAGGCTTCCCTTTGTGATGGCCTACCTGCTCCTCCCAACGCTGCCGGGCTTCGCGGAGATCTGGTAGTAGTTAGTGAGATGTAATGACGAGCGTTAAACTGGATGCATGAAGATAGATTACCTTTACCACTACCTGCTCCTCTACTATGAAGATGAATACAAACTTATTCTTACACTTAGCTTGTTCTACCCGATGCATTATCAATATATGTATACGTTCCAGGGCGCGGGGCGACGGTACCCCCCCCCGCCGTGCGCCCTGGGCCCCTTTTGAAGACGGGTGCCGGGGGTGGAAGGCCTCAAAAGAGGGCCCAGTGACCTCCCCCCTCCGCTCCCTTCCAGCTGCCTGGCTGTCCCCTAGGGGCCTCCGATGATGGTAGGAGGCTTCAAAAGGGGCCCAAGGGACCGCCTGCGCCCCCGCCCAGGTGCCTGCCTGTGCCCTGAGTGCATCCGTTAGGTTTCGCCGCCGCAGCAGTGCGCCGGCAGCGGAAGGCCTCCGCAGGCGGCAAAAGGCGAGGGGCTGGACCCCCGGAGCTGCGCAGCCTGTACCCTCCGGGCCCTTGGTCATCGGCTTGCTTGCTCTTGCGACCGTGGCCGCCTTCGGCTGCTCTGTACCCCGGAGGCCTCCCGCCTGCGAGGGTCAGCAGAGGCCAGGAGGCCCCTCAGGAACACGCTGAGAGGCCCAAGGGGAGGCCCGCGCCAAGCTTTGACGCCGTCCACCACTGGAATCCGCGAAAAATCCGCGCGGAAAAGCGCGCGCGCGCGCCACCACAGACCAGTAGACCACAGGGGGCGCACCGTCCGGCCCTGAATCATATATTATCATTAGCACCGCTGTTAATCTTATTTTATTATGCAACTGCAGCATATTTTCAGAAGAACAGAAAGATAGATCAAGATATCATTACCGCCAGGAGTTAGATAGTATAAAAACGGAAAGCTCCTGTAGCTGTACTAGTCCAAGAACTGAATCTGAAGTTGTACATTGTGCCAGGTGGATCCTCGGTATGCGGAGGATCCACGTGCTTCTTAGAACCACCGTGAAGACATCTTGCGAATCCGTCCCGATATCGCGTGTCTTCGAAATGACCGTATTTCCTATTCTCGACCTCCTGTACATCAAGACCGTAGGCACCTGTGCAAGTGGGCAGTCTTTTCAAATAGGAAGATAGAGGCGCAGTTGCATATTTAGTTGGATGATTCTTGTTTTTCCTTCATCTTATGTAATCTAGTAAGTTAGTTGGTTCTAGTACGTGAATACGTGGTTTTTGCTTTTCGTGGCACCACAAGAACGGGAATCGGAATGGGAATCTTTCCTCCTCAAGTACGTAGAAGTAGTAACACCTTCCTATGTATATTAAATCTTATTGTATTATTCTACCATCGACATAGGAGTCACTGGTCCGTGATTGTCGCGGACTTCTAGCTTTGTCTGTGCTCGACGAGGATGATGACGGTGCGGCCGCAAGGACATTCTGAGTTGGCACCGCGAGTTCTGCTTTCACCATTTGCTCTGGTGCGCCAAAGGACCGTAGAGCTTTAGCTATATTCAATGCTGTTGCTGGAATTTGCTTACTCGCAAGGGAGACATGAACCTGCTTGACCAGAATAAACCGAATCAAATCTTCGGAGTGGCGGCTTCGCGGTTGGTTGTGCATTAGAAGACACAGGCGAGCGTCTTCCTCTGTCAGTGTGCAGCATCTAGATTCTAGATGCTCGATCCTTCACAATACTTGAAAAAATTTTCTATCAAAATCAAAGAAAAACCAGCAGTTCCTTCTAGCCTTAATTGTGAACCAAAGCCTGCATTTTGTAGGCCCTCTGTCAATATCTGGATGCGTTTCCACAAGATGTTCGTCCCTAGCGGCTCTAGCTGCTCATAGCTCCAAAATTCAAATGAAACGCCGTTCATCTGGTGAAGGTGATGTTCAAGTTGAGATTCACAACTTAAGTTAATGTCGGCACCTTATGGGAGGCTCAGTATAATTATAATAGAATAATTTATAGGGGTGGCAGATCCACCACGATGGGATGGATCGGATGGATCGGATGGAACGGATGGACTTCCCTGCATTTCAAGTAGGATCGGAAGACTTACGCGGGTCCATCCGATCCATCCAAGTCCATCCTACATCCGTTCTATAAACTACGCTCTATCCGGAGCAGCGCGTTCTCCATCACTAAAAAGATGATTCACGCGAGAAGGTGGACGAGATTCTACGCTGTCTTAGTCTTTTATTAATCCTACACTGACCTGGTACCTTGACTCGGTGAAGCGGTATGGGTTCGGCCGATGAGAAGTAGGGGAAGGCCGCCTCCGGTGGAACAGCCGCCTGCGCTGCTGCAGCAGGTTCCTCCGCATACCGACGAACCCCGCCGGTCAAGCTCCTCGGAAAAGATGACATGATGCTTGTTCTTGGCCACTAATTGATTCACTACGGAAGACGCAGCACAATCTTATTATATATTTATATCTCCATAGAAAAACGTTCAGGTTCATTATTAAAGCACTTCCGTCGAGTTGCAGTTGGTAAAGTCTCTCTCTGATGCGACGCAACTTTTGTGATTGTAGAGGCCATCTACTGAAGTCTAGAAGGTTCTTCAATTTTGGTTGTTTGTGCATTTTTCTTTTGTATTTTTTCCTCGACAAAAATCCTCCGAAATTTTCTTGTTCGCTAGACCGATCCTGAAAGCCAAAGAATGAATCGCTCAAGCATCCTCGCTATCGCTGTTGTTTTGCTTTCATCGACATTGCCTTTGAAAAGTTGACTTTTTTGTGTACGTAGGCCATTCATTACAGAGACAAAGAGAGACCCCCTAGCCATAACCATTGCTCAGCGCAGCACGCTAAGAAGAGAATTATAATGGCACCTCCTGGAGGAGTGCTAGTTTGTAATACACACGGCAGAGCATGTCATCTTGCGCGTCGCGAACGCGGCCAAGGAAAAGGTCTAGGGTAGACAATGAGAATAGAGGCTTATTCGTTCTGGGTTTGGTTGCTCAAAAGATAAAAAGTCAAGCTCAAAGAGCCTGTTTATGCTGCTATGTCAGAAAATCAGCACATTCTCGAAGAATAGCGTCGGTATCAAATCCGAGGAGCAACCGTTCGTTGAGTTTCGATATCGATACCGTTTTTTCGGCAGTCCTTAGTGGCACACAGGCACGGTCTTCACTGCTGAGCGAGGGCGGTCCACTCGATGCACAATGCAAGACAAGTGTGCGTACACTCATCGTCTCTTGTTCTGCTTTTTTTCCATCAGAATCTTCACCCGCACCTTGTTTATCGATAGTAGTGGAGGTTCCTGCCTTTTCCTCACGCTCTCTATCCAGCTCTCGCGCGAGACGGACCAATAGCCAAGGTGCAACAAGCGCGCACATATGGTGACGTGGTATCCACTCCTGCGTTTCAAACCAACTGATGTGTGTCAGAAAGTCGTCATCTGCTAGAGGAGAGAGGACGCTCCCCAAGACTGCGCGCAAACTCCAACGCAACGGAAAAGATGCCAGTGAAAACAGAGAGCTTCTTCTAGCAGAACTCGGCAGAAGAAGCGGTTTATGATCCACGCTGATCTTAGGGGCCTTCTTCGAAGAAGTTGCACTGCTGCCCTCCGTTTTTGAGCCTCCTTCTGGTTGTGACGCCTTTGTTGAATCGTGACTGGTCGACGCCGCCGGCGCAAAAGTGTGGTCATTTCGGTTTTTTTCGTTCTGCAGTGTGCCGTCTTTGGACGCATCTGACCTAGCAGATGAATACCAGCATTGGGACACCGCCAGACATCGCAGACAAAGCTCAACTGCTTTTTCAACCAGGTCTATCTCCTGTCGTCGTTTCAATCGTTTCGATGTCTTCGAAAAACTCATATTTTTCTTTTTTTCGTCTGCTTTCTTGCCACTAGATGTGCCTGCAGCTTCGCCACCTTCTGCATCTTTATCATATTGTGAATTGTAGTACCCCACATCTGCGGGCCACCATGGGACAAAGAAAGCAACCAGTGGTGCGAAATAGTAAAGACGATCACGCAGAGAATGCGTGTGAACCATCTGCAAGAGCAGCCGTAGTTCCTGCGTTCTCGAGCACAAGGTACCAAAATCGGTGATCTGCTTGCCAGAATCGCCGAAGCCGCTAGCGAAGAGTCCCGATTGCGGTAGAAGCTTTTCGCGGATATGAGGTGTAATGCGGTCGGTCAAAAGCGCACGGTACTCGACGCTTGGTTGCAAGAGAATGCAAGAGGTAGAAGCTAAATGACATGCCAACTCTCGCCTGCTTAATTTTGTTTCACTAGTAGATGAAGTTGTCGTAGTGCTAGTGCTGGAAGGTGAATATGTCTTGTACCTTGTGCTTGCGGAAAACAGAAAGTCCTTTGAGTATGTTGGGCTTCCGCTTTTGTCGTGGTTGCCCTGATTGAACATCTGTTCAAGGTATTTGACGACGATGCTGCAGATCGAAGCACCGAGGCCCCATCCGACTAGCACAAGGTCCACGTTCAATGACAGCTGCTGCGTCGACGATGCAACCTCATTACTTTTCTGCGATTCAACATCTTCCTTGCTCAAGAGATCGCTCCCCAGCCCCGATATCTCCCGTCTTATTGCGACAACCACATCTTCAATAAAATCCGACGCAGTTGCGCAGTGAAGCGCGGTTTCGCTGCCTGCAAAACCGTGATACCGTAATCGAACGGAAGTGCATCTCTCCGCTGCTATCGCATTTCCTAGCTTCTGGCAAAAACCTCGTCCAGCATCTCCTGCGTGTCCACGCCAGTTTGGAACGTAGAGGACTATTTTCGCAGACCTACTTCTGATTTCTATGGTAGTTGGAGGAGGTTTAGTGGCGCCTGCTCCTACAGTCGTGGAACCAGTAGACGACTCTTCTGAAGACCTAGGTTCAACGTCACTGGACGATTGTGCTGCCTGTTCCCGACGTTTTCGTAGTGTTACGATGTCTTGATCACCTGAACCAACTACGGCCGGGCTCCCTCGGCTCTTCGTATTATTCAAAACCGCAGAGCTCGAGTTTCCACCGTCTTCTGACCCAGCCGCAAGAAGCGGTAGAGCTCCGTCAAAGCACGTTTGTGCCTGAATTGTCTTTACTCGCGCTGCGAAGGCCGTTTCGTCTTCGGTTTTTAACACCTTCCGGATCACCTCACCGAGATGCACCTAGCAGAGAAGGTGAAGGGCTGGACAAAGTGAAAGTGTTGACTTCAAAGAAAACAAAAACCAATTATGAGCAACTATTTCTTTGTAGCTAGCTGCAAGACTCATCCCAAAAATAGGTAAGGGGAACCTTGAATTCTTTATATCGCCGTCTTGTTAGCAGCGTCGACGCCACCAGTCCGACCAGGAGGCAGCCCACTAAGACAAGGAGCGGTATTACGCCAACGTGCTGCATCCACAGGCTAATGCCCTTTGCTGTCAGACGTACTAGCATCTCGAAGAACCAGGCTCCCGTATGGAAAGTCCAAACAAGCAATTTCAAGACTGCGCGCACCGTTTCATACAATTGCAATAAAAAGGCAACGACGGACCCGTACACGTGTGCAGCACTGTCGTAAAAATAGCGCGGCACGTCGGTCGTGAAAAAAAGAGGCAAATCCACCATGACGAAATCCATAGCCGTGGTCTGGAGCGTTGCGATGTCCGGTATTTTTGGAACGTGGGAGAGAAGGTATTGAAGCACTCGGCTCCCATACTGTTCCACGCCGAGTGCGGAGAGCACAGATGCAAACGCTCCAGCAGCATCCCCGCTCCCATCAGCCATAGCTGCAGACGAAGAGAACGCACCTGCGTCCGCAACAATTGTTGCACTAGCGCTCATTTCCAGCGTGATCCTTTCTTGATGTGGACGTCTGTGCAGGATCCTTTCAGGGAACGCCTCAACTTGGGAACAATTTTCTCGTAGACGTGCATCGCGACTCTAACTCGGTCAAGATCGAAAATTGTTGATCCGATTATCGAGAAAATCACCTGTAACACTTTCCATGCTGCTAGAGCGCGCCCATGGCGTGGCCAGTCATGATTTTTATTTTCTTTGGTGTAATAAATTCTGCGCTAGTGCTTCTGTGACGACATTACGTGAAAAAATTAGAAATTATACATAGGATGCGTTTGGACAAGTGACATCGTCTTTCATGTTGACTGCGACTGCGTATCACCTCAACTATTAACAACTGCAGATGCAGCAAAGCGGCGTGGGAGGAAACAGCCGAAGGCCCTTGGTCCTCCTGCCGATCACTCGTTGTCGACGATCGCAATCTTACTAGTCTAGATTTGAATCGTAGACGTATCCAGTCTTGCGAATCGTCGTGTGTGCTGCTACTGCCGAACCGTGCCCAGTCAACGCGCTTGCCATAAATTCTCCTCCTTCTACCGCTATGGTCTACAGCGTGCTGCGAATGCAGCACTTTCTTTGCGCTCCTGATGTCCTCCGTCTTGCACGTGGCGCCTCTGTCGACGCTGCTCGGATTGCTTCGGCACTGTTAGGAGCACCGCCCGCAAGAGCTGCGTCGCTACGTAACATTTCCATGCTTTCCTACTTACACCGGGCATCGATCATGAAGAAAGATAACTGATGTTTTTCGGCGCTCCAAACCGTCGATCTACCAACTCTAGTTGTTGCATCCACCTACTTCTATGATGGTTCCGGCAAATTTCCCTCCATCTGGTCTCGGTAGTAGGGGTAAGGCATGTGGTTTGAGTACTCTCGCGAATCCAACTCTGTGTTCCAAAAGCGGCCTGTGTGTCGCGGAAATCCGAGCTTCTTCGCAAAGAGCTGCTCCATGATCGCGCGATACGGACTGCAATCATAATCCTGCGAGTGCCACGAAACCCAGCACAAGTGGTCTAAGAGTGTTCGGTGCATACTCTCCACCACGTCTGGATGCTGCATCAGCAAGTCCTCCAGGTACTGCACTAGCCTTGTGTCCACAGATCGCATGGGCCACTTTATTGTGAAGTCTTTCCAAGGCACCCGGTCGGGGAAGGGAAGTCCCATGTCGTCGCTGAGTATCACAGGAATGCAGCCGAGGAACATGATCTCGAAAAACCTAGTCGTGGTGAAGTGTATTAGAGGACGAAAGCGATCGAAGAAGTGAACAAGACTATCTACTTTTTAAGTTCAACAAGGTTTACCTAGAAGAGATCTTGAGCGAGAGTGAAGTTCACTTCGTTCTTTGGAATGATCGCAGAGAAACAGAAAAATCATGGTGCTCGCTTGTCAGAGAAATCCGCTAAAGGGTTTACGTCACTCGTAACCCGGAGGCTACGTCGACGAGTGTGTAACAACTGGATATGTCTCATCATTGCGAACACGAAATCTTTTGGTTCATTCATCAGTGATCTTGCTCTACTAGGATCTTTTGGAAATATTGACGAGGTACCTCTATCTGTTTTTACTGTCTTTCTGAACAGAAGTACCTGTTCGACCAGTAGCCTAGGCCCTTTGGAACGAGACAGAAGACACATGTGCCCATCCGTTCAAAGTAGTCCATGATAATTGGAATGCGCCGGCCAACTGACGTTCCTGGAATGCCTGCCAGCCGGTCTTGGATGTCGTTCCGAGCCGTCGCGTTGGCATATGGGTTTTAGAAAAAGAACAAAGGCAGGAGCTGCGATCTTTACGGGAAACATTTTCTTTGTAGTACATGATGATGATTTTTATTACCGGACAGTGGCACTAAAGCAGAATTTTTCTATCTCTACATGCTTCTAGGAAGACACCACCTCCACGAGCAGATAATCTAGTATGGATGTTGATATCTCCTTCATGCCATAATTGTAGAGCGAAATTTCGTCGGAGTCCGCTCCATGGTAACAGACGAGGTTGGTGCGCTCTTGGTACGGTTTCGCTTTAAGCATCATCTTATCGATGGACCATTTCTCCACGAAACCCGGGATTAAAACGTCTTTCCAAGGAGAAAAGCACCAATTACAGTGATAGCAGCTTTTTCCGTACTCCTCTGCGTTGTCCTCGTTCACGTAACCGAAATCCTTCGTGCATTGGTCTTAGAGCACCAGGAACTGGGCTGTAGCTCATAAGAAAGATGATGTCTTCTTGGCGTTCCCGCTCATAAGCAGCTTCAACACCGGGATCGATAGAAGAAGTTACAAGAAGTCAAAACCTGAAGGCCACGCTTAAAAACAAGGTGTTCTACTCCTATGCTTACTGCGTATTCACTTCCCTGCATGGAATCATAATCAATCGGCGTCTTCTCCACGGAGATGAAGATGCTTCGAAGGATGTACTTTTTCCATTTCGGAAAGTCGAGGCATTCGGAACTGAAAACGAAGATGAAATCGCGGCCGTCATTGCGCTCAAAGTACCACTTGGCGTCGCCGGTCGTCAACGTAGAGATGTAGAACTCGTTCAGATCGTCTATGTTTTTGTCGAATTTGGTCTGAATGCAGCTCGGGTATATCGGAACGAAGAAAAAATCTGCCTCGTCCGGGTCCGTCGTGCGGTAGGGCGAATACATGAGCCAGCGATGAAAAGTGACCTCGGTCGCAAACATACCCTGGCTGCACAGCAGCGGACGCTGTGTCCACTCGTGGAATTTATGGAACTCCCAGATGTAGATCTTGACGTCGAACAAATTTGGCAGAGGCTGCTGGAAAAAGTGAGGATGTTGCAGCTCGTTGATCATGCGTGCCGACAACTGCCTGAAACCCTGGCTCGTGAACTCATTGACAAACTTGTCTGACCCATTCCATCGCAAGAACGGAGCGACATCAGTATCCTCCACTGGCAACTTGAAATCTACGCGCGTCTTGAGATTACTTGCGTCGGAGAGGGATAGCAGTCCCGCACGCGGGGTCAGGTCGTTGGCGCTGAACGGTTGCTGTTGCGCTTGCAGTACCGGAGTAAAGAGAAGATCTTCTGGGCCACCCCCTCCTGCAGCGTTCTCAACTGGCTCTACCAAATAGGCGCCCTGAAGACTTCCAGGTGGCAGTAGACTTTGCTGCTGCTCATCATCGAAAAACTCGGCAGCCGTCGCTTCGTCACTCTTTGCTGCTTGTCCTTCAGAAGGATCAGCTTCTCCAGCAGGAGTCTGACTAGGCCACAATCCCAGTAGCATCGGATAACTCTCACTCTGGTGGGTGCGCATGAACCACCCGAGTTTATCAGGAGAGAAGGGGCTTGCTTCAATACGTCGCAGTTCATCATTGAGATGACTGTTGGCACCTGTTTCTGTCTTCTCGGCAAGAGTTTCCACGCTTTTACCCCCCTCAGACTTGGCTAGCTCTTCGAACAGAGCATAGTACTTGACCAAAACCGCACGATCATGCCCCACCGTTTGCTCCATCTGCTCCAGAGAGAGCAAGATGAGAAAGGCCAATCCATAGACGCAATCTTCCCTTGCGCCGGCTAGCCACTCTTCCGAAAATCCGAAACGGAGAAACTCATTTACGAGCGTCTGCTTCGCCTCTCTTGGTATGTGCGCCACTTGGTAGACGTTGCTCACCTTCTTCACGTACTGCCAGTAATCCTGGAGCGGGCCCTCGCACTTATGCCGTCGCGGCAATTCCGAAACCTCGGCCGAAGCCGCTAGACCCGCATTCACTTCATCGATAAGCTGGTTCGGGTTGTTACCACTCTGAAGGGACTTGCGGCCCTCACCCGCGTAATCATGCACAGGCTGTGGCTCGGTGGCGGGAATCGGGCCGCCGAAAATTGTTATGGAACCGAGAATCATCGACAAGACGACGCCTCGATTTGATGGAGAGCAACGCATCACTGAAACTGGCGCCATTCTTTTATAAACTCGGTTCTACCCAGTCAGGCCGTTGAAAGCGGAACAAAGTTCATCTGTCAAAATTAGAATCTAGAAACGAGGTGTAATTCCTATAGAGCCGATGACATACGGAAGAGGACGACAGCTCTCTTATAGAAGCGTGCTTTAGCTGGAATAAGAGATCTCTCAGACTGCTCAATTGTTGCATTGTGACATACTCAGCCAGCCACTGTCATGATCATGTAGCCTCTAACACCTTTTCCACTAGTCTCTCTGGTGAAAAATTCAAAAACCGGTTTCTGTTGCTCCTTCTACCGAATAATCAACCGACATTAGCCGCACCCACGAGCTTGAGTAGCGAATGCCGCATGGTTAGAAAACTTGAACACCGCACTATCATGCTACATTTTTCTCGGCGTACGAGACGCGAGACGCAGTGAACTTTCTAAATCTTGCCTCCTCGAATCTCCTGGGTGAACCTTACACCATTTCGTCTTTTCAATTCTGCATCTCAACTTCATCGAAAAGCGCCATGGTGATTTCACGAGCGCTCCCGACTGCAGTCAACCTTCTGCGAGATTGCCACGCCTCTTGGAGGTGATATTCCCCAAGTAAATGTGACATGTACTCATTTCTGAAGACCACAGCCGCCTAACGCCACTGCCGGGATAATTTTGAAAAGCCGTTCACGCATGCTTCTTAGACAAATATCTCTATCCACACGAGCAACCTGCTTACTCTTCGGCCGGGGCAGCTTCCTTCTGGGCCTCGCCGTCATATCCCTCACGGCCCTTGCTGGAAGTCCAGCCGCCACCCTTCTTACCTTCGAAAATGCATTGAGAATGAGTGGTCAACAGTGAGACTTCTTCCTAAATGGAAAAGGAGATCGCTGAACAGGTAACAATTTTCTTCGTCTTAAGAAGGTTCTACTTGGCTAAACTTGATTCACTAACACCGTCAATGAAAGTGTGTGGCCGATTGCGAAAGACTATCGACTCTTGTTACCTTTGCCCTTTCCTTTTCCCTTGCCCTTTCCCTTGGGTCGGTCCTCGTCGTCGTAACGCTGGGCACCGGGGCGGTTCTGGCGGGTCTGCTTGGTAAGCGTGTTCGGCATAATGGTGCTCGGCAAGTGGAGCACCTCACGCAAGTGAGAGATACCCTCGTCATTCAGGAAGTAGTAGTACCTGAGAAAAAAGAAATGTTGGCTCGCTAGACAGAAATTTTAAAACGGCAAAGAATCCACCAATTGTGTTCTGATCCTAGGCTTGCTCGTGTTCAGACTCAAGAATTTCCTACCAAAAAGTCAAAATTTTTCTGAATCACCAGAGATTTCGTGGTGCTTTGCTAGCGCTTGAAACCTAAATTGTAACGAGACAAACCAAAACGAGAAGTCTAAGTCCTTACCACTGCCAGTTGAACTTCTGCTTGACGAATCCACGAGAGTTAAGGGACTTCATGAGCATCATAACGTGCAGGTTTGGCACGTCAATGTGCTCGTGCTTCGGCTTCATACCGTTCTTCTCCACGGTGAGCACACCCTCCTTGAAGAGGTGCTCCAAAATGAGCTTGCGGTTCTTGCGGCTGATGAGCACCATTTTTTTGGAGATTAGGAGAGAAACACAACGAAGTGTTCTAAATTAGTTGTCCCTGTTGGTTTTCGGGGCGAAAAGATAATAGATTAATGGAGTTGGATAGTAGGGATAGCAATGTAGAATTCAGAGTTAAAGTTTCTGCTTAGTTGAGCTTAGAATGCATAGTAACGGCTTTAGTTAGGAGCTTTCAAAATTTCGATCGCATAGATCTCTTTTTCGGTGCTTTCCACAGCGGATCCCCCGCTGTGATTGTAATCTTTAGCAACGCGAAAGACATCATTCTTGAGAGCATATTCTGAACTAGAAGTAGGACCTTAGAGATCAGAGTCAGAAATGATCACTACGATTTTTTGTTGCGACACTTCCCTTGATTGCGATTCAAAAAAGATCTCCAGGCTTTTTAGATTTGGTTGCTTCGACCTTGGCAGATGATATATAATAAAGTGGATGTCTGGGTGCCCCAGAAAAAAATCAAAGTGATCCTGACAACATCTCAAAACTTTAGATTTTATTTGGATCTTTTCTGAATGCGAAGTTCTTCATGGGAACGGCCTAAGACGAAGAATGAACACTCCGCACGCGGCGCGGACGCTTGTATCAGGCCATCTCTGACACCGTAGTTTGTTTTTAGACTCCTGCATTCCCACGCCTTGGTATGAAAAGCTACTACTTGATGTCTCTCTTCGTGTTTGCTACAAAGGAATCTAGGTAATTTAGCAATGGGACAGAGGAGAGAACGTCATCCGGATCCAAGTGCGGATGCTGATGGTCTGGAAAAGTCGATTTTGTTTCTGATCATTTAGATTGTCGTTTAGAATTTTCTAGTGTTTGTACATTTTCGCGCTTGTTGAAATCTGGTTGACTTCTAAAGGAGAATCTTCGTTGCTTCAGCAGCAGGATACAGTCCTCAGTTGTAGTGGTCAAACTGGTAGCTGTCGCCGACGTCGATCATGTATTTCCCTCTTCCCGACAGCTGCTCGAGCCTCCCTGTGCCCTTCAGCCAGAGTAGAACCAACACTAGTAACAGTAGCGCTGCACTCGACCATTGGCTTCGCAGCTTCATCCAGGCGGCGCTACCTGGCATCAACAAGCATGCACCAGGTCGCTTGCACTCTCGAAAGACTTGGAGGCAGTCTTGCAGGCGAAGTTTGAGGTCCGTCGCACGCAGCCTGGGGATCAGAATACTTGTGGTTGCCAGGGAGTACAGGAGCACGTTGATTCGACAGCGTATGAGGTACATGCATGCTACAAACTTTCTCCTTTTGTTCCCTGGCGCTGGCCACGACAGTAATATTTCTATAATATATATCTAATATAGAGATGGTGGCTACCAGTATTGTACGAGTAGCTGAGATTAGCAGCACGTACTAACCGAGATCACACATCGAAATTCTAAAAAAAATCTAAATCAACCATTTTCAGACTGACAGATGATTCAATCGAAACTTGATAGAATTACCACATCTCCTTGCGTTCTGCGGACGCAGCGAGAATACGACAGAGATACCACGTGAGCTTCTCCACGTCCTTCGCCTGCACGGTCGACCGATGAGACCTCATGGGGTTATCGCCGTGGTGATGCACAAACCTCTGTCGCGCATGCTGTCCTAATTTCTCGAGATGAAAGGCTAGATACGTGCCACACTCGTCTGCCATCGCGGCCATGTTCTGGTCCCCTCGGTGGCGGATTTGAGGACCAGTTGAGGGTGACGATTCTGAAGGAGTCGAGGACGGGGTTATAACGTACTGTGCTTCCTGGGGGTTGGGATTTCTGCCGGCTATCTCCTCCGGCGCTCTGCTGCCGCCTACCGCAGTTAATTCGACACCTGCTTCGCCAGCTTGTCTTGCCCGTTCTCCCGATCCGGTTATGCTGGCATCGGCGCCATCTCTTGGACTCCGTACTCCTCCTGAAACTTGTGCCGCTGCATCACCCTCATCCTCGGTTGGCACAAGTGGCCTGCCGGTGGATGGGTCGAGGCACACACTGCGGTAGTTGTGAGGCAGGACCAACTCGGTTACGTCTACGGGACCATCCTCGAGCGTGGTCACGTCGCAGTACCGTATCGCGGTTCCGGTTTCTGGTCGTACAGCGGCCCTGGCATTCCGAACTATGATGCGGCTCTTGCACCGGCAAACGACGAGTCGTGCGTGATCATCCGCGTCCCGATCGGCACTCTCTATCTGAAACAGGTATCCCACGCTATTTGAGGAGGTAGATGCTGAGGGTCCACGAGGACCAGGACCCCGAGTCCCCTGTTGCGAAGTGGAGGAAGAGTTGGCGCCGGTATCAAGCTCCCCGTAATATGACCCATAAAGTGTCGTGAATTCCACGGCAAACTCTCTCGAAGTCTCCAGCAAGTGGTCCACAATGTGCTCGTCTGCAAGCTGAGTTGCCTTAAAAATGTAGGGAGCTTCGGGGAAATAAACCTGCGTCGTCTTCCAAAAACGTTCACTTGCGAACATCGTTACGCCACGCCTGAGAGAACCGCCTGTAACGATGCGGAGAGGAAAGTGCTCAAAAAGGCTGGCTCACTTTCCTATGCCTTCGCAACATTCGTCTAACAACTATTCATGATCTTCTGTAACAATCAGATCCCAAATATTGCAACGAACTTAGATGCTTCGATCCTCAACGCGAGCTTCCTTCAATGAGCATCCTCTCGCGCGGCCGCGCTAGCGAACCATTCGACATACGCTCATGTTTTAATATTCAAGAATTCCAAACAACTTAACACAACATTTTACCAGCCCCGTCATGTCCTCCTGCGTCCCGTGCCATCAGCGCATCTTCTTCTTCTGTCCTGAGCTCCTCCAACTGTTCCTGCTGTCTTGCTCTGAACTCTTCTGGATAGCGCGTTTGAATCAAGTTTTGAATCAGCACGTTTATGCTCCTTCCGGCGACAATAGGCTGTCGGCATAGTGGACATGCCGATCGGTGATCTAAGCTCGTCTCGATGCAGCTGCGGCAAAAGGTGTGCCCACAAGACACCGACACCGGATCTAAGAGTAACCGGAGGCAGAGCGCGCACTCGAATTCAGGGCTTATGCCTGAAGGCCCACCCGCAGCAAGCACGTCGGGATCATCTCCCGGTGACGCAGCCATTTTTCCTCAATTAAATCTCCTCTTGACAATGTTGATATTGACTAGGGAAGGATTATGGACGATCTAATCATAATCGCGACTTCTAAATCGAAGCACAAGCAAAGAGCCGAGGAGCACGCGGCTATTTACAACTGTTGAGCACTCACTCGTAGTTATGTTCCAAACATCTAAACCTTTGGCGAAATTTTATTTTTTGGCACGATCAGCATGCTCGAAAAACGGGCAAAACAAAATAACTAGACGAGGTTAGGGCGGAAGGAGCTGGGGTTATACGACTGGGTGAAGTCTAGCGGCTAATCAATCCTGTCAGGGGAATTCTTACAATACCATGTGGTAGCGAGACTGATGCTGCTCCATCCGTGCTCTCGTTTTCGCAATCTGTTTATCTGCTCATCATATCGTAATTCACTTTCACTCATCGGACTTGATATATTATACTAGAACAGTTTATAAGGGTTCCCAACATGGCTGGGCTGGGCACGCTTGGCACACTGGGTCGCTGGGCGACCCAAATCTGCCAGATCTGCCGAATTCTGCGCCCAGCGTGACGCTGGGCGTCTCCAATTGCGGGGCGCCCTTCGGGCGCCCGCTTGAGAACCCCACCGGCGGCGCTAGTCTAGCGTAGGGCAAGGCGAACGACGGCGGCGAGTTTACCGTTGTGCACAGGAGCGGCGCAGCATTGCACGCATCGAGCAGCGTAGTGCAGCGCGAAGCAGTGCAAGCCTGAACAGAGCAGGCGCCGCGCAGCCCGCTGCTGCGCAAACTGGCGCAGCACTGCGCCAGCGCTGTCCTGAACCTTGAGGGCGGCTCGGCGCGCCCAATGTGTGGCCCTCAAGTACGCTAAGCGCCACCCATGCGCCCGCCCAGCGTGCCCAGCGTTGCCGCCCAGCGTGCCCCGCGTTGCCGCCCAGCCACCCAGCGTGCCCAGCGTCTATAAACTACTCTATTATACACGCATGATAAATTGTGGCTCCAGTATCCTCGTCTGAACATTCGTATCATTTCAATTCCAGATCCAGTATTTCCTTTTCCGTGCATTTGAATACACCAGTATTTCAAGATACAGGGGGTAGAACACTTTGCAGCAAATGAGTTGCGAACGCTCTGAGCGTGGCGATTGTGCGCATGAGGTTCTCATAATCAACGAAGTGGGTATTACCAAGAACAATCTATCGCATGCACACGTTACTGTAGTCGCATCTACTTTGGCACCTGTGCTGCGTCCCGCTCCCCCAATTTCCCTTTCAAAGTTCCGATCAGCAAAAACGCAGGCTTCCCCAAAGGCACGCAAACGTGAACATCGAGAAGCGATTCCGCAAGTTCTAGGGCGCCCGGCGGAATGAAGAAACCGAGAGCAGTTGCTGTGTGTCCCAACCGCTCCACGATACCTCTAAAGACTCCTCTAGCATCCCCCTCGCCTCCAAAACGTCGACCCCATGGTGTGTTCGCCATGACTAGAACATGTTGTTCACGAATGATCTGCTCGTCCGCTCCTTCATTACTTGATGGTAAAATAAGATCGGGCAAACCAGGTTGCACATGCGCGTTGGAGAAAGTCGGGAAGTCGGCCTGAACTCGCTTTTTGATTTTTTCATGCTCGCTGGTGCCGCTGGTCGTTGAAGGATCACTCGGAGGAGTCGTGTTGCTCTTGATCTTGGGTACTGCTCCAGAAGGGTCTTTAGTGTCTTCAAAACTTGCATGAGCACCATCTACGTTTGCCGGCGCTTTCTCACAAGTCCAATCAACTTGCACGAAACTCTGATTTTGGATATGCATACCCGTCTCTCGTCTGGTGCCCACATGGTCATCGACTTGGCTGGGATCCTCTTCTCCGAACTGTATGTTCCACCAGGCCCGATGCAGGAATTCCTTGCTGCGATCGCAACTCACAATACTGGAAAATCGTTGGGTTCTACGAGCTACCGCTGTGATCGTTCCAGTACCACAACAAGCATCCACTAAAGTAACTCTGTTCGCGTTCGTTGCGTTTTGATCCCCAAGCGGTCGTAGATGGGATCGAAACTGTGCCGCCGCAAGATTTAGTGACTCCCACTGCGGATCCCACGAGGAAAAGCAGCCAGCAGCTACTGCGGCATCCTCCAGTTCAGCAAAGGCGCCCTCGAGACGAGTGGAAGTCGTTTCACTCTCATGCTGCACGCTCTCGACAACCTCGTCCTCTAGTTCTCCCTTCATTCCACACAATCGGTTTGCGGAATTTGGTGGTGTCCCCTTCTTGCGGCACATGTTCCGCTTACGAAGGGCCAACGGGTCATCACTATGCGAAAGGCATCTCCTATAGACCTCTGGAATGGGATGGCCGTTGCTCACGCACCATCCAACGAAATGGAGCAAATTTAAAGAGCACTGGGCAATGTATGGATCCATGCTTGCGCTGAAGCTCCATGGTTTATCGCTGCGGCACCAACGTCGGAAAAACGAATCCCAAGCTGAAGTGTGATGGAGGTCGCGGTGCCATGATGTAGTCCTAGTCGTGCAACTTCTATTCGAAGTACCTGGAGTACGACCCGCGTCAAGAATATCAACATCATCCCTTTGAAGATCCTCCGTAATTTCCTGCTCCACGAGAAGAACAAAGTCTCTGTAATCGACCACAACAAAGGCCCGGTGGTTACCTTCTGCATCCCCAAACTCAACAGCAGTGTTGTGTAACCGACGATAAATTTCTTGGGTGAACCAGGTCGCCGTCGACACTCCAGGATGAAAGGGAATCTGCTCAAGTTCGCTCACTCGCGTTGTCTGCTCGTAGCCAAGGGAAAACGATGAAAACGGAGGGCCGCAAAAAACCATGCAGCTGTCGTCGCTTGTTGCTTTTGCCGCTTCTTTCGTTGTCGTCTCCGAAGTCGCTAGTTTCTGATCCGTCTCGTCAACAGGTGAGTCCTCTTCTAGCGAACATCTAGTACATCGTATATCAGCGGTCTCCTCAGCTAAAATAGAAAAGGCTGATGAAGGTTGGCTCTTTGTTCTCGGAGTTTCCATTCCCGTGGAGGTGCTCGTCGAGCCCGAGTGTTTTTTTTGCAACGTTCGAAGTCTACAACTCATAGCCGAATCTGTGTCAATCTGTTGCAGCAGATCAGCATAGTCGCGTCCCTCATAGAGGATACGAACCAGGCGCTTCCGGCAGCCCGCAGCGAGAGTATCCTTTATATCCAGCTTGCCAGAGAGATACAGCAGTCCGCAGCTACGCTCCGCAACGCACTCCGCTGTCAGAGACGCCTCAAGTCGCATCACATCAACCGAGTTTCCTTGAGAGCGGATCAGGAGAGCGTGCTGGCCAACTGTCATCTTTTTGTCTTTGCGAATCGTCCTATGCTTCTAGAAGAGTAGACAACGATAACAAACAAGCCAAGGGCAAGGTGAAGCTCAGAAAGGATCAGATCAATACAACAAAAACCAACGACCTGGCTGCGTCAGTGATAAAGCTGTAGTTGCGAAGTAACTAGGTCAAAATCTTTTACGCCCCATTGAGAATGACATGTTGTGAAGATATCCAAATCTGCAACGATCCCGGAAAATATCCGACTCGATCATTCAGGTGGGCAACTTCAATGCGATCTGACACAGCTTTCGAATTTGAGAGCTTCCCGTACTTAGGGGCGATCAGAGATCTGTAATAGAGTGATCGTCGGCTGTAGTTGGTGAACTACTTGTTGCTTTTTCACGAGGTCGTCCAAAAGAGTCTATCAGATGTGTCATGCGTACGTCTAGAAGTACCCAAAGGAAGCGTAGTTGCATAACAAGTAGGTACAAGATAGAATGTGAATTGTGAAGAAGAAGAACGAGACATATAAATCAATCCTAATCCGCTCAGTCGTTTTTACATAGTTCTTGGAAATTTTTATGATATTTATTGTCATTGTCAATTGCCTTTTATTTCCACGCTATTTCTTATTATGCTTGCGACTAATTATTTCATGTGACGTAGATGAAGTTTCAAGTGGTGGTCAAGGTCATGGCATCTATTGGTAACTACTCACGATGTGGATAATACTATTTCTAGAAAACTACACGTGGAGGCTCGAGAAAATCTGAATTCTTGGAACTACAAACAGTACAGAATGTGTATGTTGCTGCACATGTCGGCTCTTTGTTACGTCATCGACATTTTTCGATCTTTGTTTCTTGTATCTAGGATATCGACGTACACCAGGTTGGATCAAAAACGAGTACAACTTGAATGAGACCACCAGGTAGGTGTCAGTTAATCATTCAAGAGTGCGCTGTTGAGGATTGCTTGTTATTAAGAAGTACAAATTACAACTTAAACTTTTCGAGGCGTCGTGCGTAAGAAATTTTTTCAGATGCTGGCTGCATGTTAGGTCTATGCTTTTCAGTTGCCACTTAAACCGCCACAAAGATCAATGGTGTTGTTCTTGCTGTTAATTCAAATTGATTTATCGATCTCGTGTCGGACCTTGGACTTCCTTGCGACGCTTCATTTAGAGGTTACGGAGTTACATTCTTCAGAACATCCTTGACCCTTTTCCTACTGGAAAACGAGTGAAGGATGGAGATGGTAGTGAAGAATGCAATGTCGAAACCATTAATTCATGCACTTCGGCGGGCATCTTCGTCCGTTTCGAATTCACCGGGAAACCAAACACCTAGGTCGTACTTGCCATCTTTTCCAACGCGGTACCCGTCGAAAATATCGGAGTACGTTCCTCCCCAGAATCCGTCGTAGACCCACTCGACGCGCGCTGTTTTTGTGCGTTCGCACACTCCGGTTATCAGACCGGTGTAGAAACAGTCGCCATAGCTAGCATCCGGCTGGTAACTCGAGTCTTCAGGGTCTTCGACGCCGAACTTTCCGGGTGAGAAAGGCTGTGCAACGCCAGGAGGTTGATAACGCGCAGCCCCCGTTACGTTCATATTCGTGGGTAACTGCCGAGGAGGTTCTGGAACCACGGTTCCGGGAGCCAGTCGCGACACTCGCGGAGGCGACACTGTGCCGTCTTCCTTTGGTAGGACCGCTGTGACCTGGCGTCCGTCATCCCAGTCTCGGCCCCGACGAACGCGGAGCCCGACTACTGCATTCAGCCCCGCAATAACGTTTCTCTCTACTTGTTGATCCCCCGCAGCTCCAAAAGATGCGCGAACTACTTCATTACTGTATGGCGACGCGGCCCCTGCAGTAGGAGCCCCCGACGCACCTGAAGGAGCAGCCAGTACTCTAGTATCACTATTTCTCCTCGCAGAATATGATTGTTCCCGAAGCTCGCGCCGCAACAGGTGACGCAGGTAGCGGTAGTACCAGTCGCTGGCGTCGGCGTACCTATCACGAAACCTCAATGAGCCTAAGAGCTCTTTCTGGACATAGTCACTCATCATCCGTTCGATAAGCTTACTTGGCGCTTTCCGCAACCCAAGATCGATGTACATTAGCGCAGTCGAGTTTACACCACCTTGTTCTAGATCATACAACCAAATTCATGAAGATATGCAAAATAAGTAAGCGATTCAGATTGATACAAGTAAGAACATGTGGTGCAGTGAGACCACTATTGACCCAGACCCCTTTTTATCAAACACAAGAAGTACTTTTTAGGAAACTCAACATGGCGGATAGCGCGAATATAAAGAGCTTGACAATGACATTGAGCTACATGACCGTAACAAGAAGCCTGGAATGATCTGCAACTTCACGTCCGTCGACACAGAAGCCTGCAAGCGCACACGACCTCCTGGAAGCGGCGTCAAAATCGCACCCGTTGTGCCTAGCGCCTCAGCTCGCACGTGATAGCGTTCCGCTTCGTCGTACTGAACCGATACAGACGATCTCATGTCCTCCGCGACGTTTTCTGGTCCTCCCCCGAATACAGAAGACGAGCGTTGCTGAGCGTAGTTGGGCCCTGTCGTCGTTTTACTTTGACTTGGACTCGAGTTCCTTCCACCGGTACTGGCAGAAGGAGAAGCCGGCAGCACGGAGCGGTGGCTCCCCTCGGTCCATCGCGGAACCACATTACGATTGGCGACATGACCAGGAGGTTGCGTCCCAGCTGTTGAGGCTGCCGCGGACGAAGAGTAACGAGAAGCTGATCACATTAGAGATCATGAGTGACTAATTTCACTACACCAGGACAAGGACCAGCGAGACTGATAGATAAGAATGAGAAACCTACCATTACAACAAAAAATGTGCTTCTCGCAACCAAGGAAATTACATCAATGGAGCGAGGGACTAACGAGTCGCTACTGCCAGCCGTGTGTTTCCCTACTACATATTTTTCGTCTTCATTTCTTCAACGCTGAATAAAAGAATCATCATTTTTTCGATCATGGTTTCACCTGAGAACGTAACAGTTGACCACCGGATGAAGATTTTTCTCCCGTGAAGCTGGAGGTCGCAGGAGTAATCAGATCAGGAGACGAGTCAAAACCAAGGTCTGCCTCTCGAAAATCGTTTGCCGATGAAATGGTCTCGCCTTCGCCCTTGCTGTTCATATGATTCGGCGCAGATATTGAGCTCGACATGAAGCGTGCCGCGAAGTTGTTCTCTGGTGAATGTGGGCCTACCATTATATCTCGACCCTCATCATGATCCATGCCCTCATCGATGTGGGCGTCGTCGATGTTCGCAAGGAAGTCCTCCATTGCCATCGCAGGTTCGGGCTCCGGTTTCTACATTAGAAGCAAGTATCCTCGTCGGAAAAACATCGTTCCCTATCTACATGCAAGAGAAAACGAGTTCTGTTTTGTCTACGCCGGACAATGAATTGCCTTTCGACTTCTTTCATGTACTTAATCTTATCACTATCTTTTACTTTTACTAGTACTAGAACAACTAGTCTTAACTTTACTACAACTTTTCCTGAAACAACTGGCACGCCGCTTTGACGCATTCGTGATTTCCGACTCAGGTACTCGGATAACGAAACAATCTGCTCTTCGCCACTCTGTAATGCGGAACCTCCTCGTCCTCGTCCTGCCATTGAAGAAGATGTGGCGCCATCGTTGCTCATGACTTTGCTAGACATTCTAGAGTCACCAGCAATAGAAGCACGGCTTCTTCTAGACGCGATCTTTTCCAACACCAGCGAAGTTGCTGCGCGAGCCTCTCCCACGACTAACTTCTGACTAAAATCGCTGCCTCTTGGAGCAACGATGTCAGGCCGGATCGACGGGCGGACTTGTGGCTTTGGGCTCTTCTTGCTCCTGACTACAGGCGAGCGCCCGATGTTGTCCCACATACCCAACAAGTTGTAGTCGTCCGGTGTTGTAGGGCCGAGCTGCGGCATGCCTACGATTTCGCGCTCGTTTGGATCCACGTAAGCGAGGCTCTGGCGGTCACTCTCCTCGTCCTCTGCACCATACTCTCCTCCTGGCATCAACCCTCCTAAAACACCATTCTTAGAAGAATTTGAATTAGTACTGCAGCCGTAACCTTCCAAACATCAAGATCAACCTTGAATGATGAATTTTGTTTCCTTTTCCTCGGAAACCAACATTATTCTTCAGTGAAGATGAGAAATCTTCTATATGTCAAGGACGCACTTACAGAGCTGCAGCAGCAGTTTGTATCCCTAACATTCATAAAAGACGATGAGGCGCCTGCTCCACCTTTACCAAACATAGGTCGTGGCGCGATGTACTTGCCGTCAGGCACCCGGATGAAGACTTCTCTTTTTGAAGGATCCTGCTCAATCTCAGCTGGTGCATGTTGTTGCGGATTCTTTCCTACTGAGCCAATTTTTGTTTTTCCATTTCCTTCACTAGAACCTTTGCCCCCCTGACGTGCTCCGTCTAGATTCTTAGAGACCGCCCGGCTCCCCGGCATGTTGGAGTTCGCCTCATCGCTATTCGCCCCTTTCTCCAGCTCGTCTAAATCCACAGCACCAGAAATCGCCTCAATGACAGGTGCATTGAACTCTGACAGTAAATGCGGAAACTTTCCCACCGCGTCAACAGGATCCGCCAGGTCATTGAGACCGCAGCTGTCCACCAAGACGATCTGTTCGAAAGGGGGTAGAGTTGCTCCTGCTACTCCGGGGGATGTAGGTGTTGTGGCAAAAATTAGAGATCATAATCTTAATCACAACTACTTACTATGTTTTCCTCAGGTCGAGCCAACATGCATGTAGTTGTTGAAAATTACTCGGACTAGTGGAATACTTCATTAGCATCATGAACGCAGGGACAAAAATTCCTGCGATTACGGGTGTAAAAAAACTACATTCCCTTGTTTCCCCCAATGTAGCAAATAAAAATATGGTGAGTGTAGTTCTTAAGTGCATTCCCGACTTCGGCGCCTCGTGATAAACACTCAACTTTGCGAGGAAGTCGCGTTCAACCAAAAATGGAAGGGCTAGCACCCAATACCCGACCGCTTCGTTGAACCGCGGTTTTTCGAGCACCGCACTCGTGCGGACGCCATACCCGAATACTCGAGGCATCCAGTCCACGTGCATGTCGGCTTCCTTCAACAATGCTGTCAACGAGAAAAAGTCCAGTCCTGGGATGGTCAAATCCATCACAGTGTGCAGAACCTTGGACTTGCTCATGATCTGACTCTTCTTTCCCGGAGACATAGAAGATGCAGTGCTTGCTGGCTTAGAAGTGGTACAACTCTTGAGTTCAACTTGAGTGTTAAAGTTTTTTGCCTACTTGAATAAGTAGTTGTGGAAAAGCCCATGATGTACTCGTATTCTTACGAATATATTCTGTTGCGCCTTGTTTCCACCTGAGCCTGGTCCTGTACAACCTGAAGCTGACTTTACTACATCCTCTACAACTTACTAATCAAGTGCGGTCATAATGTTTCGCCTAGCATTCGGAGAATCGCCTCCTGCTTTCTCGACAGCGAAAGCGTGAGCTGCGTCGAAATCGCCGCGATCTTCGATACGGTAGAGAATCTTTCGGTCTTCGAGAGCGTCGATCGTAACCCATGAGGATTCCGACTGCCCTGCCTCGTCGATCTCTTCGGCCGGCCGCGTGCCCACTTCCTGAAGCGCCGAGGAGATGTACTCTCGCAAAGCAGCGATGCGTGCAGTTTCTCGTTTCAAATCCTCGAGCCAGACGCCTGATCGAAACTCGGCTTCCCTCGCCTGCAGCACTGCGAGGGAAGCGTCGGGCTTGTCCAGAGGTAAGCCAGCGACGCGCATTGGCTCCAACAGCGCGCTGGAGGCCATGCGAAACGTCGTAGCACCAGCCGACGCAAACTCAGGCTGCCACTTCACAAGAACACGAGCTAGCAAATCGCGCGATGAAGGGAGAAGGAGGATGGACGAAGAGGTACTTCTCTGTGATACGTTGGAAGTCGTTGAGTTTTTCGAACTCATGGCGCTACTGATTCCCTTGTAGTTTCCAGCATGATCCACCGGGCTTGGGCTTCGACTACCACCACTGGTTTGAAACACAAGGCTCGCAAGAATGCCTTGGGCGTCAGAAGGAAGACACAACACGCGGAAGGCAAGGTAGGCGCGTAGCAATTCACGGTGGGCAAAGGGTGAAAACTCTTCTTCATCTCCTCCGTCTTCTTGCGATGGTAAGACACTATCCAGCTCCTGCTGGAAGGGAGGTCGTCCTCGTCTCGGAGTTGCCACCATTTTGCTAGACCTCCTGGAAGTAGTCGTGCTCCTTTCTCGTTCTAGCGGCACGTCGCTTCTATCTTCCTCACCTGCCTCTCCGCGTTGCCGTACTGCAAGCTCGTACCCAAGTAAAAATGCTAATGACACAAACATCTAAGTAGCTACTTTTAGTTTCTGTCTCGCACACCTTTTAGAAGCACGCCAGCGACTAGCCATTCTTGATGTTAAACTACTCCGAAGAAAAGTCAGTCTTAGCTTTGCCATTGAAATACAACTACGAGATTGATGAAGATCCACATGATTTATATTCCTATTGATAGCCAAGAATTTCGAAGTATATCTACTAGTGCAATAGACACTTATGTAGAAGCATATTCATGATAGATTAGTTGTTATCATGGTTCCCACTGAGCTTTCTGTATTGTCAAAATTGCTGTAAGTGAGAGTACGCCATTCATTATGCAATTAAGTAGATGAGTTTCGTGCTTCAAGGGCTAACAGCGGACTTTATTGGGTGGGGTATGAGTCGTGCAGAAGGAGCATAGATTCGCTCATTTAGATGACGAGAAGATACCGATGTTGTTCCAGCAACACTCTTTTTCTCGATCCGACACAGTGTCGAGGACGTCTCCGATCATCATCATGAGCTAGACAGATATAAATCACGCAAAGCCTTTTACTACTTGCTCTGAGTCTTGCCTGTCTTTGTCGAATCTTCTTCTTCTTGCAGGTTAAACTTTTCACTGCGTGAACGACGTATTAACTTCTCTGCGGGTAAAACATCATCATTGATCGATTCTGTGGCGACCACAGACTCTTTTTGTCGCAGCTCCAGCGTCCGCCATTCTCGTTAGGTAGAAAAGCGTGGAGGAAAATGTGGTCGCTGCCGTGTCGACTTGTTCATGCGCAACATGATAAATTATAACATGAAGAAGTTGGAAGACAAGATGCTTCATACACCAAAGCGGTAGAACAAACCAAGTCGATGAAGCGAATCTGTTTTGTAGGAACAAAAAGGTTGTTGTCGAGATGAAGATGTAAGTGAATGAAGTGGAAGGGAATTCTTAGGATTAAATATGTTACAACTGGCTATTCCATCCAAAGATAGCCGTCTAACGACGAGAATTGTTTCACAAGTGCTTTCTCCGCTAACATGGCTTGGAGGCGAAGCCACGCTTGGAAGGGTCCTGCGAAGGGGAAGTATAAGCGCTGTTGCAGCGCTTCCGGGTTCGTCAGTTCTGCTAAAAGCGTTCCTGGCTTCGCGTTTCTACCTGCCGCGCCTATTAGACCTTCCGGGAATCCATCTTGATGAACTCATCTTGGACCCGTTTATTCCCCCTGATACGGGAGGTCCAAGATGCTTCTCAAAATGGGAGACTTCCGGAAGTCTTAAGCCCAGTAGCAGCCACGCGGATGCCGCAAAATGCTCTGGAACAAGAAGTCCACCGAGAGACGCAACCGAAGCAGCTAATGCGGGATTTCTAGGTATTCTCGACGATGAAGAGCTCGAAGATGAGGACGATTCTGAAAAACCTCCTGTCGTACCAGAAGATGGTGTCGTGGATGAAGAAGTAGCGCTGGAAGTACTGGTCGAGCTGCTGGAACGATCCTCATAGGTGTTGCTGGTACTACCCGCTAATGTTCTACCTCCAGATGAACCTGTTGTGGTGGACAATGTCGCGCCTCGTGCACCACCTCCGAGTAAACCTGCCGCATCGTGTGTAGGTGCTGGTGAAGCTGCGTGTTTGGGCGGCGCTGCAGCCGCCGTTAGAAAGTTCCAACCGCAGGCAAACGCTGACAATCCACCTCCCGCAGCATTCGCCTTCGTCCCTCCAGCTCCAGCAGAGCCACCTCCAAAAACTGAGCCCTGCTTAGACGAATTCCCGAGCGCGTCGCATCCTTGAGCCCACCGCACAAGGCAAGCAAGCTGTGCGGACATCCGGCGCATCGCAAGCAGATGCGAAATCTCAAAACTTGCTGGCAAGGTGCTCTCCGCAAACTCAAACCCTGAAAAGAACGGCACGCCGTTCAGCCACAACGCTTCCTCCAGAAAGAGTTTGTAAACCAGGAAACCCCCCAGAAGGAATCCCCCAGTGGCGTAGCCTAGAAGTTTCAAGTCTTCTGCTGTCGGTATCGCAGATCGCTCCTCCCGTTCTTTGCGCATTCGCACTATCTGCTCCGCTAGATTCTCACCACTGTAGACATCTGTAGAATTCTCCATTTGCTGTCGGAAGTCGCTCCAATTTGTGCCTTCGCCAACGTCCCCTCGGTCGCGCGCGTCAAGATACCCATCATACAGGGGTCGCAGCTTCTCGGACGTGAGAACCTGAGTATTTTGGTACCACATTAAGTAGGCAAGAACTACGATTATCGTTCTTGACGCCGGACGGGAGTTCCTGCAAGTTTATCTGCGTGAATAACGGCTTCCAATCTGGATGAAGAAGATGCATGTGCATGAAGATGATGTTGTAAGTATTTCCAAAAAAAAACACATTGATATTAGGTTCGTACCTCATATGCCTCCTGCACTCGAAGAAATTGTTTTTGCGCAGTGCGGCGATCGTCCTCATGATGTTTATCTGGATGCCATCGCAATGCCTGCTTGCGATGCTGCTGTGTTATTCGTTTTCGATCAGCTGTGTGATCTACTTCCAACACATCATAAAGGGTGAGGGCATCTAGCTCTGCCGCCATGACTCTCTGGGTCTGAAGAAATAAGACTACACCAAGATTCGGTAGCTTACCAGCAATTCATTACACCACCAGCGAGCACAAGTCATTACAGCGAGTCCACTCGTTGTAGAAAAGTAGATGTAGATGGAATTTGAAGTAGTGTTACTCGCTCTAGTCCGAATGAAAAGTGAAGAACATGTCATAATTATTAACAAGAACAGTCGACCCCAACCCGTCGACCGACAGAAAAATTAATGACAGTACTGAACAACCTTCGCTATTTTTTCGTCCAGGATACTTACAATCATGCATCTCTATTTGCCTACCTCAACATCAATACAAATCAATGGCTTCCTTCTCATTTTCCTGTACGGCATGCTATCAAAATTTTCGACGACCAGTTGTGAGTCAATGTCTATGTCAATACTTTGAAAGAACTACTGGACCATTCTTTCATACATAGTTACCTGCAGTTTTCAAATTAATATAGGCATTGAGTTGACTCGTTCAATGTTCTTCGTAGAAGTACCGAATTTGAATGCTTCAACGAGGAATATCTGTTCTACTAGGTCATTCCTCGTTGGAGGTAGAGCACCATCGTCACAGATATTTTTTGAAAGTCGTCCGCGGACTAAGAATCAACTCTAGGTGGAGAAAATTTCCACTTTGACCAGAAGCACAGTTGTTTGTCTGCACAGACGAGGAACGAAACCCAATCCAAGGACAGTGAAAGAATCTGAACAAATTCAAACACACCTGCGTCCGTCGTAGGTGTACACCTAGCAGAGGAAGCATTCGCCTGCTTCATCCAAAAAGACAACTTCTTGTTTTGGATGTTCGTTCAAAGTTCTCATATTGGAAAATTAATGGGAAAAACCTCATTCGCTGATGCGTGGGTCGGGGTGTGAAAAATTCCTTGAGCGATGTTCTCGGGAAGTTCCTTCTCTTTTTAAACCATAGGTTTGTTTGTTGTGGGATCCAACTCTGAGGGACCTCTCCCTTGCTTGTTCTTCATGTCCATGCTACACAGTGTCTGAGCAAGACGCTATCTTTCTGACAAACCGTCTAGTGTTGCGCAAATAAAAAACCTCAACCTTAATCATAATCCTACAAAGTAGCATACTCCTATCTTTCATCTTTCAACAATTATTTCAGAACGAAGTAATCAACGAAAGATCAACTTCTTACATGCGTTTACCCAGTGCTACCGTCTTAGCGATCATCTTCTTGTTCATGTCATCGCTCGTATCATAACTTTGCTACTCCCGCAATTCGCCGACTTCTTACTGTTCTCCTAGTGGTTCTCGTGCTTTGCTCCTCTTGCCTGCAGATGTCGCCATGTCGGTTCCGGTTCGCGGCAGTCTCCATCGCGCGCTCTGTGGCCTCAGCCTTGCCACGTATCCATCACTATCACATTCATTGCTGATGTAGGTAGCACACCTGCTGCCACGTTTTTATCGCTTCGAATCGTCCTGTCGAGCCCCTGCAGCTGATCTTGACCATACCCTTGTGCGCTCATTGCCTCTTGACATTAGCTACGCATCCTGGAGCGAGTCATCGGCGGCGCCCTTTGTACGTGCGGAAACCGGTAATCCCACGTTGCATTAACGCCCACAAAACGACGAGAGCGAGGCACTGTCAACACGTAAAAGAAAAGAAGAGGGTCACGCCTTGTAACCAACGGAGGCTGACAGAGGAAAGAAGAAAGAGGAAAGCCGATGATCACGAAACATCACGCACACGACGAGATGATATTTATTCTTATTGAGCAATAATCAAACAGTTAAGAAGTTGACTAAAATGGTATTACGCCTGCGAGAAGAAGTACTGGCCCTAGTGCTAGTGTTTGATGATTGAAGATCCGCTCCGATGCACAATGTACCTGGCGATATTAGGATGATCTGCTGCTGATGAACCTCGAGAAAGGATGAATTGGTTTTCGTTTCCCTCCTTATCACAAGTTGTAGGATAGTATTCTGCTTGTTTCTAAATCTAATCTATCAATATAATCTACTTATGAACAGTATTAAGTAAGTATCCAAGTAAACAGAAATCAATCTCAGAGATCAAGTAACTTCTTCCGCAGAGGCGTGGTGACGTAAGTGAGATGAAAATCGAGTGGAGATATTGAATTTGAATGCATGGCAGCAAAATAATGAGTAAAATTTCTCCTAAAAATCATCAGACGAAGTCGAAGCCAAGGGTCAACATTATCATATACTCAGCAAAAGCAACTCGATACAACAAGACCACAGGAGCCACCTAACTTCTCCGGACACATTTTCATTTCACTACTATCATAGCTGGGAGGCGTGTGCTCTTGGTGCTCGCCTCAACCAGATGTCTTTTAGCCTCCACTGTGCCGTTTTTTTAGTTGACGAAGGGAAGCCAAACACAAAGGTTCTAAACAAGACAAGATAGAAAGCGAAGGGTGAGGGTGACAATAAAAAGTTAGATGAGTATGTGGTCGTTATACAACTAGGCTTTGCACTACTGTTCCCAGATCCAGAAAAAGATCTATGGAGTTAGAAAATCTGTCTCGTCCGGCTAGATGAAGTGTCTAAACAGATTCGAATAGAGAAAAAGGGCCAACGACGAACGACACAAGAAAAGCGGTGGAAGAAGAATGGAGATGCGAATTCGTATGTCGATCTTCGGATGATAATCGTCTGATCAACTGCGGGATGTTTGTGGCTACGAGCTTCGAAAGATATGATGATCTACGGCAGGCCCCAATTGCGCAAGAAGATGTAGATGATAACTGAGCAGTAGATTGTTCTTGGCACGCACCCAACGCTGGTGAAGAAGACTATTTCTCTGCACGAAGCACACCCAAGAAGCTGTAATCCTCATACTGATTTCAACAAGAGGGACAAGAAGCAGGTAGGCAAACGGAAAGATGAGCGCAGAGCGACATTTGGAAGTATACCAAGGGCACGCAAGATCTGATTTTGGTTGCAAGGCAATGCATGATCATGGATGGGCTTCAATTTTCATCGCAAAACCGGCCTGCTTGGAAAAATGCATCCGCGCAGCTGTTGTTCTTCGTTTCATCCTACTACCTCGACATCACACGAAGAACTACAAGCAACGGTAATCGCACATACAGACCCAGACGCACTCCCCATAGGACAGCTATGCTCGCTACAATCTTGCTTACTTTATTTCAGAGGAAGCCCATAGTCTGCTTCAACTTACTACAGCAACCCCGTCGAAGCTGCGAAGTTTGAGTTTCGGACATAACATGACCTCCACTTCGAACCTTCCACCTGCGGACGCACTCGCAAGTACCTCGTCCTCCACAACCTCCGTGCCCAATGTATGAAGATAGGTTGTAGGTTGATCGCTAAAGGCGCCTCAAGAATGCAGCTCGTGCTTGCTGTCAGTACATCTAAATCATCTTCCGTGTTTTTTGACGAAAAATGACGTTCTCGATGATGCAGCATCAGCAATTACAACCTCCACACAAGACAACGTCAAGAATCATGTCGTCGTCAAGGGACTCACCAACAACTTCCATGTCGTATCTTACTTCGTTCTGAATTTCATATGCGCTCGGTTGTTCCGCGGCCACGACATTCATGTATTAGAGCTGGGCGTGATTTTCCAGTAGAGGAAGTGCATCCTTTTCAAGCACATCGACATCTGGACAAGCATGCTGCTGCACAAAAAGGAGAATCTGATCTCCATGTTGACCGTCTCGACTCATTGAAAAAACTTCTTCTAGTAATAGTAGTTCTGTGTCTCGTAGTTTTGATTGTCCTTGTTACTGGTCGCTGCTGGGTGTTGAAACCGGTGTCGGGCTGGTGGCCCGGCCGCGGGCAACACGGAGTGAGCGACGCGCTCCTGCTGGAGGTACATTGCCGGACAGACGGCGGACTGGGGGACCAGCGCCGTTGAGGACGGACGCAGTGATTCCACGGGGAGTGTTTTGCAGGGCAACGCAGTCATGTTTGGAAATGTCGGCTTCGCCGAAAATGATCTGCGCTCGCGTATGCTTCGTGTCTCGGTATTTCTGAATCAGAAGACTGTCACGAGCACCGAAAGCCATGTAGAAGGGCTTCATGGCAGCCGATATTTCTGCTTTAGTCGTGTAATAGGCTTTCCCATTCAAGTTCAACAACTGTAACCTTGAGGAAGACGATGCGTCCGTTGTGCTTGACAAGTCTCCGCTGTCGACGCTGCGGTAGGCGGAGAGCTCGGGCCGCTTGGGGACCACAACCACAAGACCACGCTCGCCTTTCTCTTGAACTTTGAAACCGCAAAATTCAAAATACTCTTGTGCTCTGTAAGAATCCGTCAAACACAGACTCTCCATTAAAGACTCCAATGGAATTTGGTCCCCCAAACTACCATGGCAGGCGCGCACCATACATACAAGCCGCTTGTACCGCATTACGTCGACCTGGGAGGAGGATCAGTCGGGGGTCAATATGATCGAAGATGATACGTAACTAATCTTACTTGCCTTATATTTATTTGTGTTTGCAGCAAAAGCCAAGTTGTTTTTCTACATCAAAAAGAGTCAAACGTCCACAAAAATTGAACCTAGACATGCAAAAAAGTAAGGTGAACTTAGTACCAGTGGAGCAAGGCACACAGCAGACAGGAAGTCGCACCGCTTGTAGAACTTGAAAAATTCAGCGAAGTCGCCACTCTGATAAGCACTGAAAAGATCCAGAACTTCTACTATCCTAGGATCTTTTAAAAGCTCACCTTCCATTTTTTGCAGCTGTGACAAAACCCTTTCGCTTTCTCCCAGCTGCATTAAAATGACATACCTGTAGTTTGTACCAGGATAACAGGGATTATTCGCATCGTTCATATTAGTCATTCTAGAATTATTCGTTGTATAGCACGCACTTGAGAAGAACAAGACCACGACGAGAGAGGCAGAATATTCTTAGATCATCTTGTCGGGCATCTTCAAGTACAACTAGTGATCCTGTATTTTCGTAAGGTATTTTGATTACCTTAGTATCGATGTTTCGGCTTCGGATATGTATGCTGCTTGGTTGTCTCCCGCGGTTCCTGGAAGTGCTGTTGACCCTGCTGCAAGATCTTTTAGTCTTTCCTTCGTTCTAGTTGGTTCTAGCCTTTTCTCACGTGCCATGCGGTATGCGTGAAGCAATGGCTCAATAGTTTGACTAATGGCACGCATTGCCATCCTCTCATCGTATTTTTCTGTACTATTCACGTCCGTTTGCTCTGCGACATAATTCGCCTTGGCGAGAAAGTTACTTAGCAACTCAAACCTGAACGCAGCCTCGTGCGTCTTCATATACGGCTCAGTGGTAGTGGACAGCGGCTGCTGCACATGCAAATCCACACGCACCGCGCGAATGCGGTCGCGAATAAAACTATAAATCTGGATATACCGTACCTGGTAGAGGATGGATTTGATGCTTCGTTGAGCATGTTGACAACCTGTAGAGCAGTAGAACGACACAATCTGGTGCTTCTTGTAACATTGTAAATATTTATTCGTTAAGTACTTACATGTTGTACATCATCCCCAAAGATAGATTGTAGATGTAGAAGACCAAGGCCAAGAGAATCAAATCTACTAAAAATGTACCGGATCTGTGAAGATGTATTTGCCCTGCGGCACCTTGGTGTCGAGGTCGATGATATCTGTGAAGAGGTAGACCACGCTGCGCCAGCAAGCCTGTAGAGTTCGGATATCTTTCGCCTGGTACTGTTTATCAGCACTAGAACGCTGATACTTCTTAACGCAAAAGGCTTTGTTCGCGACGGGCGCAGCCGCATTTTGCAGGAGTGCTGGCGTGTTGTAACTGGTCCCCATGTTCGTTGTCAATTGGACTCCATTGCTCTTCGATTTTGTGGAAATCTCGAACCGGTCCAGCTGGCGGGTGTTCTCGCGATCGGTGATTTCCGCGTCACTGCACATGGCGTCGAGTAAGCCCACCAGTGGTTTTTCACTATCTAGGTTGGCGCGAAACGGCAAGTCGTCGTCGTCATCCCAATTCTGACCCCAGTCTTGACTGCGGTAACTATAACCACTAGACAAGTCCTTGAAACGGTTCTCTCGCTCTTTCTTCTTCGCTTTCATATTCGGATCGTCGGCCCACGTTGCGGCCGCGCCTCCGTCGCCTCCAGCTTCTGGCATAACCTGAGCCAAGCTAAGAGTGCCATCGATAAAATTCGCTCGACCTTGCAGTTTTAGCCGAATCTGACTCACATAACGTCCAGGCGGAATACCTAGAATGCAGGGGGGAAAAAAATGAATGACTATGAGGGATCACATTCACATGATTAAACTAACATAACTTCTCGCGAGCGATGGATGATTAGCGAGAACGAGATCTTCTAAGAGTAAGAACAAGAACAATCCCAATTATATTCTCATTGATGACCGTGCAAAAGGTCACTGACTCTACTAAATATTAATATTTCGTTTTCAAGAAGATGGAGAAACACAAAAAACTCAAAAAATCCAAATAGAATCAAGAAGATGATACCAAGTGCGTCCTTGACTTTTTTCGCTGGAACCTTGTATTCACGAGCAAAGTGCTGCATGGCGTCGCTGGCTACGTTCGGGACTCCTGGGCCGCCGTATTCTCCAATGACCCATTGGAATTCCGATCTAAGCCAGTCTCGCCATTCCGTAGTGTTTCGATCTTTGGGCTGTGGGGTCGACTCCGGCATTGCGCCACGTTTAGCTCCGGCTGCAGCAGACCACTTGTTCCACGCACCAGTTCCATCTTCGCCGCCGCGTTCTCGAGACCTAGATCGAGAGCTGCGGCGTCGGTTTCCGCGGCGTCGACTTCGACTACGACTTCGGCCACCACGCGACCGACTGCCTGACCGGCTGTCGAAGGAACTACGACGCCCTCCACGCGGACTCCTTGAACGCCTCCGCCGTTTCTGGTCGAAGGAAGTGCTACTTCCAGCTGTTCCCATACTTCCCGCGGGAACTAGCGTGGACGTGATGCCTGTCGCACCCAGGGTCGCAGATGTCGAGGAGGTGGATAGCTGGCCGCCGGCGACAAATTGTCGCATCATCCCGCTGCCTCCCCCCGTAGGAAAGACGGGAGGACCAGCCTTGCCATACTTTGGGCCGGACATTGAAAAGCCACCACCTGCACCGAGCACGCCAAAGGGCCTCAAATGATTTCCGCCTGGGGTTTTGCTGGACGTAGCATTCGCTGAGGCGCCAGCAAAAGAACTCGCGTCCCCACCGGCAGCCGGAGGTGGTCCGGTCTTCTGCGCAGTTGGCCACGGTGTTGTCGCATCAAAGGGACTCTGTTGAGCTGGCGTTGTCGCATTTGCGCCGGTTGCAGCGCCAGGTGTGCTACTGCTTGTTGCAGATCCAGCGCCCACCATATTCTGGGCAGCCATTGCCGCCGCACGCTGTGCGTGAATACTTGCGACTCCCCCGCTCGCTGCCTGGTTCATGCGCGCTTGCTGCTGATGCCTTCGCTGCTGCATCGCCTGCTGCTGCTGGGCGTACAGCATCTGCTGCTGATAATGTGCTGCCATCTGTGGGGTCATTTGGCCGCTGTACATCATTTGCTGATAATACTGCATGATCATTTGAGGGCTCATCTGGTTCATCATCATGTTTTGCTGTTGCATCATGGCTGGGTTATATCCCATCATACCCGGTGCTCCTTGACCTCCACCCCAGCCGCCTGCGCCCCACATGCCGTGTTGACCTGCAGCACCCGCTCCTGCAACCCCTGGCGTCATACCTGCCGGTGGCGCTGGTGCCACAGACTTCGCCGATACTGCGGGGTTCATAACAGACTGGCTCATTCCATTAGAGGCTCCGTTGCGACCAGGAGTCGCCTCGCCTCTATCGAAGGGTCCTTTGTTCATCAGGCTTGCGTCCGTTAGTTTAGGGAAAACCCGATCTCGCATTTCTTGTTCGCTTGGCAAATCCACGCGTGTCCAGTCTCGTTTACTCGCCTCTGAGGCAAAGTGCTCTTGCAATTTCGTTAGGTAGCTATCTAGTAGAGACTCTCCGACCGCTGATGTTGGATTTTCCGCGCTCGCCCGCACGCGAGCAACATACGACGCGAGTGTTGAGCCTCCCATACTGGATGCGCCTGCGCCTGCTAACTTACCTAAAAAACAATTAGAAGATGTTCATGTTGATAAGTCATGATGAAATAAAAGGGGAGAATTCTTGTTCCGCTAGTTCTTCGTCTCGGATAATCTAAGCTAGCACTAACCTGTCAAGAGATATCCAAATCTGTACTAGAGCTCCTTCTTGAGTCTTACTAAAAATCTTATTTATTAAGTAGGTGGTACCTGTATGCCCCCCTGCAGATGCTGAGGCGCGAAATTTCTTGTACTCAGTTTCGACTGCCGTCTTGTAGAAGAAAAAGCGCTCCGATTCTGAACCGCCACCGTGGGCGTCTACGCGCTTCCGAATATCGTCCTGAACGCTACTGGGAAGCTCTTTGTAGAGTCTCGCCAGGTCAGCGTCCACGTTTGCTTCTCCACTCATCTGTCCCCCTTTGCTGAAGATGTAGTCCCCGTGGCCCCAATATACTCCTTGACCTTGTTGTACTTGTTGTTCACTACAAAACGTTAACAGTTACACTAACAGCGATGGAAGTGAATGGATACTTTTCCTGTGACTTAATCTTGCGATCATATACTGGGCTATGTTTCTTGTTCGTGCAAGTGTTCAAGATGCCAATTATGTCGTCGCGTCGGTGCTAATTTTCAAACAGGGGTTAATCAATTCTTTTCAAACGCTGCAAGATCTGCCAATCAAAACTGTTGATCACCAATCGGCACTTTAAAACTCTTTCTGCGCTTGTATGTTCTACGACCTAGCTTTGTATCTTTCTACCAACTCAACATCTTCCATTCCGAATTTGTTCTCTGATGAAAATACTTATGCTGGTGTTGGTGACCAATCACGTCGACTTACAAATAGTTCTCCGACTGTGCCTACACTTACCTTGTCGCTGAGCTCTTAACTGGTCGCTTGGCCTTTAGTTTTAGCTACCAGGTAGCAGGCGGTTGTGCATAATACCAAGAAGTAAGAGACGAAACCGAGAATCTCAGGTCGTCAATCTCTTCTTCTTTTTATTTCCTGTCTAAACCTAGATCTAGTCCTACTACAACTACACCTAAAAAGAAAGAAAGCAAAACATCAACGATCAAGGTGCTAATTTTAGAACGTACTAGTGGCGTCACTACAGAAAGCCGTTCAAGATAAAAAGGTAGAAAAACGTTACTTACGTCTCAGAAGAGATACTACTCCAAGCTTCACAATCTAAGATAGAATTGTCGTCGGGTGCTGCAACTCGAAATGTTCTTTTTTACCTCCTGGCGCTCTAGCTTTCTGGCTATTTGAAGCTATCTTGGCACTCAATAATTTGTGCATTCCAAGTCAGGCACAGACCGCAATCATAATAGCAATGCTATCACTTCTAACTCCAATTCCAAATAGTACAACATTCATAAAAATATTACAACAAGAGCAACCACAAGGTTTACCTTTACGGGCGGTGTAACAGTGCTCTTTCGATGCTGTCAAAACTATGCTATGCGTTGTGGAGGATCATGAAATATTGCCGATTGAGGAAGGTTCGTGCTTGGCCGATGTCATCACTCACGGAGGAAATCGAATTTCTTACTCTGAGTATTCTCACCACGGAGTAGTTCAGTGACGCATTCTTGATTATATGTGTTGATAAAGTGCAGCAGCTGATCTTGTGTCTTCTGCGCCAGTAGAAGTTGTCAAGACGCACTTATTCCGAGGTCGGGGCACAAATCCTAGTGCCCACACTTCAGAGAAACAACGAGCTAGGTAGCCGTAGATGAAGCAAGCGCCTCGAGAAGAGCACGTATTTCTTACAAGAAGCCCAGCGAAGCTCAAAAGGAAACTATGTGCGAATCTGGGCGGTCGCTTCACCTAAGAAGTGGATAGCGCTCGTGCGCCTTGTTCGTGATGAAGGTCTTCGTTACGCTTACGAAGCTTCACGGTCGAACAATCTCATGCGTATCGAGGTTTTCCCGACGTTGTTGAACAGAAAGTCCGCTGCTTTTCTGCTTCAGCACCACAACTTATTTGCAGAAGTTCTTATTTTGTTCTTCTTGCCTCATCCAGAACTGAGATGAAGTGACACAAATAAAGGATTGTTGATGCGTTGAAATGATCGTTCATAGCACCCACGAGGTCGCTGATGGCACAAGAATAGTTTCCGACAAAACTTGGTGGACAAAAGAGAATGATGTCAGCGATGGAAACGACGTCCACCTAAAGCGCCTAGCTTGTCACCTTCTTGAAGAAGAAAGTAAGCGCGCCTAACCGTAAGGATATCAGGACGAGACGTAAATGTTGATGTTGTGTCGGTCTTGAAGATGTCCGGGAAAGTGCTGCGCGCGAAGATGCCGGAGAGAATCAGCAGATCCACTCGAAGGTCAAGCGCATTTTTGTTAGTAGAACGAAAGATTTATCAACAAAGGAAGTACTGTCTGATAAGAAATGGTGTGGAAAATGTTTTTGTTAGGTCGTTGATGAACTTTTTCTGAGAATCAACGTTTGCTATAATTATCAATTGAAAGGAATCCTAAGCGTTTCTTTTTGTCATGAAGTGAATTATTTGCGCATGATAGAGAGGCTGAACAACGTCAAAGATCGATCACCTGAAATAAAATCAGACTGTTTGTCATGCGGATAAAAATACTTAGAAGTCGGATCGCCTTGATGGTCGACGTCGGACGAGAACAACATGTTGTAACTTAGAACATCACTACAACATGATCGACTACAATCGACAATGAGAAAGAGCAGCAGACACGCCGGAAATATAATCATGCAAAAGGCTAGTTCTGGACATTATGATTCAACATGAGATCGTATGTGAATCAGAAAACTACCAGGGCAGAGGAACATTGTGTCATATTCAAATTCGCTTGAGAAGGTCACTGTGTTTCAGTATCTATCAGAAGTCCTCAACGTTGTACTTATTCGAAAACTACGGAATGATCGAGATGAAATTGTAGTTCACAACCCACGACAAAATTTTGAAGAAATCATTCGTTTTAAAACCTCTCGTGGCAGTGGTCAGATATCATCCTCTGGAGAACAGAAAAACGTCGCGATTGTTATTCTCTGCAAGGATTCCTTCGATCACGATACTCACACGACAACAATATCAAAGGATGTTGTTTTTGTCACCAGAAAATAAAGCAAGCATCTCAAATTTTCGAATTTTACTCGTCAACGTCATAACGATAACATCAAAAATTGTTTCGAAGTCTTAGTGTCGGTCCCAATCTGTTTTTCGAAAATTCCAGGAGCTCGTTTTCTCGACGAGACGGATTTGATGTTTTTGAACACCCTTCCATTTTACCGCGGCATACGTGCTCAAGCGTCTGGAGAATTACTTTACAGAAGATTTCAACGATGACAGTCGAAAAAAACGACAGAGAATGATGAATGCAGAGAAAAAATCGTACTGCTGTATTCTCAGGGCGAGAAACAAATGGTAATGGGAATGAGAAGTGAGGAAAAAATAATTATGCAGGGTATGGAACAACCTACTTAATTATTTGGTTTTGGCGCCCTACTTGTAATTGCTGCATTTCTTCAACAATCTCTTTGGCGTTGTTAGACGGATGAGTCGGGACGAAGAGGCAGGATGAATCAACAAGTGCATTAGAAATTACTACTACAATCCCGACTTCCCCAGGTTCCTTAACTTTTGCAGCAAAAATATGCATGAAATAAGCACGCGCCCAATGCTCGTGCTACGTCTAAATGCGTTACGTATCTTCTAACGGATGAAGACGCTGACGTTACGTTGCATGTCTCTCCTTCCAATTCCATCTCCTTCGGCGTCGATGTAATCCTCGGTAATGCTCAGCGAAGGTCCCGTTAACGCGAACAGGCGTAGCTACCTGGAGTCCATCGCCCAGTAGAAAACCTGAGTTACGCTTCGGCCGATAGTGCCACGAGGCGTTACCCAAATGCGGTGACAGAACTCGGGACCACTCTTTTTCCTGCCGTTCTTTAGTCTCCACGTTTTTTTTGATTTCAGTCTTGTCCCTGACCCCATTTTCTTTCCACTCAACATGCTCTTGTTTGACTTCCGTCACTGTCTTCTCGCTTAGTTTTCTAACAGATTGCTCCCAAATCGCAGCGCCTTCCACGCGTTCGTAGACAGCCTTATCCCAAAGTTTTGGATGCGGATAAGCATAGCGATTTTTGGAGTCCGCCGACCCGGGTTCTTCGGTCGGCCACCATGGCCCTGTGTGGACCCATCGCAACACCGGCGTTTCCTCAAATTGCTCGTCTGTAACGAAGAAGTGCGCCAATGCTGTAACTTCACGGCGAGGCCAAGATGCAGCTTCCAGAAGCGAAAGGACGCAGCCTTTCAATGATGAACCTGCCTTCTCGTCAAGGATTCCCAAGCCCACAGCACTTTCTGCCGAAGACGCGCGGCAGTCAGTCTCTAATTCCTCTAAGCTTTTGACTTGAATAGCGTATCGGATTAGGCGTTGCGAAAAAACTTCGCGACCCCATGAACTTACGCCACTGCTTGGTGGCAACGGCCGATAGTCTGATACGATGTCCCAACCACTGCTGTTGAAGAACCGAAACCCAATATGCATGTTTAGCATGTAAATCGTGTATTTTTGTTCCAGAAAAGAGTATAACAAGGATGCGGTCACTCCTGTCCCCTCGAAAATCCAATTGTGAACGTTCCAAAGGCCACTAGACTGATGATCAAGGAAACCACGTAACAGCTCCCCGTCTATAGAATCCGTATCGATTTTCAGCAATGTTATGTCAACAACCTCAGTAGCACTTCGTGTTCGTGATTGATTTTCGGTAACAATGGTGCGAGTCCCATTTTCTTCAACAGCTGCGACGTTCTCGTTCGATCCCAGCATCGTGTCAAAAGCATCGGGGACAGCATCTTGAAGAAGAGTAAACGTCACATTTTCAGCTTTGCAACGGAAAAGGCCAAAATTGTTTCCGTCGCCCAATCGGTACTGTTCCCCCGTAGCATAGGCATACTCGTAGACCACGCTTTCGCGATCCTCGCCTACAACTTCATCAGGCTTGCCTTGACGTCCTGTACTGGTGCTAGCACTTGTAGCAGTCGTAGCCGTAGCAACACCCTCCAACCCCACCTCGACGGGCCCTGAGCGCCGATATTTCGTCTTGAGGACTTTCTTAACGAGGTTCCGCTTTGTTCGATCAAACGTAGCGAAACCTGAGAAGACTTTGACGCGATCGCGCCATCCTACATTTGCAGCCACAGTGTTTTGCAGTGCCGCTGTGAGCTGACCCTGCGGCTCAAACGAAGCAACGTAGGCTCCCATACTAGCGGCCAATGCAGTGAACATGCCCACGTTTGCGCCAACATCCACCACGTAGCAAGCCCTCTTTTTTGAAGTATACGTGGCAGGATAAAATTCATCTCCTCGTCGTTGGTTTCTATCACCTTGTCCATCAACGGCATGATCTTGACTTTTTGTCCATTGTTGCTCCCGCCACAAGCAGTTGTGCAAGACCGATGCTGCCGCGTCGCGGTTATGGGGGTCGAACTCGAAGGCCTTGCCTTCCGACCACTCTCGGCAAAGGTGAGGCATCAGAAAAAGGTTGCACGTTTTTGGGATCGTCTCCATAACCAAGCCGTGAGGGTTGAAAGGATAGAATGACGGCGCTTGATATGCAAGGTCTTGAGAGTCGTGATAAGGTGGATTTTGTCGAAGTTCTAGCACATCAACACGTTCTTCAACATCGACGCGGAGCTGATGTTTTGCTCCTGCTGAAGATAATTCTCCACCTTGAACAAGAGAGACCCGCACCATGATGTCTGACGATTGGAGGAAAGCCAATATCCGTGCAGAGAGGTAGGCGCACAAGCTTTTCGTTTTCCACCCTCTTGTCGTGGTCGCAGAGCCGTTATCCAGGAAAGAGGACGACAGTAGAAAGGAGCTCGGTGCACGCGGGAGCGCCATAATTATTCTACCTGTGAGAGAAGAAAGCGCAAAATCCATTCCGTCCAGGAACTCGCTGTAGGCGGTGCCGGTGATACTGATAGTGGTGATACAGACTTCCTAGTATAACGACAAGCACCTATCATGAAGTAGTTGGACCCCCATGACGAGTGACAGAATAGACACACCTCTCATCAATACTTCAAGTTCCGTGCTTTGCACCAGTTGATTTAGCCCTCACCTCGTCTTGACACAACTCGGCAAGGACTCTTCCCCCTGTCTGCTCGATCTCTAAACCTCTGGGCTGTACTTAGTTTCTCATCACCCTCCCGAAACTTCTGTTGGGCGAACACAGACTTTGACAGAGCCATAGATGGCGATTGTGAGTGTTGCTGTTCTTGTTGAGATATCAAAGACACATACCGATACGAAAATCCATAATGGGAAGTTCATGATAGTCGTACTTAGTTGTGTGTAGTTGTTCTAAATTACGCAGGGCGGGAAGTACTACGGGATAATTGTAGTCCGGGCGGTGGATGCGAAGTGCGGGGTTGAAGAAGGTGCTCAATCGCGTTCTCCTACCAAATCTTCGCGTTGACAATAACATCAGATACGTCCAGCTTGTGTAACCTCTATCCAGCAAATTTACGTTCTCTTTCACGGAAACTCATAGATGAGTAGTCTTTTCCGTGTTTCTTCTTATCTAACGGACGCTGATTGTGATAGAGACTTTTGCGGTATTCCTTCTTCTCCTTTGGTTCGTTCAATTTTCGTCGTTTCGCATCGAGGATTTCATGTCCTGCAGCCAAATCGTTGCTTGTTAATCCGAAACGTTTTTTCCATCGAATCATCTCTTCTCTAGACATTGCTTCGCCTTCTCCTGATCCTGGTTCCCCTCCTCCTGAGGAAGCAAATGCTCCGAATCGCTTTTTGTGCTCCCTTTCTCGCTCTAGACGTCGTCGTGTCGCTTCGAGTTCTATGGCCGTTACATCGCGTCCCGCGAAGGCGTTTGGCGTGCTATTACGAAAGTACTCAACCGCGAACTTTGGCAACTCTAGATCAGCCGTTGGCGTAAACAATAAACCGTGGACAGCCGTTTCAGCGTTTTCTAGTTTACTGGAAGTCGGTGTACTTGAAGATGTTGTGGTACTGTACGTGGTTTGTTCACCTTGGCCGCTTGAAGATGTTTTGGTCGCTTTGGTTTCAGAGAACTCTGCGTCTGCTAGCGCAAAGATTTTCGTGGTGAAACCGACACGAATCGCGTTAGCGGTTATGCCTGAGAAGTCGATGAGACTCTGCACCAATGTGCGGTCCTCTACTGTTGTGGTATCGATTTCGACTGCACGCTGCGAGCACTGCCAACTAGGTCGGTACTTCATCAAATCAAGTTGCTTCCGACTAAAAATACGGCGTTTCGGCACACTCTTGATTTTGTTCGCGGGGAAATGCTGCGAGTTGATGTGGTCAGTGGTGCTAGAAGCGTGAATTGCTGCTGCTTGATTCTGATGTGAGTCCTGTTGTTCTGCGCCGAGTGCTCCTGTGAACATGCCAGATGGCGAGGAGGCCCCTGCGACAATCCCGTTTGCACCCGCGTCAGTGTTGCCTTTCTCTGCCGCCCCACCAGGCGCAGCTCCCCCTGAACTGGACGTCGTTGAGACTTTTCTTTCGAAGTCGAACGAAGACGTATGTTGTTCGATTTGAAGCACATCCAGCTCTTGCAGTTGGTCCTTCACCGGCAGATGCTCGATGTTAGTCGCAGTTAATTGTATCTGAGGCGAGCTTTGTTTCTCTCTAGGCTCCACCTCGTCTTCCGGCAGGACAGGAAGGTCCCAGGGCGCATCGAAATTTTCCTCGTCCGAAGACATTTCAGAGTCTGCGGGAGCATTTTTCCCACCATTTGCAGACGGTTTCCTTTGCTGATTGGACTCGCTTTTTTGAAGGTCTTTGTTCACACTTGCATTCCCAACTTTAGTATTCCCCTGCTGGAGAAGATGTTTTCCGTCTTCTGATTGGTTGGCGTTGGCTCTACCCTCAGCAGCCATATTACTAGTAACTACACCTCCAGGGGCAGTGTCAGCAATACTACGCGATGCTGCTGTGCTAGCATTGGCTGCTTCGACGACTTCCTTCGCAGCATCTTGGACTTCGATCCCTTTCTTTTTTGGATCTACATCGACAGCAGCGCTGCTTATTTGATTCACAGTGGAAGTCTTCATCAAGTCTCCCTGCTCATCTGGATTATCTTGATCCTCCTCTTCATCTGCGTCCTCTGCTGCCTCGTCGTGCAGGACATTGGCATCTGTCGAGCACAGGAAATAGCGTGGTTCTGAGAGTTCCAACAGGCCACGGATGATGTCCAACTCTCGAATTTCGTCGAGGCGACCCTGCACATCAGCTGCGGTCGCGACCTCCAGTGGACGCGCCGGCCCCTTGTTCTTCGCAGCATCCTTTGGTTGCTGTTTTCGGAACTTCGGCGCAGGTCGCGAGGTCGGATCATCTATGGTATGCGAGTAGTACTCGCCGAGTCGCGGCCACGGAGTCTCCTTAGCGGCGACACCCTCGACGCGCTTGGGCATATGCAAGTCGATCAGGGCGCGATTCCGGTCGAAAACTTCGCGTCCAAAACAGCCCTCAGCGCAGAGAAAAATGTCCAGTCCGTGACGGCTGGCATCAGCTAAGCTCCCAGGCAAGCCCGAAGCGGACCGCGGTGCAATTGCTCCTGTGCCGTTTCCGGTAGTGGAACTCAGAGTCCCAGCCGCACGAAAGCCAGACAAGGATGCGCCGTTGGCACCGGGTTTATTCAACGCATTGGCACCAGATGGCATCAAGTGGCTCGTCGCTCCTGGTGAGGCTTTGGAAGTCAAAGTCGAATTGCTACCAGCACCACCTCCAACTACGCCAGCACCAGCGCCTCCGAAACTTGACCCATTTTCCAGCTCTATCTCTTCACGCAAACGATCAACGCATAGTTTTGTGTAGCATCCGTCCACGAACAGTTCATCAGATTGAAAATAGGAAAGTACACGCTCTTCAAAAGCCTCTTTCTGTTTTCGTTCCGTCTCTGCGTCAAGCAAGATTTCCTCGTCGGGCTCCTCAAGGAAGGCACGCCGAAGCAGACTGATTCCGCTAAGAAAACCAACCTTGAGCTTCACAACTTCAGGATTGGTATGAGTGCTTGAAGATGTGGCCCCACCTCCGGTTGATGTCAGAGTTGCTGGATCTTTTTTCCGCTTCACCATCAGCTCCGTGACGCCACTGTGACCCAGGAAATTTAAGCCCGGCAAAATCTCATCGTCGCCCTCATCTACCAGAGCTTGCACCGCCGGACCGCTGTCCGTGAAATAGACCGGGCCACACTCCGTGAAGTCCAGGTCGCCATCCATGTCCATGTCATCCGACGTAAATTGACCAACGCAGAAAACCACATCAAAAATTTTCTGCTTTGCGCGGTACTTCTCCAGGGTGGCATGCAGCTGCCGCACTCGACCCTGAACAGAGCCCATCAAGAGTACGCGCAGGGGCGATGGGGCTGCCGCGGGTGCGTCATCGCTGGTGTTGCGGCGCGCCGGAGGAAGCATCTTTATTTTTTCGTGGCCTCCTGAAAAGTGGCTACAATAATGGGAGTTACCTTTTCTCTAGTCTCACGCCAGTCCTCGATCTGGACAAGAGTAGATACTGCATAGCGCATCCAATTTCTCCAAATTAATCGAGGAGCAGGAACAAACTTACACGAATAATTGATATCACGGACCAAATTTTGATGATTTTTTAATCAAGTTCCCAGACAGCCATTCACTTCCTACTCGCTGCTCCCACTGCTGGTAGTATTTTTTGCACTAATGTAAACATCAAGAGACAAACAAAGTAACTAAACCAACAACTACTGAAGTTTGATCAAATCAAGAGCTACATCATTATAGATACACTTGTTCAAAAAAATCGAAAATCATGACTCGCATTTAAAACTTCATCTCGTTATTATAATATCTCTACTTTGACAGTGAGAAGATCGTGGATGGGTGTGATCGAGATCGAGGGATGGTCGATCAAAAAAAAAAATTTAAATAGAAGTACTTAAAAACGAACTAGTACATTTTGTAATAAACAGACTTCCAATTTTTCAAACCACATATTTCAGTTCAGACCAACGCAGCGAGCCCTATTAAATTATTATTCATTGATGTTGCAACAAATCAAGAAGAACTAGCGTGTCATGCTGAATCGTCAAGATCACAAAAGCTCGTGGATGAAGATACAGAACCAGAAGAGAAACGAACACCTAATAAATGGGACAGAAGATGACCAACATTAGATCTGGACCGGCCTTGCGCAAAGAACGGCTGAACTAAAGGGAAATCATAGATGTCACTTGCAGACACCGCTTTTTCGATCGGGGATCATATGAATGGGGATGGAGAGAAAACCCGTCAGCCGCCGGGTGGGGCACGTGTCCCTGGTCCTCCTTTTATCCTTTATTTCTTCTACAAGAAGCAGAATTTGAGTTACTTGTGTGATTTTCTTTGATCTTGGCCCAGGTTTCAGGATTCCATGCATCGACACCAGAGGGACTCGCCCGACTGCCCGATGCCTTTGCACCAGATGCTAGCGCCGAAGCAGAGTTAGTTCGTGGAGGTAGCGACCGAAGACCCTTTGTGGGGTCTTTTTGAGGAGCTGCGTCGTTACCTTCATCCACGATAAAAGCATTTCCCATGCGAGCATTTGCTGGATGAATGTGCCCGCCTATTCTACTCTGCATACTAGCCGCAACAGCTGTAGATGAAGATGAGGAAGTCGTAGTTCCTCCAGCTGATGCAGTAGCTGTTGTTGATGTCGTGACATTAGTACTGCTCGCTGCGGCCTTCGCCCTTGTCGTGGTGCCCGCTGCTCGTGTGGCGGCAGAGGACGCACCACCAGGTCCGCTAGCCTTGGTTGCAGATGAGCTAATTTTTCCTACAGTTGCCTTTACATTCCGCTTTGCAGCTTCAACTGGCTTGATTTTATCTCCTTGTTTGCGCACACTCTTTGCCCCTGCACCGCTAGCTGTTGAAGTCCCGTGAGCTGCAGCAAGCGAAGACTTCTTCGCACGCGCGAGCGCCGATGCTCCACTGGTGCCTGAGGCTAAAGGCAGGCGTTGACCAAGCGTTTTGTTCAACGCTACATTGACAGTGGTTTTGTTGGTCGTGATTCCCGCGATTACACCCGAGGAACTGCTGGAAGACGATGCCGTTGCATGAGCATGACTACTTGTTCCTGCAGTGGTCATGGGCAAGCCACCCTTTGCTATATAATAGTCGTAATCTTCCGAGAGTCCAACATTTGATGGAGATGCTCTGGCACTACCAGCCACAGGTCCTACGTTCCCTGTTGAAGATGATCCGAATATAGCCGCACTGGCAGCAGTCGCACCTCGGTTCTCGCATGTTCCGTTGTTTGCAGCAGTCACCAACACTGTCGGAATCCCTTGTTCTACTTGTAGACGAAGAAGTTGTTTCTCATGCTCCAACTTTTTTCGTAATTCGTCAAAACCGTTCTCAAGATAGATCTCAACTTCCTCTTCATTCTCCGGGTGTCCTCTTTGGTCGTTGTATGATGAACTACTTACATCTTCCATCTGATCGACCTCCATGTCTTCACCTCCAGAGTCAGCATGATGGTCTAGTGTAACTTGATGCGGATTTGAGGAAGCAGGACCACCTGGCGTAAGAAGAACATTGCTGTTCATCATGATCGATCTGGCAAGATCTCCTCCAACAGACATTTGATGTTGTCCCAGCGCCTCATAGTGAACGTCGCCGGAAGTGGTCATAGTACAACTCATCTGTGACGAGCTTCGAGGAAGCAACGCATGTTGATCATGACCTGCTGCTCCACTCGCAAGAACTGGACTAGATGGAAAGTCGTCTACTGGCATCAGGATACAAGAACGGTCCACAGCAGAAATTGAAAATTTCCACAAAACGCTGGTCAACCATTCTTTTGTGACACCTCCTATGCTTTTCGGGGACGACACCACCTGCTGTCCTCCAACTTCGCCAGATAAAGTAGAAGGTCCCCTGGCTCCTGCTGCCGGACTTCTTGCCCTTGCGGGTTTCTCCCGATAGACATCGTAATTGTCGTTGGTGAGAATGCGAACGGGGACGCCGCGCTTCCGCAGCTTCAGCGCACGCTGAAGAATCACCTCGTCTACATCCGATCGACTGGGAACCTGTCATAAAAAATTGAAGAGGTCAGAATGCCTACTTTTTAGTAAGTATAGCCGCAGATGCAAAAGTCAATTTTCGTTAATCATGTCTTTGTATGGATTGATGAGATTGACATTGACTACTTTATTAAATCCCGTCGTTAAGTAAAAACTGAGTACCGAAGTGCATTTCCGTTGTATCGTTCTGAAAGTCTTGTTGTCTTCCCTGTCCAACTGATCGTAGTCAGGTTGGTACAACATTACTTCTTGCGGTACACCAGGAAAGCGCTCCTCTACGGCTTCGAGTGCTACACTCAGCGTCTCCATATCCAGAGGCGGAATCTGTCTTGGGCTTCGTGAGCGTGACCCTGCGACAGTTCTCGCGACGTTTGGTCCGTCGACAATGACCAAAGCCGTCAGCGATGCCGTCAAGGGATTCATCGCGGCAAGGATTCTTAGTAGGGCTATGGCGAAGACATATTACATATGAACTGGTTAACGACGAAATGATCCTCGTCGTGTGGGGTTCACAATGTCGGTAGGGGTCGCGGGTCGATACCTTCTACAAATCTCCACGGAAGGTGATGAGAAGCCCGAGCGTTCCACTGTCCGCTCGACGAGGCAGTGAGGACGCAATGAAGGACCAGGAATAAGGTACGTGAACGTGAATCAGAGACGGACCCGAACACTTTAGGCGCTTCTTCGTCGATACTGAAACTGATCACCCGGATGAAATCTCTTCAGCATGTACTTCCTCGTAGTCGAAAAGTTTGGTTATCTTACAGCTGCAGCGAAGGGGTGGAAAGAAGCGATCGCCATCGGGGGTTGTTCGACGACGATGGCTAAAAGGAAAGAATGCAGCTTCCGCTCGTCCATTTTGGAATATTTTCTTTGATGAAATTGAAATCGGACGATTCTTTTCAATCTATTTAATTACGACGTTAGCAAAGACAAAATTCTCGATGCGCAAACTGCTGGTAATGATCAAACGAAATATGAAAAACAGGCGCATGATCTTCACCAAAGAGTCTGAAAAACAAGGCCATACTGGCCACAAGCCATTTACAACTACAAGATACCTGCTTAATACAGCATCGGGACGGGGACAGCCTCCCGCATGTCTATCTGATCGCGCAAGAATTAAACAGTAAGTGAATACTGCAAAGGATGGAAAGCTAGCAGAAGCTACAGAAGAATAGCGAGAAACCTTAGTTGAAGCTATAAGCAAGGACGGAAGACGACGTAAAAGTTCGTTGATGTTTGAAGCAAAACCCAAAATTTTGTTCAAGGTGAAAAATTTCGATCTTGTTGAATCATTTGAAGGTGAACAACAACAACAGAATTCAGGGGTGAAGAAAGAAAACGTATGACTAGCACTAGAAGGATCTAGTATGCAAGAATAGCAAAAGTATTTCTTCATCTGGGTCCGAGCAAAACCGACATTCTTCATGCGGAGAAGCAGTAGCAGCTCCGCGAAAATCCTATTAATACAATTACCGCCTCGTCTTCGTCTTCATGCTCACCCTCAAGCTCGACGAGTACTTTCCATAATTTCGAACTATGGTCATAATACGCTCAACCTCGATCATGAGGAACGTAGATGTACTATCTTATCTATGAAAATGAAGAGCTTAATTGTTAGTACTTACTTATGTCCAGAGTCAGAAGCAACTACAACGGTTAAGCAGATGGTACAGAGGAAGATGGAGGCTCTTGATTCGCGAGTTATGGCTCTTTCGCAGGTCCAGCGCAGCAAAGCATCGCCTGAAGGCGCCTTTTTGAAAGTTTCAGTCACCAGAGCTCAATCTACTTGTTACACCAAACACACTTCTCGGCCATGAGTACTAGCATTTTCCGGTTCGTGCATAAATTGCCACGCTAATAAATTTGCGTTCGCTAGTTTTTGTCACCTGGAGCTCATCATGTGGGATCATGCGCTAGTTGAGTTGACCTGTTAAAGTAGAGAGAGTCATCACACTGAAGTTATAAATATGAAAGAACTTATATATAAATATATTCGGCGATATTTTCAGAATGAAGCAAAGGTGCGTGTGCATCCGTCATGTATTCGGGTTTTGTAAATGGGGTAGTGAGGCCGATTGGAGGAACAATTGGCCAAGCAGCTTCATTGCTTCTTGATTCACAAAATTCGGATCTATGGTATTCGGAGACTCGCCGCTTGACGCTCCTGGAAAATTCGTCCTACCATGGCTATTTGCACTACTAGAAGTCCGCAAGGGAAAGCCTGAAGATCTCTTGGCGGGGGTTGCCCTATTTGTCTTAGAAGAGGACGATGACAAAGATGTAGTGGGATCTCCTCGAAGATCACGAGTTCTAGTTTCATCCTCACTCGCATCTTCGAAGTCATCGTTGTCCTCGTCAGAGCTAACCCCCACAAGCTCGAAATCACGATTGCGTCTGCCTGTTTCGCATGCTTTTTCCAGATCGGCCCATGTGATACTCCAGCTTCGGATTTCTAGAGAGGCCTCCATTGTGGTTTTCAGCGAAGACGTAGAGGAAGTTCTACGTTGCTTTGCGCCGCGACGAGCTGCTAGCAAAGCTGCCTCGTTTAAGACATTCGCAATTTCTGCGCAGCTAAAACCACGACATTTGCGCGCTAGTCGAGCCGCGAAATTCACTTGAGGAGCAGGTTCATCCACCTGTGGTCGCCCTGACTGCTCTAGGCTGCTTATGCTGTCGGTCTGCGAGGCGTCTCTTCTATTCAATGCTATTCTCGACGACCTACTGTTCTGCTGTTCCGGAGCGGAGGACCAGTTTGAACCCACTCCACGACCACCAGCAAACAATCCTGTCAAGGTAGGGTGAAACTGCTTCCCACGTGCGTGGATGAGCACACACTGGTGCCGCGTCGTCTGCGAGGGGTACTTCACTTTCACGATGCGGTCGAGTCGTCCTGGTCGCAACAAAGCTGGGTCAAGTGTGTGATGTCGGTTGGTTGCAGCTAGGAAGACAAAAAAAGACTCACCTCCTGATCCTCGGCTAGTAGGATTACTATCGCCTCTTGTTCTCCTCACCTGAAGATTCGAAAAAAAAGGTCCTCGATGCGGGTCCTGTCCACCTCTTTCTCCCGTCTCACCTTCTTCAGGGTCCATGAACGAGAACGTGCTGTCTTCTTCCTCGTTGTCGATATCGAAGTAGTCCGTTTTTGCGTCTCTGTTCGCGGATGAAAAAGGCCATAGGAGGTTGCGGAAGTCACACCACGATGTAGCATGCCGAACCAATGGTGGAGTCAATCTGTTTTCTTGTTCATCACTATGCGGAGCCTTGTCACCCCCAGCTACATCTTGATCGATGAAGTCCTTCACATCTTCATCAATCTGGTTATTTTCCACATCCACGTCTGCTGTTCTTCCATTTGTCTTGCCTGCAGCGTTGGAAGGTCTTATCTTCATATTTCTCCGTTTCGCCATCTGTTGTTGCTGTTGCGCCGAAGAGCTGTTAGCGGTTGCAGCACGTCGTTTCAAGTGCATTCCATCCAGTTCCACGAGGAGTTGCGAAATCGTTTGGCAATACTCACCACTCCCCAGGCTGTCGTCACGGCTTCCGATCGCCTCAAGCTCGTCGAGGAACAGGATTGAGGCGGGATAATTCTGGGCATTTTGAAAGAACTTCCGCACGCGGGACGCCCCCACACCAACATACTTCTCAACGAACCCGCTCGCGCTCGCATGGAAAAATGGCACGCCAGCCTCGGTGGCGACTGCGCGGGCGAGCAACGTCTTGCCACAGCCTGGTGGTCCGACCAACAGCGTACCCAATGCTGGGATAGCCCCCACACGCTGAAAGAGCTCCGGCCGTTTGATGTACGCGATTACCTGCATGTCAGTGCCGTGTCGTATTCACTGTTCAATGATGAAGTGTGTCACAGCACCTTGATTACGTAGAAGTCCTAGTCGACGAGGTGCATTTGTACTCATCCTCATGTCAATCCAAAAATATATCTTTCATTCATCTGCTCTAGTACGTAGAACTCCGAATTCATCTGCTCTATTTAGGCTGGGTAAGCGGGAGTACCTCCCGTAACTCTTCTTTCTGCTTCCGAAAGCCTGCTACATCGTCAAAGCCGATGCCAGGTCCTGCGGAATCTGAGGAGCTGCCAGCTGCCTTCCACACGTTGTCATCCTTAATCCCACCTGACAACGGATTATCGTAGAAGTAGTAGCAACATGCAAGTGCTGCGCTCAGCGAGAAAAGGTCAACAGCTAGGCCGACTAAAATTTCTTTGTTTCGAGAAGCTGAGTTCCTCTGATCACTGGTAGTTCTCCCGATATGCAGTTGTGATGGCTGCGCTCCTCCCCGATTTCCAAGTCCAAGTGGGGACGAGGCAGATACTATACCAAGATCCTGAATCATGGTCATCTCACTGGAAGAAGCAGTGGGGGTGTTGTCAGTTGTAAAGAATCCACCGCCTATTCTCGAGGAAGTAGATGACGCTGATAAAGATGAGACCACTGAAGAAGATGGGAGCGTGGAAGGATGAGAAATAGGAACACATGTTGGTGGCAATTGTGCAGCAAGTGGTACTTTCGCATTCTCGATGGCACGGTACACGCTTTCGTGACACCCAGGAACCAGGTTAGTTGTGAAGGAGAGTTGTGAAGTACCAACTCGGACTCCAGCTACAGAAGTTGCTGCATGGCTGCCTAAATTGTTCCCAGAAGATGGAGAAGATACTCGAGCCCCCGCCCCATAGCATCCGGCTGTAGCCGCATCTAGTTGTAGAGCTGTAATTGCTTCCGAGGAAGGCAGTGGCGGGGGAAGTAAAGCAGCGGCTACGTCGTCCTTCACGGCGAAAGTGATTGCTCCTTCCGGTGGAAAAACTGAGGCAGACTCAATGGTGTCATACGAAACCGCCGTGACTGCTTTGCGCGCGAGCAGGGACAGGAATTCCGAGAGCGGAACGACAATTCGCCCCGCTGTGGAGACGTATTTGGACACCAAAGGCAATTCCGTCGTTGTGGAGACTCCACCTGAACCTGATGGATCCAAAACCACATTAGAAAGACTAGAACTAGATGAATTAGAATATATTAAATCTTCTGCTTCTGAAAACCAAAACTGACTAATAAAAAATTGGTTCATTTCCGACTCTAGATTGATATGAGTCGCGCGAGAGCTACTGGAGTTTCATTTCTAAAGTGGAACATCATGATCCTCCTTTGTTGTAGATAGATAATTCCCCTTAAAAAGTAGTTAGGTTGACGAGTAGGAATGAGCTGAAGACGAACCCTGTTTTTCGTTTGTTGTTGAAATCTTCGGATAAAAGTGAATTATCGATGAGAGAGCGTTGTTGTTCTTAACTGTGCCTTGATTTTCCAAAGAGCCTACGACCCTTCCTGCCACCGCTGTTTCAAGGGATGAAGATGAAGATGTTGAATGAGAATGCTCCGCAGTACTAGAGGAGAGTTGTTGTGGAACCGGAGGCAAGTCACTTGGTACTGGTCGTCCACTATCCACGTTACCCGATGAAGAAGATCCACCACCCACTCCGCTTAGGTTTTCTGCGCACTCCGTGCTTGGAGTCAATGTCGACGAAGCTCCAGGCTGATCCGTAAGCGCAGGCGGAACGCTTATCGTGTTCGCGTGTTGCCACCATCTGGACGCAAGCCAATAGCCACCCGCCACGGAAACGCTGAAGGTACAGAAGCGCAACACGTCCAGCTCTATTCGCGGAAAAAAGGGCCTGCTATTTCTGTCGTTTTTATCCCGGGACACCACACGGATGCCGCTCACATCCGACAGCAGCTGGAGCCACATCCTCTTCCTCGCAGCCTTTTAATGCTACCGTTTTTGATAGGCCAGCAAGGCAATGGCAGATCTTCGACTGATCACCTGATGATGTTTAGTTACATCATCTTCTGGTTCTGTCATTCTTCAGGTAGTTCCACAACGAAAAAAGAACTTGCATATATTTTCTCTGACGCCCATTGCTACCACTACTAGTGTCTTGTCCTTCAACCCTAATGACCTCCTCCTGAATCTTCTGAATCTTTTTAGCACAAGCACAATAATCTGTACAAGAAACGAGGACAAAGAGGACACAGCCAGGCCTATAAATCTTAGTCTCCAGAAAACCCACTAAGTCGCCCCTTTCTAGACAAGTCAAAAACCGAAGCACTTGTAGCATTTTATTCGATTTCATTATCTCTTGCACGTACCTACAACTAGCTATACTTGATTGATTTCGACACAGCAGTGATAGACATGCAGATCTTTGGACCGGAAAAATTCCAACTCGAATTCTAAAGGGTCTTCCATTTGAGGGCGTCGCTCGTCATTCTCATTGATGTGAACAGATCAGCGTTAGCAGATTCTGACATCAACGAGCTCTGCCAGAAATTTTTAGATCGCATCTTCAAGATCAGGTTTCAACCACCCCTTCGTCGTCAGGAGCATGCTGGTGGTGGATCACGAGAACGTCCTGTGATCGCAGATGATCGCGTGTCTGACCCTCGCGCCTTCGAATCTCCCACGAACTATCACTTTGATTCCACTGGGTGACCACTGGTGCGTCCTCGCCGCATGCAATGTCAGAAGAAGCTTATTTAGTTCATCGTAATTATTACAGATACCAAAACTTTGTAAGGTACAAATACATATACAATTTCTTCGTTCATCAAATAAATGATGAAGCAATGATGTTGTCTTCTTCATCGTCAAGATACTTGGAAAGCCCATTCTGTGAGGATGACAGCATGAATTGCCGATCGGATGGTCTGTCCTCTTTCTGTGTTGTCGTCCGAGACTACAAACTAGGGTACCACATTCGAAGAACCGAATCAACCACAACTAGCTACTTACTACCAGAGTTGAACTTCATTGGTAGTTTGTACCTTCACATTTCAATTTCATTGATAAACAACACCGGACTAAAATTCAGTTTTCATTTGGTACAAAAGATTATGACCAGATCGGAGAAGACAACATTGTACAGCAAATACAATGAACAATTCTGTCTTATTATCGATGATAGATAATATGAGGCATATTTATTAAGCATTGTTGATAGACAAAACATGGTTATAAAAAAACAAAAATCATACAGTCGTAGCATAACCACACAACGGATATGTACAAGACAAATTTTTCGCTGCAAGCTAGATTGGAACGATATGATTTATTGAGATAGTTTGACGAAGGACGATGACGAGTCTCTTGTTCTCGGAAGTTACTGTAGGAAGTCTGGCAGAAATACTCATTATATATATATTGTGGAGCACGTTGGTCGTGCATTAAAGTGGACAAGGTTCATCCACTCACTCAGGGGGCCTCCGCGTATTTTTTTTTTGTATGCCAAGACCGCCGGAAGGGTGATCCCAGTTTTATCCAGCTCGCAAACCAGCCCTCTTCTAATATCCTATTTTTTTTTGTTACCTGAGTAATTACCTCTAGACTCATTTTAGTAAATCTCATAATAAATTGCGTAATAATTTTCATAGCGGGTCTAACATTCGTGTCGCCTCCTTCCGCTGGATATGGATATGGAAGGAATTCAATTCATTGTCGGAGAACTCTGATAATTGATGAATATGAATCGATTGGCGAAACAATGAATTAATGTCCATGCAGTGAAAATTTCACAATGTCCAGGCACCCATCTACATCGTGCTCGTGGTCAGGAGTAATACGTAGTGTTTACTTGATTACTTGCATCGCACTATTTTTCTTGCCTATGCATATTATGTCTATCGCGATCGCAGTGCAGTTTTTTGTTCCCGCATTATGTTCATGCATGTCGAGAGATAGAGAAGAGCAATGACTTCCTTGATACTTTGTAGAACTGCACAGCTAGACACCTGCTTAAGCCCTAGAGGCCGTGTAGCCGCCCACTCATTACACTACTCTGTGGCGCCTTCTGCGTTCTCGACCTGCAGCCCACTTTGTTTTGTAGTTTCCTCTCCTTTAGTATCCCTATCACAGTTTTCGCAGCAATCAGCACCGCACTCCCATTCCATGACTTGGCTTCTTATGTTAGAGGTAGAGCTACCGAAAACATATCGCAGAAGTTGTAACGAGAGAAAAACTAACCGCTTTCATCTACTAACTTACTCTAGGAAAACGGTAACAAAATAATCCAGACTGGTGATCTTGACTCTGACTATATGTCTGTGCCTTCCACTCCATCTTCATCTCCAATTACCACGACCGTTCTCTTCTTAATAATGCCGTGGAATTCTTAAGTCTGGAAGATGCCTGTTGTTGTTCTTCTCCCTGTGGAAAATCAAGATTCCAGAACTAGAAAAAAAAGCAAGAGCATCTTATCTAGTTCCGCGTCTATCTCTACTAATTTTGTGAAGTGATTACTGAGAGGGACCCTTCAGTCATCAATGTGAATTACTGACATGTAGTTTCATCATCCGCGAGATTTTTCGTTAAGGTAGCTACTAGCGCTACTGCTTCAATCATCATATCATCTCTCTTTCCGGTGTGAAAATGAAAAAAAACTCACAAGCCTTAACCATACCCAATCGCGACTCCTCGCTTCGCGCGTGCAAGATTGGAGCTCCCTCCGCCTTCACGTGTACGACCGGCGCCTCCTCTGCTTCCTTGCGGGCCTCCTCATCAGGCTTCTTTTTGTTCGCCGCCGCCGCCTCCTCCTTCTTCTTCTCCTTCTTCTTGCGGTCCTCCTCCTCCTCCTTGCGCTTCGCCGCCTCAGTCGCCTGCCGCTCCTTGCGTTCCTCCTCCTCCTTGCGCTTCGCCGCCTCCCTCTTGTTGCGTTCCTCCTCCTCCTCACGCTTCGCCGCCTCAGTCGCCTGCCGCTCCTTGCGTTCCTCCTCCTCCTTACGCTTCGCCGCCTCCCTCTTGTTGCGTTCCTCCTCCTCAGCCGCCTCCCGCTCCTTGCGCTTCGTCGCCTCCCTCTTCTTGCGTTCCTCCTCCTCCTCCTCCTTGCGCTTCACCGCCTCCGCCGCCTCCCTCTTCTTGCGTTCCTCCTCCTCCTCCTCCTTGCGCTTCTCCGCCTCAGTCGCCTCTCGCTTCTTGCGCGCCTCCTCTTCCTTATGCTTCGCCGCCTCCCTCTTCTTGCGCTCCTCTTCCTCCTTCCGCTCCGCGATCTCAGCCGCCTCCCTCTCCTTGCGTTCCTCCTCCTCAGTCGCCTCCCGCTCCTTGCGCTCCTCCTCCTCCTTGCGCTTCGCCGCCTCCCTCTTCTTGCGTTCCTCCTCCTCCTCCTTGCGCTTCACCGCCTCCGCCGCCTCCCTCTTCTTGCGTTCCTCCTCCTCCTCCTTGCGCTTCTCCGCCTCAGTCGCCTCTCGCTTCTTGCGCACCTCCTCTTCCTTATGCTTCGCCGCCTCCCTCTTCTTGCGCTCCTCTTCCTCCTTCCGCTCCGCGATCTCAGCCGCCTCCCTCTCCTTGCGTTCCTCCTCCTCAGTCGCCTCCCGCTCCTTGCGCTCCTCCTCCTCCTTGCGCTTCGCCGCCTCCCTCTTCTTGCGTTCCTCCTCCTCCTCCTTGCGCTTCACCGCCTCCGCCGCCTCCCTCTTCTTGCGTTCCTCCTCCTCCTCCTTGCGCTTCTCCGCCTCAGTCGCCTCTCGCTTCTTGCGCACCTCCTCTTCCTTATGCTTCGCCGCCTCCCTCTTCTTGCGCTCCTCTTCCTCCTTCCGCTCCGCGATCTCAGCCGCCTCCCTCTCCTTGCGTTCCTCCTCCTCAGTCGCCTCCCGCTCCTTGCGCTCCTCCTCCTCCTTGCGCTTCGCCGCCTCCCTCTTCTTGCGTTCCTCCTCCTCCTCCTTGCGCTTCACCGCCTCCGCCGCCTCCCTCTTCTTGCGTTCCTCCTCCTCCTCCTTGCGCTTCTCCGCCTCAGTCGCCTCTCGCTTCTTGCGCACCTCCTCTTCCTTATGCTTCGCCGCCTCCCTCTTCTTGCGCTCCTCTTCCTCCTTCCGCTCCGCGATCTCAGCCGCCTCCCTCTCCTTGCGTTCCTCCTCCTCAGTCGCCTCCCGCTCCTTGCGCTCCTCCTCCTCCTTGCGCTTCGCCGCCTCCCTCTTCTTGCGTTCCTCCTCCTCCTCCTTGCGCTTCGCGATCTCAGCCGCCTCCCTCTTCTTGCGTCCCTCTTCCTCCTTCCGCTTCGCCATCTCAGCCGCCTCGCTCTTCTTGCGTTCCTCCTCCTCCTTATGCTTCGCCGCCTCCGCCGCCTCCCTCTTCTGGCGTTCGCGTTCCGCCTCCTCCGCTGCCTTGGTGCGTTCCGCTTCCTGCTTCTGGCGCTCCGCCTCGTCTCTTCGCCTGCGCTCTGCCTCCTCGGCGTCCTGTCGCTTTCGCTCTGCCTCCTCCGCCTCCCTCCGCTTGCGCTCTGCCGCCTCCGCGTTCCTTCGCTTGCGCTCTGCCTCCTCCCGCGCCTTGCGTTGCGCCTCCTCTTCGTCCTTTCGCTTGCGCTCTGCCTCCCCCGCCTCCCTTCGCCTGCGCTCTGCCGCCTGCGGCTCTTCCTCCAGGCTCGGCCGGCGTTCTATAATCAGCTCACTGGCATTCGGGTCCGCTTCGCGTTAGGAGGGGTAAGAACTTCTTGATGCTCAGACTTTGCCCTCGTCGTATACATCATAATAGGGTTATTTACTTGCTGCTCCAATAATCTGCCAAAATGAGGGCAGCTACCGGCTGGCGCGCTCGTCAGGAGAAGAGACAGAGGCACTTCTTTGGTAAGTTCCTTGGGGATGGAGGATACGATAAGATTCATGCGGGGATACTCAAGATTAATAGCAGCACGTCGTGAAGATGCATAGCAATAGATGTCGTTAAAGCAAACAGACACCTAAACCACTAGGCCAACTGCACAGTTGGCACTCAATGACTCGTCCTTCTGCCATAATTTGGCGAAAGCAGCACTGCTGTGTACAAGAGACCTTCCAATAAGGGTTCTGGATAATGTAGCGCATGGGGTGGATCCCGCAAGGCAATGAGGGCCCGCGCCTGGGCCGCATATTAGAGGCGAGGTAAAATTCAAAACTTTCCTCCAGCTCTTGGTCTTGCCCATTGCTGGCATGGTCCATTACTAGTGTAAGAACAACACGACAATAAATATGTTTTCCTTCTAAGGATTGTTGTCGCCATTCATGCGACATCTGATGGAGCTCACGATCTACAATCTAGCACGTTCCACAATAGATGTAGAGGATAGAAGCCCATTGATTATCCACTGTAGCTGATCACAAAGTCCTACGTTCTCCTCCGTTTGCGGCTGTGTCAAAGGTGGGGATTCTGAATACAACAAACAAAATCAGTACGTTGATCTTGATGTAGTTGTACACCTAACGTTGTATTTCAAGTTCAAGGTGAATCTGAATTACTTATACATGCAGTGCGTATACCAGTAAACGCTTACTTAGTTAGATAAGTAGAATCCTTAAACGGTGTATCCCCTGTAGCAAATGACCTGCTTCCGACTAAAAGCACCACTCTTGAACTCCTGTGGAGGATCCGCACGATTAGAAGTGGTGGTTAAAGTTCGTTCATCTTATGAAAAAGAAAATGAAACCAAATAAATGATTTAATAAATTTTCAAATGATATATAAATTTTATTTATATATAAGAAAGTACAGGCCCTGTTCTTGAGCTGTAAGCAAACAAACTGACAAAAGGAGCCCACTAGCTAGGCGGACACAATCACAAGAAAATATCATTGATGAACAACCTCCCGGGTGTTCAAAACTTCAACAAATATTATTATTACTGGGTAGAGGAGGTGGAAGCTATTCGACACGGTCGCACCAACGATGCAGGAGCGGCACAGTGGGCGACGAAATAGAACTACCATAAGATCAGAATTGTCCTCGTTGCATTCTTTGTGGATGGGGTACTGAAAATCAGAACTGGGCATTTTGCACTTTCCCTCGTTTTCAAGCGCGCTGTTGCAGTACTCGAAGGGTTGCAACGGTGGTGGATTGGCGTCGGGAGGTACCCCTTGCAGGAGACCACGCTGCAAAGCCACTGCGTTGAGGTCCCAGCCGCACATTGGATCAGTGGAAATCCATCTGACGTCCGCTTTTAGCGCACGTTCTAGAAAGCTGGTCGTCAAGGCGTGGAAGTCGATGTGAAAGCCGAACGGAGTTTCTAGCTGCCGCAACTTTGGGATGTCGAAGCCCTGCCTTTCTACGGCAAGACCCGACATGAAGTGACCAGTGGTGATAGTACAACTGGGAATTTGCAGCAAGTGCGGGTGACGAAACCGAGCAGAACTTCGACGACCAGGTGCGGGCTTGTTAAGGTCACCAAACAGTGCATAAGGTGAAGGCTTACGCAGATAGGCGCCCGCACGCTCGAAATTGAAAATCCGCGCCTTCGGCTTGATGTTTTTGCCGCGGTTTTCCGGTCCTCGTCCCCATCCCCATCCCATGTTTTCCACCGTCGCATCGCCGTGGGCTATCTGTGCGTCGTTGTGGAGCTGAGTGAGGCAATCACGGATGGTCGAAAAAGTCGTCGTGTCGCGGTTGTCCATAACAGCGGCAACGTCATCTTGCGTAAACGGATCAACCTTCTCCGTCACGAAGTAGACATGTGTGCCACTCGGGGAGAGCCACCATGAGTCGACACGAGCCACGCACCGCGCCTCGTAGTATCCAGCCGTCACGTCTTGATGTTTGCTAGCTTCTCTCACGAAGAACCAGTGGGCGAGCCAGTGCAATAAAATTTCCTGGGATACCTCCTCGTAATGATTCACGCTATGATCGTTACCATTGAAGAGTGGCATCACCTTCGTTTGACATCCCAGAGCGTACTGGTGCACCGGGTCCGTTTTCACCAGCGGGCACGTGGACTCGTAGACTGGGATGTCCTGACTTTTTCTTAGCGGTATCCATAATTCAAGTTTTCTCGGTCTCTCAAGACCTGCGGTCGACTAGGACCAGCTTGTTTCATCATACCTAAACACTGTCCACCTCACTGCGAAAAATAATACTAGAATTAATAGAGCGTATACGTGATATTAGAGTCAAGTCATCTGTCTCCCTCCTCGATAACTTCCAGTGCTCACATTTCTAAGTGGAAAGAGAATGCTTCTTCTATGTTTAAAATCGAATCCCTGCTAGGTGGACACACAAAAATCAACAAACTGATATATAGTAGTAGTTAGGAAGAAGAACTATGATATAGTGACAAAGTCAATGAATTATCGCTCGTGGGTGCCTCAACTTTCCGTGGCCCAGCAATTTGCTAGTAGCAATTTGCAGCCACCTGTTCGGAGGCAAATGCGGACGAAGCTTCTCGCCTGGAATCAGTTGCACGATTTGAACTGTCGGATCCTCATTGTGGGACTGGAAAATATTAGCGCTGCTCATATTACTGACGAGCAGGCGCATCCCTGAAAAGTATGGAAATAATAGCAGCGTGCTAGAGAGGTAGTAGTCGTGTATACCTGCTGCATGGCTTCATCTAAGTACTACTTAGCATACACTATATGGTAGTGTATGCGTGGCCTCTCAGTGAGTAGTACGCCCGTACTCATGATGCTACGACTTCATCTCAGATGACTCTTCAAAGCAGTGACGTTGTTCACCTTCCACTGAAGAAACTTGAAGGAGTCGGTGAGCAACGTCATGCGTGGAGTGAGCGTTCTACTCTGTTTCTCTGCGTTTTCCACTTTTGTTCCGATTCCAGGACTTATATTTTGTAGGTATTATAACTACTTAATATCTACTCTCTCTTCCTCGAGAAATGGTACAAGGTACTACTAGTACTAAGTACATTTCTTTTTCGACCTTAAAGTCTGACGCGAACACCCCGCCGTAGTACGGCAGTCCCTCGTGAAGGCCAGGAATTCCCTCACCGTTAGAAACCTTTCCACCGCTTACCAGGTAAGCCAATGGATGCATCGTGCGCTCCATCTCTGCCGCCTTCACTACACCAAACTGCACGAGCCAGTCCAAGAAGGTCTGTTGCCCCGTGACTTGCAGCCAAGTTGTAGTTTGTCCGCCGGTCGTGGCCATGGGCGGGTGCTGTAGCCGCTCCTCGCGGTCAGAAGTACCATTCGTGATGGCGGCAGTTGTTGACAGAAGGTCCTTTGTTTGCCGAAAATGTCTACTGAGCAAGCGTGGCGCGGACCTCGCTGGCAGGTCCCGGACGTCCCTGCTTTCCCTCTTCGGTGTACTAGAGCTAGAGCTCTCGAAGATGGATGTAGTCGACGCATTTTTTTGTCTAGTACTAGGAGTATTACCCTTCGTGAAGTAAGAAAGTGCAGAGGAAGAAAACGCTGATGTGGTCGTTGTAGAAGTGACTGTTCCATCAAGACGCAGGTATCGAGGCACACCTCGTAAGCGGTTCATCTCAACTGCTCCTGATTCACCGGTTTCATTTCGGAAACCTCGAAGGTGGCTCACCTTTGGCACACGATTGTTGTCGATCGAGAGTTTTGATTGGTAGCCATTAGCATTAGAACTACCACAAATCCATCTTGGGCCTCATCTTGGGTCACGCTTCCCCTTTAAAAACGGAACCAAGATGCTCGGGATGATGGAATTCTTGTAGTCTTAAACCCGGTATCGTTTGTCGCTTTCCATCCGGTTGTGTCTGCTTCTGCGTCATTCCTGTAGTCGTTCATGCCGTAGGTCTCGTATGTTCTTTTACTCGATGTTGTAGTTGACCCGTCACTTTTTTCCATCTCGTGTTCATCATGTACATGCGGCAGCAGCATCAATTCTTTTTCCCTACTAGACGTGTAGTTGTTAGGAAGTTGCAATATTTTTGTTTTTGTAGATGTAGAAGTAGAAGTCTTATTCGAAGCTGCTAGTGAGTAGAGATAGTTGCCATTTCGACGCTGCACTACAGACCGTGCCGCGTTACTGTCCAGAGATCCGTTCTCTTCGTCCAAAAACGGCACCCAAGAACTGTAGAAGTAGACACAAGAAATAACTGCACCTAGAAGGAAAGCACCAAAGTAGACTAAGCACACAAAAAACCGCGACGAGAGCCGGACGCGCCAAGCGTCGACGATTTTTACAGTGAAACGACTACCACCGACATTAGCATCATGATAGTCTGGGGTCAAGCTCTTGTGCTGGAGGAGGACAAGTGGACGATCTGTGCTGCGACCAGTAGTTGGTGTAGTATGACGGCTTGCAGCTGTATTGTTCATTTGACACGGCTTCACCTTTGCGTTATAGAGGAGCGGACGCGTCTGATCGCGTTGTTGAGCCGAATGTTGATTTTCGTCAGTTGATGAATCCGGTTCGTCATCACTCGCCGCAGACTTTGAAATTCCCCTTGCCCTCAGCTTTCCTCCATGCCTCGTCGACCTCGACGTGAAGGTTTTGTTCATCTTGAACAACAATTGTGCAGCTGCAGTACTGCGCTTCCTCCTATGCTCATCTACTACTTCATCTTCGTGTTTCACTGGCGATACTCTTGAAGATGTTCCACAACTGCAAGTTGTTGAACCTCCCTCAAACACTTTGTTTGCTGCACGCCGTCCAGGGCGGTCCAGCTCCGCATCTGCTACAACGTCGGCACCTCTTCTAGGGCTTGTTGTCTCTTCTTCATGATCGGCAACCTCTTCCACAACCCCTTCCTGCTCGGGATGGAGTGTTTTCTTCTGCGTATTCGTGAGATGCCTTGTTCTAGGTATTTGAGCATGTGGTGCCTCGTCTTTTTTCTTGGTCGTACTACTACATGCATGTGAAGAACTTGTGGTCAGCACTTCCGCCTGTCTATTGAGATTTTTTGAGGTTTGTCTCGGGACCACTTGTTCGGTGCCACTGTTGACCAGGATCTTGTTTGTTCCTGTTGTGGTTGTGCAAACCGGTGTATCTCCTGTTATTTTCAATGTGGTGGTCGTTGTAGAAGACATATTAATGCTGGTACAACTGCTCGTTGTAGAAGGATTTCCGCTTGATGTACTCGGGATCGTACTTCCTGTATTTTTTACTGAAGGCGAAGATGTGGAAGCGCGCTTGCCGGGTTTCGGTCGTGCTTCAAGAGCAACTACAGGAGAGGGACTCTGATTTGGCGATGTTGTCCCCTTGACGCTACGAGAGGCGGACTCTGCCACAGAGGTCACAAGGTCTCCTTCATGATCTCCTGCTTTAGTACTACGAGTGGATAGTACTTGTTGATGTTGATGATACTCGAAGAAGGTGGCCTGTTGTTGCTTAACTTCATCGACGCCACCTTCGGGCCGGTCTCTGACGTCCGCACGAGGAGCTGCATCTCCATCAGGTTGCAGGCGGGTGCACTTTTCATCCATGTTCTTCTCCAGAGAAATAGAATCCTGCTGCCGCACAGATGCCAGAGGACCATTCTTCCTTGGCCGTGCACGTGCTGGCTGCTGCATCTATCAGAAGATCGTTATTGTGCAAATCAATGAATAATATATTCGATCATCTTCAAAAACATTTTCAAAATTGAGAGAGTGAACGTACGACAACATTCGCCTGCTGCCTCGTCATTTTCGGTGTTAAAAGGTAACGAATAAATTACAATCCGGAACGGAAACTCCTCGTCAAAAAGACAATTTTTCAACTAAGTACACATATATTTAATTATACATAGATGCATAGGTGTGTGCTCGTGTTGTACAGCCCACGTACGCAACCTCAATCAAGCTCTAACAAACTCAAAGGACTTCATTAAATTATAACAAGCTGCAAATATAATAACCATATTGTGCAACCTAGTACCCCAGACCTGCTGGCTTTTCCACCTTCGGTGGAGTTCATTTTGCTGCAGCTGCTCTGAATGAAAAATGAAAATCGGACTCCGGAACCGGATATTTGTTGTAAGAGTAAGAATTGAGCTCAGCAGAAAAATTGTTGTCTTTTGTGATGTCGTGCAAGTCGTGCTTATCCGGAAGCAGGTTCAGTTCATTCTTCGGCAAGAAATACTCACGCAGCAACTAGGGACCACTAGTATGACGAGGATTGATTTCTTGTACTGAACTTGAAGACGAATCATGTCAGTAGGTACATCAAGGATAGGTAAATAAGGCATGATATCTCGACATCACCGTCACCCACACCCACGGTGAAAAGGAGGGAAACAGGATCAGTAATGCTGTTGCTACAGCTGAGGTGATTTTATCTCAGTGTCGCGCCTGACGCGACACACGAAAAGGAGCACTCAGACTATAAGCACTCAGACTTTCTTCTCCTTAAAACATAATAAGTACGTTTGCGATTGTAACTACATGCATCTGATTGGTGACAGTGACGATAATAAGGATTCGGAATCGGATGCTGTTATTCACGTATCAAAGTAATGGAGATCATAATTCATGTCAAGAAACCATAGATTTTAAGGCTAAGGCTGTCTTGATCTTGAAGAAAATACAACCATTGCGGAATACGATTGTATGCAAATACCACAATTGTTTTCCATCAAATAGAGCATTGCAACATGATGCACCATTCTGAGTCAAAGTGCTTAGTTGCAACACGATGGCTGTAGTATAGCCACGTGATTAGACAACAAACTACGTTCACAGTCGTTGTGAATCGGATAGTGGTGGGTTCGAAAAGGATCTTGCTGGAAAGAGGTCACTTAGGGAGGTGAAGAGTGGTAACGCTGATCGCTCAGCTGGGCGCGTGGGTCAGAGTTCGTTTCATACACAGACACACAGACACGCACACAGAGGAAAAAATCATCATGAAGACCTTCTAGAAGTAGTTTCAGGAGGAGTAGCCGAGACGTGAGTTCTTCATCTCTACATCAGTAAAACCGAGACGTGAGTTCTTCACAACAGACGCCCGACCACATAAACGACGTTTACTGAAGACAACCGATCTTGACAGGCAAGGGCAATACGTGTTTTAGACTCGTAGACCACTATCTCATACTAGGAGGACAGAACTTCTTGGTCGTCTTGATGTGACAACCGATGGACTTGAAGATAACTTCAATCATCCTCGTACTTGTGGATGTCCATTTTTCAAACCCCCGTATTAACCTATGAGAGATTCATCATGATAGGTGTATTCCGTCTACCGCCTAGAACATGACAAACAGATACATCGTCCACGAGCGGGACACCCATCTTTTAGGATGGATTCGCACCTTCTCCAGGCTCTGCATGACTCTCCGCTCAGTATTACGCTACCACGTAGTGGTTTGCCTTCCACGTCTCCTCAAGGTTTCGTTTCGCAACCAAATCAATGAGAGCGGCAGCACTTCTAGCTGCAAACCAACGCGAGAAAAATGACAAGCCAACTCGTCACTCGCTTGTGACTCTGTCATGCTGTAGATGCCAAAATCTAGACTCTTCTACCTCTAGATAGATCACCCAGCTTTCTTCGACAAATCCACCTTATATTATACGAGTGGCTGGAGTGACTTGCTCAGAATGAACAGCGTTGCCACCAAGGTCACGCCTAGGTTACCTTCGTCTGAAGAGTTCACTCTCCCTCTGTGGAGGCTGGGCCGCGAATGGCGCGAGCGCTCCCTCTTTTCGTTTCATGACAGGCCTAGCCTGGTCGGAATCGTCAAGGACAAACTTGAGAAATGCTCGCAGCGTGTGTGCTCTTTCCCGCAATCTCTTATCGATCCGCATCGCCATCGTCAGATGCGGATGCTGACCACAGATGAACTGGATTTGCGTACTCAGGCAGATTCACATTGTATATTTGGATCTACTACGATGGCTTGGCTTTTGATCTTCTTGCTATCCGTAGGGAAGTTCTAAAACTATGCTGGACGATGTCATCCGTGATCTTGTTCGTTCTTCCATGTAGTTTTAGAGGAACTAATGAAACTTACCTAGCGGAGGATCATCTCTGTACTTTTAGATGGGGAGAGGCTTACTGTTTCGAGTAGTTCTTCATGCCTATTAGAAAGATTGACTTTTAACTACAACTCTGTCGGACTCTGTCGTGTACTAAAGCCTGTCCGCGTGTACTAGAGCCTCACGTTATACCAGATGGGTGGCTGAATGGTTGAAGGTTTGACCAAGATCTTTCCATTTACTAGAATCATTTCCGGCACCACTTGTATTATTCAGAGTCAGCTTCTCATGTTTTAGGCGATTGGGGACTTTCATGCTGAGTCAAGCTCTCACGCTGGGTAAAGCTCGCATGCTGGGTCGTGAAGATTCGGGGCGCATTCATCGGGTTCGGGTTACGAACACAGTACTATAATGTTGAAGTGGAAGTGGAGCTCCTCTGTTGCTGAATTCTATGTAGAAGTGTCCATCTTCATGCACAACGTCCTTCACTGTAGAAGTCAGTGCTCAGTGAGAAAGTGCTTATCTTCACGCACAACGTGCTTCTATGAAGAAGTGCATGCTCTTCTTCAATTATGAAGAGGCGATCCTCGTCAAAGAAGATAAGCATGCCCCTTCTATCAGAAAGTCGCGCTTGCTCTTCAACGAAGATGCTTTCATCAAAGGGCGTGCCTCTATGAAGAAGTCTAGATGCTAGGATGTTGCAATCACAAATTCTCGCCAATTTATTGTGGACGAGTAAGCTGCTCCTCCTATGTTGAAGCGCCTCTACCTGAACCTGGTTGCAATCAATATCAATAATTATTAGGTTTCTTTAGTGCAATTGTTCGGATTCATTGTGTAGAAAATGATAAGCAAACAGACCAACGCCTAGGCCACTGAATTCATCAGAAAAAGTTTGCTCTTCGAAATCACATGACTGAGTCAACATATGAAGTCTTCTTTGCGTCTTAAGTCCGACGTTAAAGGAGTGCCCTTCGTTCTTCGTAGTCGCAATCAATTAGTCTTAGCGCCGTCCATTCTTGTTGAGTAATTTGCTGTCCATATTGATTCTCCGGCAGCAAGGTGTCTCCTTTACAAATTTTCCAAAACATTCTCAAACTCATCTGACATCATCTGCGTTACCTTCTGTAGTCATCCTGCAAATGCATACTTATCTCTACAACCTCGCAGATCTAGTGCTGGAATCCATAAGCCTCCCTGTGCTTGTGCAGAAGTCTTAGCTATAGCTGCCTCTTGATCTTCATATTCGTCCTCGGCAACATATTGACCACGGCGGATTCATCATCTAGATCTAATGATGCCAAAACTTCAAAAAAAGGGTACTAGCTCCCAAAAACCTATCCAAAAATAAATCTCCTCAAAAACATTCCAAAAAGAGGCCCTTCGTCGCCTTTTGGTCGTCCGGTAAACCTTATACTATAAGTATTGCTATATGTTGGCCAAGGTCATAATCCTGGAAGATTCACAAAGATCACAAGGATAAAGATCAACGAAATGACCAAGATCGCCAGGCAAAAGGTTACCGGAGCACCATCCAAACGCCCGACGGGTTTAGCCATCCATTTCAAATATTATTAATCTAATGCTATTAATCTAATGCGATTAATCTAATGCTATTAATCTAATACTATTAATCTATATTATTAAGCTATTAATCTAATGCTATTAGTCTAATACTATTAATCTAATACTATTAAGCTATATTATTAAGCTATATATATATTATTAAGCTATATTATCAATCTATGTTATCAATCTATGTTATTAATCTATGTTATTAATCTATATTATTAATCTATATTATTAATCTCGCCATTGATAGTCCGCTTCTTTCGCGAAGCTATTGCCCATGCATAGCCTCCTGCCCTTTCCCCTCCGTCTCGAGCCCGATAGCCTCCGGCCGTTTTCTTGTTGGGATTTACGTTGCGGCCCCGTGGCAGACCACCAGAAAAGAAGGCAGAAAAATGGCCGACGGGGGTGGGGGCGCAAGCTGCGGAGAAAAGTCCAAAGAGAGACAGCCAACGAAAGACCGGCCACCGAAAGGGCAAAGACCTTGGACCAAAGACACATGGACCAAAGCCGATCTTTGGACCAAAGACGATCTTTGGACCAAGGGCGATCGTTGGACCAAGGGCGATCGTTGGACCAAGGGTGATCGTTGGACCAAAGACGACCTTTGGACCACAGGCGATCTTTGACCCCAAGACGACCTTTGGCCCGAGGGCGATCTTTGACCCAGGGGCGACCTTTGGACCACAGGCGACCTTTGGACCACAGGCGACCTTTGGACCACAGGAGACCTTGGGACCTAAGACGACACTGGGACCAAAGACGACACTGGGACCAAAGACGACCTTGAAACCAGAGACGACCGCGAAACCAAAGACGACCTTGAAACCAAAGGCGACCTTGAAACCAAAGACGACCTTGAAACCAAAGACGACCTTGAAACCAAAGACGACCTTGAAACCAAAGACGACCGCGGGACCACAGGCGACCTCTGGACATAAGTGCGACGACCTCTGGACCAAAGTAGGGCGACCTTTGGACCAAAGTAAGGTGACCTTTGGACCAAAGTAAGGCGACCTTTGGACCAAAGTGCGACGACCTCTGGACCAAAGTAGGCCGACTTTTGGACCAAAGTAAGGCGACCCTTCGACCTCTGGACCAAAGTAGGGCGACCTTTGGACCAAAGACGACCGCTGGACCAAAAACGACCTCTGGACCACCGACGACCTTTGGACCAAAGCCGACCTCTGGACCGAACCGAAGACGACCTTTGGGCCACAGGCGACCTGTGGACCACCGGCGACCTCTGGACCAAAGACGACCTTTGGGCCCAAGACCTCCGACACGACAAGAGTGAGACCCGGGACAGCAGACATCTGACGAACGACCTCCGCCAGAAAAGCTGACGCGAGGCCTCCCTGTGGCGCGAGACCCTTGAAGATAGCGAAGACCTTTCGCGAAGGACGTCAGTCCGGCGAACGCGGTCAGCCTGGCGAAGCACGTCAGTCCGACGAACGAACAGAATCAATCTTACGAAGGAAAGACATCCGCAGCCCGAAGAAAGGCCCCGGCCAGCCTGTTCCGACGCAAGGCAGACGCCTGGCGAAGCATTGCGCCGGTCTGAAGAGAGGCCTCACCTGGCTGGCGAGTGCATCAGCCTGACGAACGGCGCCGAGCTGAAGCAAGCCATCAACCTGACCAAAGGCGTGAGTCTCGGCCCAGCGAGGAACGTCAGCCAGGCGAAGCGCTTCACCCTGACGAGAGACGTCGCCCGACCCTGACGAAAAGCCTCAGCCTGACCCAAGACGCCCGCCGAGGGGCGCCGGCCTGCCCGACGAACGCCGCCAGCCTGGCGCAGAGCGTTGGTCTGACGAACGGCATCAGCCTGAAAGAGGTCTCCAGCTTGGTGAAAGACGTCAGCCAGCCGAGAGGCTTCAGCCACAGCCCGAAGCGCGACGCCGCACGACCCCGCGAAGTGCGCCCGCCTGTTTCTGACGAAAGCCATCTCTCTGACGAAACAAAGAAGCCCCGCCAGGTGTAAGCGCGTAGAGAGACCCAAGCAGCGCAGCCCTGCGTTGCTTTGTCTTGTTTGGCCCATCAAGGTCGCCCCCCGTTCTTGCCTGGCGCCACCGCGAGGCGCTTGCGTGCGTTGGGGCTTGCGGATTCTTGTGCGTGTCTGGTGGCTCTCTTCTGGTTTTTTTGTTGGACTGCCGTGGGGGTCTTGCAAATTCTTAAGAATTTGCATGACCCCCCCGGCAATCTCAAAAAAAAACCGAAGGCAGCGCAATGCCCTGCACATGAGTCGACGCATCTGAGTCGGCCACCGCCGGCGCTCGGCTCTTGTCGTAGTCAATTCGTAGGGTGCAACAGCTCACCCGCGGGCTGTCTCTACTCTAGCGGCTGTAGCCCGTGGGAGGCCGCAGGAATAGGAAAGTGCTAAAGTAACTTGAAGCCGGGCGAAGCTTGTGGAGGCTAGTTCTTATGGATTACATCCAACATCAACTATATCTAAATTCTGAATTCTTTTTCAAATTCTAGAATCTACTCGGAAATTCGAATCGAAAATTAAAATCATTAGGAATATCCTACTTCGTCCTGTAACACAACTAACGACGCTCATACTAACAGAACAAGACTCAAGAATTATTGAAGAAAGATAATTAATAGTTAAAGAAATCCACAAAAACAAAATGCTCAAACAATTCATTTCGAATTTTCAAAATTTTTGATTTTATCGACTTTTATTCAGATTCATTTTCTGCTGAAGACGTAGCAAATGAAATCTCTTGTGAAATATATTTTCGAAAAAGCTTCGACTTCTCATTAAAAATTTGATGTGACTGCTTAAATAATTGCAACTAATATCCATCTACTACGAGTCTGTATTTGGGCTACACGGTCCTAGTGAAGGCTTCTACAATCTGATGCTGACCTCTATTGAAATTCAAATTCTAGATATAGATTTCCTAAGTAATGCGCGCTAACACACACACACACGCACACCCTGAAATCAGAATACGCATCATTATTGTGTAGCACCCATGCACATTTTGGCATTTCTTCGTACCACAGAAAATGCGTCAAGAAACATCACTGATGGTCCGAATTCCGCTTGGAGGATCGACAGTATCCTTCACTGAGGCGTATCGTGTTTACTTAGCTGAGACAAAGTTGAGAAGGGACCAGCTGTGCATCCAAGTAAGCAGGAAGCGTCGCTAATCTTGCACATGCAGTGGGCGATTGGTGCTAAAGGTAATGGAGGCATGCTCGAGCCTCAAAAGCGGTAAACAAGGCCGTAGAGTGGGGCATCTACGAGCTAGGAGTGGCACATCTTCGAGCTAGGGAGTGGCACATCTTCGAGCTAGCACATGCAAGCGAAAGGGCAGAACTCCTCGTGCCAGAAACTCCGGTGCAGGTGAAGGAGACAGAGACTTTATTATCGCTATAACCGACTGGAAAACGAAGGTCGTTCCATGTTGATACAAGCGACTGGCGCAAGCGAAGGCATATCGGATGTACATTACAGACAGACGAGGGCGGAGCAGTGGAAAGAGAAGCGAAAAGCAGGCGCTTGGTGCTCTGTTTGATCAGTACGCTGTGCATTAAGCAAGGATCCGATGATCTTGGTGGCAGAAAACAACTACGCACACGCCCTCGACGATTACATCTGTTGTGTTACATAGAACAGCATCGTCTCACGCGGAAAGGCTCTTAGTAATGCGTGCCTGTCTCCCAGGACCAGTCAGCATACATGATAGGTCAAGCTCATGTGCAACATGGTGCCCGTGCTCTTCCTCTACGAAACCTCCACGACAAGGCTGCAAACAACCTAGGAACTAGGTGGAGTCGCCTTCAATACATCATTATTATTATTATTATTATTATTGTCGCGCGTGACCCTATCGTCTCGCACGTTACGCGCTCGCGGCGCTATTACCATCTGTCGCTAAGGACGGTGATGTAATTGTAAGGGCTCTAGGGGCCTTCCTGAACAGCTGGCGGCGTTTTGGGTTTAATGGGAAGTTTGCGTGTTCCTACACGCTACTGTTATTTATCCACTATCTACAGACGTTCTTCCTCTTCTCCTCGGCTCGCTTCCCTCGCGTCTCCAGGACTAGGCGCGCTACGGTCCCCCCTCACTCACCTGCTCACGACGACACCGAGGACGAGCAGCCATTAAACCGCTCGTCGACTCAGAAGCCGCGTGTGTTCCGCTCGCCTCGCAATCGCGATGCGATGCTCCGCTGCCGCTCCGCCCGGATCGGCCGCTCCCTATGCGCCCCAGTTAAACTCGATGATCGTCCGACCGCCGGCTTCCAGGGGAGCTGGAAGTACTCCGGCCTCGGAGAGGGTCGATGCGAGCACGGGGCAGCGCGACATAAGCTCTTCTATGTACTTCCTTCTATCTACACTTCGCCCTTCCCCGTTTCCCCCTCGCCCTCTTGCGCCCTCTCCTCCGTCTGCGTGCTGCTCATGGGCTTCAAACGCGAACAAAGCGTTCTCCGGCTCGTACGACTGACGCAGGTGCGTCACGTTCACCTTCTCTCTCAGGGCGAGCGCGGTGCTGCGCGCACGGTCAAAAAATAATCTCATCCATGATTACATATGACACAGCTTGGTGCGCGTGTCTGTCCGCGACACAACCGATCTCGTCGGCCGCGCGGTGGCGCGAGCTGATGAACCTCGCTCTCATCTGATCCTGTTGGTCAGTGTCCAACGCGCTGAAGAATGCTATCTTCGACTTCAGCGTGGAACGAGCGTATGCCGGAGCTGCAGCTCCTACGCTCCTCTTCGGTTGCGCGCGCGGGGCGGTTCGCAGGAACGGGTCTTCAAACATTTCACCATGATCACAGTTCTTCATCCATCGTTCGAGATCTTGCCTCTTCTTGGTTCTGGTTATGAAAGGCCAGCGCCTCCAGAAAGTATATTCCGACATCCTCCAAACACGTCGCCGCTTCCTGCGTCTTCCATGACGCTCTTCATATTCCCATGGATATATCGTCTTGCCCTCAGTACCGACGAGTGCGGTTCGAACGACTGCGGCGCGACTGGCGGCGACGCGAGCGGCTCCTGCTGCGACGATATTCGCGGCTATCGCGACGCGCGGTTGCTGAAACCGCCGACGAAGAAGACGATGATGTTGAAGACGACGATACGCCAACTGCTGAACGCGCCGCCGCTCCCAATTTCGCTTTCTTCGAACTCGCTTTCGTTTTTGCCGAGGTTGCCGAAACCGGATGTACGGCTCCGCCGATGACACTTCGATCCGGTGCGGGCGCGCGCGAGCGCGCGTCTGGACCCGTGTCTGGATGGACGGCGGTGTGAGCCGACTTCATCCGCAACCACATCTTCTCCAACGTCTCTGGTGGGAGACCAGCAAATTCTTCCCTTATTTCCGCAGGAATCTCTGCCGCGATGCTGCTCTTACTTTTGGCGCCGCCCGAAGCCGGTGCTGGTGCGGATTGCGCCGTACTGTCGCATCCGTTGTTTGGATCCGCTCTGCTTACGTTCTCCGACGCCGCGCGCACCGCGCCCTTTTGCGCATGCGCTGATCCGATCACGAGACTGCTGAGCAGTGGCTTCGCGGAGGCCGACGACGTATTGCTACTGACGACAGGTGGCACCGACGGGTGCGTGATCATCCCCGCGGGTGCAGGTTCCCGTGTGACATGATCCTGTAAAGCGTCGATCCCTTCCAACGGGTTCGCGCGGCCGACATCGTCACCTGCTGAGAGATCCATCGGGAAACGAAGCATCGATGGCGTACCGAACGACGCAGCGCTCTGCGCTGCAGCCATATCCATCGCTGCTGTCCGCACCTGCGCTACGATTGGCAGCCGAAAACGCACACTCGGCTGGCGCTCTGCTGCTTCCAGGGCTCTGCGTTGCTGGAACTGCGGCGAGGCGCGGGCCCACCGGTCTTCTTGGCTGTCCCAAAAGTGCGCTAGCGCTAGCGGCAACACCGGCGACAGAGGCGCGACCGGAAATATCGGTATGCCCGTGTGCTGTTTCGGTAACGCGTTCGGACGGTTCGGCCAATGCGCTATCGTCGATAACCGATAGTATTCCCGTGCCGGAGCGTCCGTAGGCATTGGTAGCTCTCCCAAAAGCGCCGCGATGCCTATCGCTCTGAACTGATCAGCGAACACCGCTAAGTTGTACGCCAAGATGCACTGGTGGTCGTTCTCCGTCGACACCGTGTTCGTCGACGTTTGAAAGCGCGCGAGCATCGGCATTCCGTCGTTGGTCAAGACTTCGTCAGTCGGGATCAAGGCCATCCCCCAGTGGTCCTCGAGCTGAAACACGTAGACAAGGCCACCGAAAAGCTGAGAACAGGCACCGAAAGCCAAAAATAATCGTGCTGAGAAGCCGGCGTATACTCTCGAACCTTGCACGTTCAGGTCTGTTGGTCCGCGCTCCAAGTGCGGGCTCTCAACGTTCATGCCGTTCGCTCGGCGCGACTTGCGCCCGGACGCCGTCGTAGCTAGCGCTGGCATAGTGGAGGCTACGAGTCCACCAACCGAGTCCATCGTAGATATAGCACCCAATGTCGACCCCGTGCTCGAATGGGCTTTCGTTTGCCCGACATCCTCGCCAATTGATAGCCCGCTCACATCCGAGCATCCGCCGAACGCGCTCATAGCGCCAAATACCGATGACATACCTGCCATCTTCTCGAGAAATATATCCGCTCACCTGAGCGCACTGTTCGCCGGCTGAAGCGCTATCGCGCTGATATATTAGATATATGCTGCTCTCGCCGTCGGCTATACTCCGTTGCCGTCCGTTTCCCTCTTGCTCCTGCCGACTCTCACCCCTGAGTCGACCCACAACAAAACAAAAATCTCAACAAAATGTCGAGTGAAAAAGACTCAGAAAGACAAGATTTCGAGTGAAAAAGACTCAAAAAGACAAAACTCAACTGTTGAAAAGAAACCGAACCGTTAGTCACCGCCGCTACTGTATTGTACTCACGTTTACGCAGTTACTTCGTTCTACTAGGCGTTCTTTCGCAGACACGCTACCTTTCACTAAGGAGCCAACAACTCTCCGAAGGTCTAACTCCGTCTCTACGTTCGAGCTGGACGACTTTTCTGTCTGGCCACTCAATCGGAGACCTCCACCTCCCGAGCAACGCGCAAAACACGGCAGATGCTTCGGCGGTTCCGAGCCAAGCTCTGCACGCTGCGACGCGTGCTCCTAACCATAGTTCGTTCCTTCTTTACGTTGGGTTTTCTGCTGACAACGTTGTCTACACCTTGTTGCAAAGTTCGTGCTCTTGGGGTTCAAAAGAGGAAAACGAGGTCGGGCTCGTCAGAAAAGTCTCCGTCCATCCACATTTAAAGTTACGAGATTGAAAAGGGGCACGCCTTTCTACTTGTACAAAGTGTCCTCCGTTTGGGGTTTGTTCTTCCTTGCTTATGGCTTATACGTATCGCGGAACTTTCTTCGCGCCGACCGCGCTTGCTACAGATAAACAGGTCTTAGATAGCTCGCCCAGGTACCCCTTAAAAACTTTACCTACACAACCTACTCCCGACGCGAGGTTCTCCGGCGAAAAACGCTCGGTCTTCGGTCTAGCACTAGGAAGAACCTGATGATCTTTTTTCGAAACTCTGTAAACGATCTCGTCGCGATCGTCGCGCAGTGCTTTCGAAATCTCTACGACACTATCTAGGACTTCCTTAGCGCGCGACTCAGCACTTCTTTTATCTGAGGCTTTCTTCTTGTTCCTCATACGATGCGCGATATAAAACTCTACTTCTACCCTACCAGTTCCGACCGCGCTGTCCAGTTCAACTAATGCGTTATCTAGTCGCTTCAGAACCTCCAATACAAACTGCCTACTCGTCCAACCGGGAATGAGTTCTTCCTCGAGTTGCAACTCGTCTAAGAAACGGAACTTAGCTACATACTTGCCTGCGCTGTTGTGCAGTGCTGTCACCGCGTCCCCCAACTTCTCACTTAGTTCTGATGCTAGCTCCTGTGCCTCAGCTAGGCGAGCCTCCTCGTCTCTAGTCATGTCGCCCAATCCGACGTTAGCCATAGAAAGGATGTTGGTCGGTTCTAGAAGTCTCAACAACTGTTCTTTATAGCATGTGAAGTTATACACCAGAGACTTCAAACCCGAAAGGAAGCGATGCGATCGCTAGGACAAGCTCCTTGAGCGGTTCCTTCCCTGCAGAACCGTCCAGCGGGAGACTCGTTGGGATCGGCCACCCAGTGGTCTCGAGGCACTCCTCCCAACGCGTCAGCGTTCTCACGTGCCTCAAGATTTCTTTATCTAAAGCTATCAGCGTCGTGACCAACTTCGCTGGAGCGCGGTGGTGAAAAGTTTGCCCTTGGACGACTGACACCACCGGTTCCCATCTAGCTAATTCGTCAGACAAGTACGCAACGTCCTTTCGCACGACTTCAGAAGCGATCCCTACAAAAGTGTGTGCGGATAGTCTTTCTTTCGTGATCCTTTCCGGCCATCTTTTGTTCATCTCAGCGCCCATGTCCTTCACATATTTAATATAGTAGCTCAGATGAGATATTTGCTTCGCGACGCGCGCGCGCAGGGCCTGCTGAAAGGACAGCGGCCGCTGGACACGCACGCTCGCTTGCTCATTCGAGCTCGCTCGAGTCATCCTTTCCTTCTAAGGAGCTATGCGTGCTCGGAGCGTCTCCTGGTACGATAGACTAAGTCGAAATCCTCAAAGCCAAAGGCTCGCTTCCGCTACTTACTGTGGCCCCTATCTTAGTTTTACACGGAGTCGCAAACTAGCTTAGATGGTGCCGGCGCTGCGCTTCTCGCTCGCGGCGCTGCAGTCCCGCCTAAGTTCCTATCTGCGCTCTAGCTGTTTCAACTCAAACCAGGCATAGACTAGGCCTTCATCTTTTTCTACGTCTCTACGATGGATAAGTGAGTGCTCTTCTTCGATTCTACTTTTACTTATGAACTGACTCAAAGATACAATCCGAACTCCCTACTTCGGGGATGATTTCAACGAAAACGCCGCGCACTGACTCGTCCTGGTATAGCGGGAATCGACAAGAAAACACAGATAGAAAGCTTCGCTCTATTCATACTGTTGCGGATCACTTATTCCCGTTCGCACGGGTCGCCGCTATTCTCACTTTAGTCCGTCACTAACTTCGTCCAGACAAAGACCTGCTACCCCAAGCACAGACGTGAGGCTCCCGCTACGACACTTTCTCTACCGTTCTAAACCCGCTCGTCTTGCGACGCGGTCCAGGCTGACCCACGTTCTGAGGCTTTGCCTTCTTCCTCTATTTCAAAGAACAAGTGCACTTTCCTCAGCAAAAACAAAAAGAACAAAAACAAAGAAAAGTCGTCGATTCCGTGATGTCATCTTTCACCCACCTAGCATGACTGATGAGTTATTTATGCGTCGCGACGCTGTCTTGGTTCTCCATATTGACGCTGCTGGCTCAAAGGGGGACACACTGCGTTGCTTTTTTTTTTTTTTTTGTTTCTTTTCGCGTCCCCCGCCCGTCTGCTTTGTCACACGTGTTTTCTTCTTACTTCCAGTACTACTCGTCACACACACTTGAAAGACGCTACGAACTCTTAACAAAGTATTTTGTAGCTGTACGCACCTATCAATCTATCTATCTTGGCTATCTAAGAGCCCTGTCGCTCCGCCCCTGCTGGGCCTTTCGCGAAAAGACCGAGCGGGTCGCCGAGCTGAACCGGAACATTACCGGTCCTGCCCGGCTACGCACCGCCCCATCTCCCCCTTTCTGCTGCGTCGTCCGAATCGTTCATATCATCGTCGATCCGGTCCGTTGCCATAGCGTGGCACCCAAAGGCGCCCGCCACCGTCGCTATGACGTCTGGCCACGCCTGCTGTTCGTTCATCTTCGACAGCTTCGGCATCGACGATGACACCGCTCCTATCGCTCTGTCGTCGTCGATTGCTGATCGCATCAGAAGCACGGGGTCCGGTCGTAAAGCCTCAACCGCAAAGTTCGCTGCTCCTTCCGTTTCGGCCATGCCGCTCTAACTTCCGGTGGCGCTCGGCTCGCGCGCAGTTCCAGCGTCGCGCCTGCTGTCCGCAACTTATGCTTCAACGCCCATAGGGATTCGAAAGCCAAAGTCTTCCCCCTTGGCAGGGTGTACATATCGTACATTCTCACCTCCTGCACGTGAACGCCCGCCTCCTGCGCGGCGCGTACAGCGTCGTGCGCTGCCTCAACTGCGGCTCTCGCCTGTCTGGCTATCCTCGCGACGTGCTGGCTCACGGCTGCTCCATCCGGAAGTTGCGCGCGCACTGCGAACGCTCGCGTCTCGCCCGCTCCGTCGGGTGCTGTCACCGCCGCTTCAGCGTGCTCAGCAAACAACATCACGGTGACTGCCGCTGTCTGCACCTTTGTCTTCGCTGCTTTGGTGATCTCCGGTGGCGCTGTCCCTGACGCTCCTAGGGCGCGATACGACGATCTCGCCTCTGCTGGTTTCGCCAGCTTGACCGCGTCTACTGCCTCTACTGGCATAGGGCCCTCCCTCCTGTCATAGGAGATATTACTGAACTCCCGATCGCTACACGAGGCACCCGCGTTGTTGCCCGTGGCCGCCAGTTCTTCAATGACAGCCGTTATATTGTCTGCTAACCTGCGGTCGCCGGATAGAGATGCCCACTCTATGAGGCCGCTGTCCGCGATCCTCGCGCCTACCGTTCCTCTCGGTTGCAGGCCTGTTATCGGGCTAAACAGGATCTCCCGCTCAGTGATTCCGGGGTTCGCCGCTCTAATATGCTGCACTAATGGCGCGGCTATCCCGATTTCCGGCAGGAGAGCGACCGCTAGCCGTTGCTCTATGTCCTCGATCCTTTCTTGCGAGAGACGGTCGTACGCGGCGCTCCACAAATGAGTCGTCGGAGAAGCCAACGCTTGCTGCAATATCGCCAAAGCTATCGCTGGGGATAACGTTCTCCCAAGCATCGCTCGCGCGCGCATGCATAACAACCTGCAAAAGCCCGTTGCTATGGCGAGCTGCTTTTCGACAGTGTCGCCCAGCGGCAGGCGATACACGTATCCAACGATCCTCGATTCGTGCACCACCCTCGGCGCGAACCCGCAAATTGTAAACAAAGGGGCCAGCGCTGCTGCCATCGCTTCCTTCTGTTCGATCGGCTCCCACGACAGTATTGCCATGATGAATTTCTCGCGGGCTGCGAAAAACAACTGCGAATCGCAGCACATCTGCTCGGTCCTTGCGCTCATCAGCTTGGCTGTCATCTTGATCCGTTCCGACGGGGTCAAGAGCTCGCGAACGGGTGCGCGCAGCGCTGATGTGATGTCGTCGACGCATGCTCTGAGGAATGCTTCGAAATCCGTGTCGTTCTGTGGAGGTGAAGTCGGCATCTCAGAAAATGCGAAGGGCGCCTGCACCGCTTCGTTGATGGACTTTTCGATGTGGAAGTATTCTCGCGGGACATCTGCTACCGAGTATTCCTGCTCCCATCGCGTCAGAATCCTTCTCCGCTCGCGGAACAATTCGTCCTCGTACTCATCCATCTCTCCGACTGCGGCGCGCGCTGCGACACTCGCTTCTAGCATGTCGAAAGCCCGCCTCAGCGATGCCAGATACGGCGCGATGACTCCGAGCGAAACCTCCATCGCGATCGGGTCCCCTATGACGAGGTCGTAAAAACGACGCAAAGCCGCGACGCTCCTGCCGTTCCTCAAGAACACCGTCTTGGACGCTTGCAGAGACATCACGAACGCTATGTCATGCGGGTGCGCTCCGTGCAACGTCATCACCTTAACCATTACTTCGTAAAACAGGCAGTTGAACATGTTCTCGAAGTCCGTAGTGATGATTACTGCGGCCTGTTGGTGGAGCCCGTCGGCGCCGCTCAGATGTTGCGATCGCTCCGCTAGTCGGCCTATCACATCGAGCTGCTGCCTGAACGCAGCGTCGAGGCCTGCTCCAGGCCTGCCAGTGCCGATCCATGAACCTAACAGACCGCTCTTCTCCATCCTCTGCTTCAGGCGGATGCAGCACTTCTGCGCTGCGACCCTATGCAAGTTCTCTGCGGAAACTGCGATCCGCAACTTGTTCGCTCGGTCTGTCCGACCGCTCTTGTGCAAGGCGGCGGCGACGAGGACTTTCCTCTCCGGTCTTATATATTGCTCGAACGCGCGCAGCGTCGTCTGCGCGATGCCTTGCGTAGTGTCGTTTATTGCGTTCCTCAATGTTTCGGTTGTCACCGGGTGGTGCCGCATTGCTGTAACTAACGATTTCCTGGTGCCGTTCGGCGAGCGCATATGCGGCTTGAGGGCCATCTTCGCCAAGAGTTTCGCAAGTCGGCATCGGAAACGGTGGCGTCGCCTTCGCGACTGCCAGCACTTGCCTGTACATTTCGCGCCGAGAGGGTGTCGCTGCCAGGGTCCGCGTCGACTCCCTAACGAAACGCGCTTTGCACAGGTGCGCTAGAAGTAAACTCTTCGCTACTTCCGCCGCTCCGACGGCGGTCAACGCCCCGGCTACGCAGAATAGGATCTCGCCTGCCGGGTCCCCGCGCTTGCTACCGTACAACGCCGCTTTACATGCGTCTACTATCTGAAACGCTTTGTCGCTCTTCGACGAAGCGCCCGTCCGAAGGGTAGCTGCTGCGCGCGCCGCCGCCGCTATATAATATTCTTCGGGTCAAGCTTCTCGTCCTCGCGCGCACCTGCGGCTGATACGTCTTGCACGTCCCTGGACCAATCGATCTTCGACGCTTTTTGGTCGACTCGCTGCCCGCTCACGAACTTCTTCTTCACCGCGACTTTCGTCAGAACGCGCTCGAGGTCCGCGAGATTCCTGATCGGACGCGCGCGATGCCCGCTGCTCTTCGGCGGCCATGCCTGCGTGCCAGAGTCGCCTGCGCTGGGTCCGGGGCGATACGTCCTTCGCATTATATGATCTGCGAGTACCGTATCACAGGAAAAACAGCACTTATACTCTTTTTTACTACCACCGATTTTGCCCACAAGTTATCTCACCACTCAGTCGCAAGACAGGACCGTGCGGATGAAGCCGACTACTTTCGCAGCCGATGGCGAGGCCTTTCGCTAGCTAGTTTATCTACGAACATCAAGAAAGTTACTTTCTAAGCATTTTTCTAGTAAGCCAGGAAGATGTTAGCTAGTTGCACATGTTATCTAAGCAAAAGTCGCGATACTTAGCATCGCACTGCTCCGTAGAGGATTGTTTCTCTTCTTATGAAGGAAAGCAGCCTACTCCTACTCAAAAGTCACAGCCTCGCGAGTGCTCACCATGAGCCACCTGAGCGGACCTGCGTACCTGATGGAGGGTCTGCAGCCTCGGACAGCGGTGGGTAAGTGCAGTGTCTTAAACTAGCTAGTTAAAATAGGATTAGATTGACAGGCCCAAACACCCTCCTCTTCCACCAGGCTCATCCCCACTTGCTCCCAAGTGAGACTGAGCCCTCCTACCCGCGCGCCGCTGGCTTTCGACGCCTGAAATCGCCGCTCCTGGATGACGTTTTTGCATATTCCAAGCCGCGGCACCACCTCGCAACGCCTGACCTTCAAAAAGGATCCTCGAAGCACACTGTTCATTCAAATGCGCCTACTCCGCCGATAGATCGTCCAACCTGAGAAGTGTTAAGATGGAGGAAATTACTGATCTAAGTAGAGATCTATAGAGAAAGCTCTGGTAAATCGTTGAGGTCTAATACTGAGTAAGTTCGTTAGCCAAGTCCGTCAGCCTTAGAGCTACCCACTCCATTTTAAAACCTACATCCCAGTGAGACAGATTTCCTTTTGTTTGTGTCTACTTATAATGTGCATCCCCCGCCCTTCTATGCTTTCACGCTATCCGATAGTCTAGCTTTAGATCGTTCGTCCCCGCCTGCGGGCGCAGGGTATAGTCTAACATGGGAACCCTTCCGAAGAAAATCGAACAAAAGACCTCAGTAGCCCTTTTTGCTGGCTTGTCTAAAACATTGGAAATATGCAATCTACCAGAGCTCTCGGCCGACATCGCGGCGCGGCCCCTCTCTGCACCCAAGACAGGCGAAGGAAGGTGGCTTCCAGTCCAGGTAAAATGCAGCGAGAGCAAGAACTTTTCTGCCTGGGTGCGCCAGATCCGCCATCAGATTACATCGAAGCAGCAAGCGCATCACGGCTGTGCAGTCTGTGGCTTCTCGAGCTGGAAGAAGAAGGGGATCGCGATCCTAGTCAACCGACGCGAGGACTACAGACGAATGGATATGCGCGAAGAATCCCTATGGGTTTCAGCCATGGAACTCGGGAAAAGTCTCGCACTACTGTGGGATAAGTGGGCAGTTCGTCAGCCAGACACGCTCCCGGGCGCATTCGCCACCGGCCGCAATACCCTGATAGAAATATCGATGCGTGACGCCTTCTGCCGCGCTCTCGAGCAAGGGGAATCTGAGTGGTTTTACGAGAGGAATCCTGTAGAATTCACCGCAGTCGACGGATATTTGAAACATGGGACAACGAAGAGCACAGCCATCCGGTGCCAAGAACGAACGCTAAAGTTTCAACGTAGAAAAGAGAAAATCACTGGAGCAACGGTGTCCACTACCAGGTACCGAGATTATGTCTTATGAATAGAGATTAGCGTTGACTCCATGCTCAGGAGACCGTCGAAGGAACTTACACTACAAGAGGAGAAGGGTTCCTAGACGTCCTGCGGACTAAAGACTCCCACTAGAAAACGAGCCACTTATGATGGTGACACCAATAAAGCTACATCTTCTCCGATCTCAAATCTAACCAGAAACACCATCAAAGAATACTACTCAAATTGAACTACAACGAAGTACCTCACGAAGCCCACCTCCAAACTACAGAAAAAGCGGCAGCGGATTCACTAGAGCAGAAATCGACTACATCGTGCTGCACCTTCGAGAATCTGACAAGACGCCAGCTGTCTGGACCGGGTGTTACATTGTGCCGATCAACATCCTCCAAGCACAAGGGCACGCACCCTACGAGGACGAAGCCGAGGACAGGCGCATCCATTTGTACGCTATGGTCTAGCTTCTCTGATGCTTATCCTTGCTAAAGTTCCCTGCTGTTCTTGTTGTAATTGAATCCATATTGCGATAGACCCAGCCATCGGCTTGAGTCCACGCCTGTCGTCATATGTCCATCTCTTCCCCTCCAATAAAGAAGCTTCGACTACCACTCTTGGTCGAGTATGGTAATCCATTTCTGTCCCTCACCATTTCGATAGCGCTGAACGAAAGTGGTCGAGAACCTTGAACATCTACCCACGTGGAGCTTGCTACGTTTCGAGAAAAGCAGACGAAGACTACTGGTGCGATCACTACTGGTTCTCTCCCGAAGACCTTTCCAAAAAGGACCTCTCGTTGCCAATGCGGACGATCGTGGACCCGAGTGAAAACGCAGAGCGGACTCCACGGGTGACCAAGAAGAAGCGGGTCTTGAAGTCAAACGTTGCTGAGGTTGGAATTCTTTCAAAATTTCGGAGCTTTTTTTCTCGAGCGAAGAGTAGCAGATCGTCTTAAATACGATGCGGATCCCTGCATAAAATTGATACTAAGCTGTAACTTCATTCGATAAGAACGTGGTGGCTTGTGCTTCTAGATCTTCTAAATTACGCACCGACCGAATCGTCTGCCTTGAGTGTTGATGCCGAGCATCTTCCTGAATAATTATGAACTTGATATAGTTACCTCACGACTTTAACAATTCTAAACTTTTCATACGATTCAAAATGAATTCTTTAACATTGGGGAGATCTGAACTATCAACATCAAGAGCTTTATCCGATGAACTTCCTACTTGAACATAAATTCTCCAACTGCCATGATTTGTTTATGATTGATTCATAATTTTGAAAGAAGGACCTGCTTGAGCTGTTGACTGATTTACTTGATCAATTACATAAGAGCCCCAAACTCAATCTGCGATCACTGTTGAGGAAATCGCCATGCGTAGGCTGTGAAGAGGAGAGCCACAGCCACTTTCTTCCGCAGCTGGAGGCAACAAGCAGCGCCATCTTGTGCCAACTATCCTGGTTTGCTGCTTCTTCTAAGAATCGAGAGACAGCTAGTATCTTGTTGTTGTAAGTCTAGATCTTGCCAAGCCTCCAAGGCTTTCAGTCGGTCTTCTTGCGCTTGGGTGTCGGTGACGATTTTGGCACCTCGGGGCAGATGCGGTCGTATTCAGCCTGAAGCTGTTCGTTGTCGTTGAATGGATTTGCCGCAGGCGCAGCCAGTGGGTCACGACTACTCGACGAAGCCGCATTTGCGATCCGTGCTGCAGCATATGGACACTTCTTCTCCTTCACGGTTAGCGCCTGCTCCTGATGCTTACGGCGATGCACTTCTTTGGCCTTGCTCTGGAGTGCCTCCTTGATGCGGTTCGGAACGTTGGAGGTGGATCCGAGAGTCGCAGTGGGGATCTTCACGTCCGTCGGGTGCAGCGTCTCGCCGGGACTGTATTTCAGGTAGAGCCCCTCCGAGACCTTGTTGCTCTTGCCTGCTCGCCTCGCTTGGATGCGGACGCGTGCAACCTCCTTCTTGCAGATGGTGCAGTGGATGGGCCAGTACTTGTCATGGACGGAGCGACCAAGAAAGGTGCGCTCAACTCGGTCACCGCCAGCAGGCGCACCTCCACCACCAGCACCACCACCAAAGTTCTGCACTTCCTGCATGAGGTTCGGTAGATTCTGGATCTCACCATCACGGAACTTCACCCACTCTGCGCGAGCATCGTCGTGCTCCATCAACAGGATCTTCTTGAGCAGTGCTCGCATCTGCGTCTCCCTAGGGATTTCCGGAATCGGGAGCTGCAGGTAGTATCCCAGCGTTTTGGAGAGGAGGTTGCCGGGAATCAGCGAGACGCAGCGCTCCAACAGCTCGGCGAAGGAGATCCAGTTCGCGTTGTACACAGCCACGCCGAGAAATCCTGCGCTGAAAGTGCATTCATAGTCGACCAAAAGTTTGCAGTCTCCGCGGTAACCGAAGATGGGTCGCGGCTTACGCCAATCGCAGACAAGGTGTCCACCGTCCTGCGACATTTTCATGTCGAAGCCAAGGCACTGGCCTTTTGGTTCCATGACACAACAATACTGGTCCTTCTCATCGTCATGGTAGATCACGAAGCCGCTGTTGTTCCAAAAGCGGCGCACGTTGGACGAATCGGCGACGATTTGGCCTAGCTTGTCCACCAAGCGCAAAAGCTCCGCACTACGGCCAGAGCTGTCCTCCAACGTCGCTGCTATTTCAAGTCCGGGCTTGTAGTACGTTATCGCGTGTGAAAACACCTCGCCCTTACCTTCGCCGATGATCTTGGCTGCTTTGTTGAGGATGGAGTGCTCTTCTACTGAAAGCGGCTGCTCATGGATGATTCTCTCTAGTTTCTTCAACTCATCCACCTGATGTCTCCCTTCAGTGCCGTTCTCGGCGCAGTAGTCCATAACCTGCTGCGTGGTTTTGCTCGCGTCGCGGATCTGCTCACGGAAACCTTTCACATCACACGCACGAACCTTGTTCCCGATCGCAAACAAGCTCGCCATTTTCTCGAAGATGGTCTGCTTCTGCCATAGAAGTCTGCGGTAGTGTAAGCGGAATTGGCCAGCTGTCGCTCGTGTGAGCTTCTCTCCACCCGTTACGAACCTCCAAAACGACTCACCCTCCGAGTCGGAGGTAGCTCCGGACAAGATGATGAACTTGATTAGTTCCTTGGCGAGATCGGTACTGTTGTCGTTGAGCAACGTGTTGAAGATGTTCTGCAGAATCGTGGCCGGTCTGGCGTTGAGCTGAGCGATGTCAACTTGATTGGTCACCATCACGATCTGGCGATAGAAGATGCTCACCCAAAGGCTGAAGTGCGGATCGTAGACACAGTAGATGTAGTAGCGCATGGTCAACTTCGCGAATTCCATCGCCTCTGACGCTTGCTGTTGATCCCACATCATCTGCAGAGGAGCCGCGAGCATCTTCGATAGAGCTGCTGGAAAGTGCTTCGTTGCAGAAAGCTGGAACACGTTTACACCTCGATCAAGAACAACATCCGGATACAATTTCGCAAACTCCCGGTCTTGCACCTGCATACTCTCCTCCGAAAATTGGCGCCCGTAGGTCATCTTAAGGTGAATAGCGTGGTAGATGAACGGCGCGCGATGCAACTGCACATGGAAAGACGTCTCCGCTTCCGAGATGTTGGACAAGGCACGGTGTAGAGCCTTCAGTTTCTCCAGATCACCACGAAGTGAGTGCTCCTCGTCCTGCTCTAAGTTGCCCTTTCCAGGAGGAGGCGCAACTGGACCGAAGACCGGAGGAGCCGGCTCGGGCTGAACTACATCTGCAGCGACAGGAACAACACCAGCAGCAGGAGCAGCAGATGTGCTAGAAGATGGACCAGGTGGCTGAGCCGCACGAGCTGCTTCGCGGTCCATGATATCACGAAGCAAAGCAGCCTCCTGAAAGACATTTCCTCCATCATCTACAACAGCCTCCCCTGGAAAAAAGTCGTCGAAGTCAGGTAGATCATCCGCAAAACCAGGACGGTTAGCTGCTGCGGCGTAGCTGCTGTCTGGTCCCTCCTCTTGCAATAGGAGACTGTGGTCCTCCTGTGGATGTACAGCTAGAATCCCTCTGCGTTGTTTCCCAGCCTCGAGCATGTGATCAATAATGGCTAACGCGAGACCGCCACACTTGGCATGCCAGCGGCTCACGTATTGGATTCTGAACCAACGGGCACGCACATACGACGCGAAGAGAGTTTCTGGGTGGTGAGAGGTGGGAAAGAAGGTCTGGGCTATCTTTAGCGATGAGACAAGTAAGGTGATGGTTTGAGGAGATGCCTAGGGGTGTGAATTGGTCTTCGTCAAGCGGGAATTTTTTGCGTTTAAAATGGAGATCTTTGGGTCCACTTGCCAGCCATCAAAACCAAGGTCCAGACCACTCGCCGAGCCGTCTTCGATGTCATCAATTTGTTAACGAGCTGGAAAGTGATTGCGTTTTTCTGTAGTCGTGATTAGGGGTCAAAGGTGGCCAACAGTCCGGATGCCAGTGGGTCTAAATGATGGGAACGAACAGCGAGAGGCAAAGGCGTGGATTCCAGTGCAGGAGAGGCCTCCAAACCCTCTCGGAAGAGGCATAAGGACTTCTCTTTTGCATGTCATGGCATGGCTTCAGCCATGATTTCAACCACCCACGGATCCGATCAGTCGAACGTTGGACCCAACCTTTGACCAAAGTCGGCTCCAATCGACGCGCAAGAAGAACGACGCCATGAGCACTTGCAGCAAACCTCATCCGAAAAGCAATGTGCCAAAGCTGTTTCGACAACCGTAGCCGCGCCGAATTCACACCCCGAAGCATTAAGGGAAGACTTGGGGTCAAGGAGTTGCGATTCCATCTGATTAAACCATAGGAAGCAAAAATCGCAAAGAAGTTCTTCGGTATAAGCACCTTTCTCCAACGCTTGCACCACTGAGAGCGCAGTCTCTCGCTGGATGCGATCATCATGTGGAGTGACATGACCATTCTGCACTTTATTCAGGAGCTCGCGCCGAGCTTTATCCAGACCTCCGCGCAGCGACTTCTTGGAGATTTGTCCACCAGTGCAAGTGCGCAGCTCCGCACGCAAGGAGCTGAGTTTGGCGTTCTTGTTCGAGTTGTTGCTCAAGCGGTGGCGCATGCCGAATCTCGCACAAATCGGCAAGACTCGCGCGAGACCCAGATATGCGCGTTGTTCTGCATCTTCCTGATCACCATCGCAAACAATGATGATCCTCTTTGCCCCGTTGTTCATGTGCTGCAGCACTTCAGGGAGAAAATCCGGGCCACCGATGCTAGACAGAAGCCGCACCAATCCAGCAACACGTCGGCAAGCCGCTCCATACTTCACATCAGCTCCTGCCTTGGGGCCCAGACTCGACTGAAGAGCGAGCGGCGCCATCATCGTCTGCAACTGATCACGACCGTCCAAGTACGACAAGTAGATCTGGGAGAAGTGTGGAGCAAGATGATTTTGCTGTGTATTTCGATGGACCTCGATCGAGGAAACGAAGTTGCAAGTTCGACAAGAGGACTCGCAAAATGGAAAACAACTGAGAACGGAAGATGATGCTGCTGCAACAGAAAAAGCTTAGCAGTGAAACTTTGAAAGAGAATCTTCAAGATCATCCGCTACAGTCGTGAGAAATGCTAGAAGGAGCGAGCAAGAGAGTTAAGCATAAAGAAAGCTCACCTGGGACGCCTCTTTTTTCTCCTTGCCCTTCACGCTGCCGTCGCTTTGGATATTAATAACCCCAGAAAACTTGCGGAAGCTGCAGCATCCTGCAATAGGTATGAGATGCGTCTTCTTGCGGAACTTGTCCAGCATAAAAGCTACGTCCATGTGGGTCCGCAGGATGTGTTTCTGGTGGGAGATTTTTTGGGCGTCAATTATGCACCAGAATTTTCATGGTCAAAGTTCTTTGCTGCACTAGATCTAGGTAGAAGATGTCGTCTGGCGCAACTCTATCACATCAAAAGAACAAGAGTAATCACTGTTGGCGACTTAAGTACCAGCTGGAAGCATTTGCTCGCCTCTCGGGTCTTCAAGGAGTTGAAGTAGTGATCCTCAAACGCCTTTGCCAGAGCCCGAACGTCACCCCCGTGGGTACTATGGTCGACCATCTTAATCTGCTGCAGATGCCATTTTTTAACTGGCTCCAAGATAGGAGAACGATCCATCACCCGGAACGTCGCCACCTAGAAAGTAAGGCAATGTCATGAATTTCAAAGAGAAGCAGAGAGGAGATCTGGACGAGAATCGTAACGACTGAAACCACTTGAGACCATCTTGCCGACACAGCTGAAAACAAGAATGACAAGACTGCAGTACCGCTTCGAGTCCAATGTTCTTGCTGGCTTCCGCGTTCTTCTTGTCGAGTCCGCTCTCGTTTGCCAACTCTGGCGCCAAAACCTTCACGGCGTCGCGCTGCGCAAGCCACTTTTCGTGATAGCTCTTCTGCCAGTTCTGTGCGACAGTGCGTGGTAGAAAAAGCCGCATGCGGAGAGTGCCGCTGACCACAGGAATACGCGGAAGCGTGTGTGGACGACTAGGGTCCATTTTGAGGCTGGACGCCGGCATGTTTACTGAGTACGATTCTGCCCTGATCTTATGTTTGAGAATTCAGCGACACCTGATGCAAAAACTCGGAGTGAAGTGGTGCACGGTGAAGCCTGGGGATGAAGATACGGCATCGTTGATTATAGCTGCCGGAGCAGTTTGAGGTCTAATGAATAACATAACCGGCGCCCTCGTCCCTCAACGATTGACGATCTAACGCGATGGAGCCCTGCACTCATTGCTCCAAGTAGAAACGGACCAGCCAACGCACGAAAAGCAAGGTGGTATCGATCAAAGAAATGCGGCCCCTGATTCTCGACCTAACTGCGGCTGCCTTGAGAGTTGTGGCCTATGGTGGATTTGTGTTTTAACAAGAAAAGTCATGACTGTTGGCCTGAACTTGTTCAAGTAGTTCGATACTCCTTTTTACTTTGAGAAGATGGCTAATAATTATGAATTCTAGTGTGATGAGCTAATTTCTATAAAACAACATCATTGATAACACCGAGCGAGTGAGTTACTTTCTTCGGAACCTAACTACATAATTTCAAAAATGAAGAACGAAATAGCTGCTACAGTCGACATTTACGTAATTCGCGGACGTCAGAAGCTGAACTCTTTTAATTTTTTAAGTCGATAAGAAATCCTTTCAGAACTAAGAACCTTACTAAGCTACAAATCGATATGAGAAAAAGAAGGCTAACGTAGGTCATCGGTGTTGTTTAACTATTTCAAGTGCCGCACTCAAGTCCTGGCATTTCCCGAGTGCTTCTGCATTGTAACTAAATTTTTTGAACAAGAAGAAAGTCTGCGTCTGATGATGATAGCGTCGCCGTTACTTCTCTAGCTCTAACTAGCCCAGTTTCCCTGTTAGCTTTGCGTTGGTCTTCAGCAAAGACGATCTTCACCCGAGCGGATTGCTGCTAGAAGCCTTCACACGAGGATGATTCTTCTGCTTGTGCGAGTTCTTTGCAGGGTTCTTCTTCGCCTCAGCACGACTACCATTTTCCAGCTCATCATCATCGTCCACCTCCTCCTCCTTCGGAGACAAGTAGCTGCCATCTTCTGACTCTAGTTGATCGAGATCCTCAGACCCGGCTCCAGGAGACGCCATGGAGCTGGTGTTGCGGCGACGAATTTGGACCTCATCCATGTTGAGCTCACCGTCGGAGAACTCTGGCATGCTCATATCGTCCGGAATCTCATCAGCCAAGCGCTTACGCGTAGGTTGGGACATCTTGCTGCTGCTGCTTTGCTTCGGCGCTGCTCCAAAAGTTCGCCCATTGTTGCTGCCCTCACGAAAAGAAGCTGCGCGACTACTACCACTATCTCCACGAGAGAAGGCGTTGTCTCTCTTGCTACTATTGAGTGAGTCGGAAGTAGATGCAGATGCTCCAGGTTGAGTCTCATCAGATGAGCGGAGATTTCCACGATGGCGGTGCGCTGCGCGACGACGTTCGACATCTGCATCATGTGTCTTCGAGCGGCGGGCTCGGAGTGCATTATGTTCAGGAAGTGCATCTTCCAGGGCCAGCAGACCATGACGCGACTCTTTCTCCGTGATCGCTCGTCTACCTTCTCCGCCGCGACGAGCAGTCCGCTCGCGGTGATTGTCCATCCTGCGATCTTCCAGCATCGGAGTACGGCCACCAGCTGGACCTGCCATGTAGTCATCACAAAGCGCCAGAGAACTTCGCTCTTCGTCACCGGGGAACAAGTGGTTGCGCTTGCCGGTCATCATGGCGTCCAGCATTGTCCCGAAGAAGTTGCCCATCATCATTCGCTCTCCGCCACCTCCTTGGGAAACTTGCATCTGCGTTCGCGGCACCATCATCTTCGACTGGAGTCGGATCGGAGCGAAAGAATTAGAGGAGTGGGCTGGTGGTGTGGGAGGAGAAAGGAACTTGCAGCTTCTGTAGATTTCATTCTAATCTTGCTACCTGATATCCCTCGCGGCGCGCTTCAGCTGCTTCTTTTGCACGCACCTTCTTGACTTGATTTTGCAACTTGATCAGAGCATCTTCAGCATGAGCTGGGACATCCTTGGGGCACAACTCATCAATCATCTTCGAGATTGATTGAGCCGTTGGCTGAAACTTCGTATCCGGGTCTTCCGGAAGCTGGAAAGGGGAGGACAATTGATGTGGCCTCACGATGTTCCGCGAGGAAAGTCTTTGGGATTGGGTGGGAGAAGCGTACGAATGAAAAACGAACAGCAATCAAGTCCATCTGAAGACACTAGCAGTTGAATTTGGAGAGAAGTTCTTCTTCATAAGTACCGAAGCACCTAAACTACCAGAAAGAGATACCTTGTCACGCAGACGATTCAAGCCCCAAGAAGCCAGAACTTGCAAAGCGTCCTCCGTGCACGTGATAATTCCACTGACTTCATCCTCAGGCCAACCAACTGCCTTGGCAATCCAGCTTGCCAGAGGTCCTCGCGGGAGAGACTTCCACGGATCTGATTGGTTATGGAGAAATATCAGCTCGCAAGAGAGCTTTGGAAATTCAGAGGTTCTCAGTGCGGAGCTCTAGTTGGGAAGCGGGTGGCGGATCAATAGTCAAGGGGTCGGGATCTAGCTACAGTGGAAGCCGAAGCGTCACCATCTTGATCTTGTTGGGGTTCAAAGGAGATAAGTCATGATGTGCATCAAGCTAAACAGAAGACGCACCCTCTTGATTATTAAAACAGAAGGTCTTCTTCCCCGGGCCGGCGGCTTGCGTACGGCGTCGACGCTCCCGCTCACATTTGGCCACAATGTCGCCGAGGTCATCGCCATTAAGGTACTCCATCTGCCGCTGAAGAGCAACCCAAGCATCTTGGGCATCTTTTACTTTTTCTGGACGTCGGCGGCCATCTCTTTGGCGCCCAGAAAGCATCATCTTTCGTGTCTTCTTCTTGAGCGACTCGCTTACAAGTGCGCTGACTATGACAAGAGGACCTAAATCCTGGCACAGAGAGCGCCTTTCTCATCTAAGCGCTGAGCTGATTCTGGTGAAGGCACGACAGTCGCCTCGTGTGCCCGTCTGTTGATGTGCCTCAAATGCTCACCACTCTCCCGATAGCAGTGTCACGATGCGAACCCAGTGCAATTTGTTGGCCACTCTCACAACACGTGCTGCTCTCGTCTGCATTATTAGAAAGACAGCGCAGGGCCCCTGCTTCATTCTCGAAGGAGGTTCTCCTCTTGGTGGTGCTTCATCCAGCGAACAAATCGACTTGATGGACTCTCACGAGGAACAAATACCGAGTGAGCCGATAGCGTCAGCATTCGTCTCAATGCAGAATAGTACTAGTCTTTCGATGAGAATCTACATCACGAGCAGCGTCATCATCAAGCACTAGGTCGAGAACTAGAAGGTTAAGCGGGCCGTTCAGCGGTGACCTGCGTCCAGAGTCTACGAGTCCACCAGTCCACTTGACCACTCAACGCGGCATTGCCGATGGCTCCTCCAATGCAGAAAGACGGCCACCCTTCAAAGCGTTGCGAGGTGGTGCCGCAGCTTGGAACCTGCAAAGACGTCACTCAGGAACGGCGATTTCAGGCGTCGAAAGCCAGCGGCGCGCGGGTAGGAGGTCTCAGTCTCACTTGGGGGCAAGTGGGGACGAGCCTCGGGTAAGAGGAGGGCGTTTGGGCCTGTCAGTATAGTCCTATTTTAACTAGCTAGCTTAAGAAGCTGCACTTACCCACCGCTGTCCGAGGCTGCAGACCCTCCACCAGGTACGCAGGTCCGCTCAGGTGGCTCATCGTGAGCACTCGCGAGGTTGTGACTTTTGAGTAGGAGTAGGCTTCTTTCCTTCATAATGAAGAGAAGCAATCCCCTACGGAGCAGCGCGATGCTAAGTGTCGTGACTTTTGCTTAGATAAAATGCACAACTACCTAGCACCTTCCTGGCTTACTAGAAAAATGTTTAAAAGGTCACTTTATTGATGTTCGTAGTTAAACTAGCTAGCTAAAGATCTCGCCATCGGCTGCGAAAGTAGTCGGCTTCATCCGCGCGGTCCTGTCTTGCGACTGAGTGGCGAGATAACTTCTGGGGAAAATCGGTGGTAGTAAAAACGAGAATAAGTACTGTTTTTCCTGTGATATACCGGGGCGAACGTTCTGCCGTCAAACTTTGTTCTCCTGCTCCAGTCGACCACGAACTGGCATCCGTGCGACACGCTCGCGACTGCCACCGCTGTTGCGCGTTGGAGGCAAGTCTGTCCGACCGGGAACATGACGTCCGAATATACCGCGGCCACCCGGACTGGGCATCTCAGCGCTAAGGCCGCGTAGTGTTTCGCCCATGCTTCTTTCGCCGCCGCGAACACGTCGGTCTGCGCTTTCGCTGGCTCGAATAACCACCCTGGAACGGTCAGCGCTGCGTGGTCCGATGGGACCTGCGCGAACGGTGTGTCCGGGCCGATCAGGCACGGAGCGAATCTTCTAACGTGCCATCGCTCGATCGCGTTCGCTCTCGCTGCGACTGACGAGCAATAAATATGGTCTACGGCGGACGGGTCGCCACCGTGCGCTGTCGCGCGCCAGCATGTTGGCCCGATGCCCTCGATCGGGCGCCCAGCGAAAATCTGCAATGGCCTGTAAGCAACGCGTAAGAGCTCTGGGTGCGGATCTGATGGCCTGGCTTGTCCTCTGATGTAGTTGAAGTCACCGAACAGCCAGACTTGCTTGCCGGCGCGATGCTTCTCCAGCTTCGCTATCAACTTCTCCATCTCCCTCTTCACAGATGGGATATTGATCGGTCTGCAGGATCTCGGGGAGCGGTAGTACGCGGAGATGATTATCATCGTGTCCATTACCGCTGCAGCAATATACGCGAGGAAATCATCCGCACCCCGCAGCGCCGTGCGTGCGTCGGTCCTCATATCCGGGTCCGCCATCAGCACTACCGACACTGAGTCCGACACGCGGTGCATCTGGTCCGCACGCACTAAAACGGCTGCACCTCCGGTCCCGTCCGGTGCGGCCAGCCCCAGAGCGTCCGTCGACGCTGCTACCGTGTAGTCGAGCGCTGTCACCTCTGACCCGTCTTTCAAAATCGCCGCTGGCGGAACAGGCTGCCCTCTCACTTTCTTCTTAGTAAAGGCGATCGTGCTCTCTTCGCGTGCCCAAAAGGCTCGCTTAAACTCTTGGACTGCGATCGCGACTGGCATCTTTATAAACACCAACTCACCCAGCCGCAGCCTGGCACTCCAACCGCCCACGTTCCAGCCGATGCCGCCGTCTCTGTCGAATTGGTCCATCGTTTCCGCCCAGAAGCGATTTTCCGGCTGAGCGTCGCATTCATCGTCGAACGCTCCTAAGTCGTCGACTTCCGCCTCGCTGCTGCATGCGTGTATCCTGTTTAGACGAGCCGCGGCGAAGATTGTCGGACCCACGTCTGCTGCTGTGTGCGAAGGCCAGAAGCTGCTGATCTCTTCTCTGCTCAGCCAGCGCCATCGCGCCTTCCATGGCTGCGCTTCACCGCGCATGATTGCAGCGACTGTCTTCACGAATTCCGGTAGCGGCCACTCGTGCAGCGAAACTTGCGGCGCTGGGTCCGATGTCGTCTGGCGCACTATCCACCAGTCGGCGAAGTGCGTCGGGAAAGTCTCGGCGTTCCCACACTTGACGCTCATCGCTGACTCTTCGAGGAACGAACCGGCCCTCGCATCTGCGCCACCACCGAACTTCCGCGCGAGAGCATCGTATGCGCTGACCAACGCGGACTCGCCGTTCGGTATCATCATCTCCGCGCACATGTCCGGGATCTCCGCAGCTGCAAGCTTCTTCGCGGAAGACAAATACGACGCTTTCGGCGCTCTCGGCTCGTGCTCTTCGAACGCGAGGTGCCGTCTCGATGGCGGTAGCTGCGCCAGCTGCGCGTCAGTCGCGTTCGCCATCGCCCCTGGGTCTGCAAGAATTGCTGTAAACACGAAAAGCCGCGCTGACCAGTCCTCGTACGGGGGCATCTTGCCTTCGACGACGAGACGACGCCTGCGTGCGGCCTCGGCTGCTGCTACCGGCCTCCCGTCGATGTGCGGGTGCGTAATCGAAAGTGCCAAAGCTGATCGGGCAGAAACGCGCCTCGCTAGCGCGAAAGGGGCGATGTCCCGATACGGGCCTCTATCCGCTTGGAGGAACACCAGGCCCACAGCTTCGAAAATCGCTCTGCATTGCTGCGTACCCACTCTCGGGAGGATAATCGCCTCTCCGTCGTGCACGATCGCAGCTCTCGCTCTCTCGGCGAGGAGCGCCGCGATCGGACGAATCGTTGCGTGCCGCGCTGTCGCTCCTACTGCGTAGTGCTGCGACAACCCGGCTTTGCTTACTCTCGCGTTTGAGAGCCGCCTGTCGCTGCGACCCGGCGCTGCGCCCGCGCGCGCGTAGTGCTCTTCATCAGTCGATGGTGCCTGCGTAGCTTGCGTCGCAGCCAAGGCTTGCGGGTCGTGCGGCGGGCATGCTTCCGAGTCCGAAGTCGAAGAGGATGAGGACGACGTCGAGCTTGCGCGTGACGCGGACCTCTCGCTCGACTGGGCACGTGCCGCGACCAACGTGACGCTTGCTCCGTGCGGTTGCCGCTTGAAAACGCTCTCCCTAGGTTGCAAAGGTAGCGCTGCACCCGCCACACTGCGGCTACTTGGCGGTGCTCCTCTGACTCCTGCAGGTCCCGCTGACGCGGCTTCTCCGGCTCCTAATCGGCAGTCATTCTTCCCGCCGACAACGCGTGGCGCTGAGAACAGGTTCTTTCCGGGTTTTGCGGATCCTTTAACGCGCGATGCGTCTGCTGGCCTGCTCTTCTGCCCTTTCCAGAAGCGCCACTGGCCGTCCGTGTCGACACCTTTCCAGCCGCTCACCCAAGCGCCCTTTCCGGCTGGGTTCAGAATCGGCTTCGGCAGAGGGTTAGGTCCGCCGCCCGTCGTGGCGAAGCATTCCGTCCATGCAGTCACTGCAACTTGCCTGCGCGCTCCGTTCTCCGCTGATTCTGGCGGAACATCCACGCTCACGTCAGTCGGCTCTGTTACTAGTCTTCGCTCCTTCGCTCGAGGCGAATGCCGAGCTGCATCCGCTGCTCCTCCTAATTGGATGCTGGGATCGTTGCGTCGCTCGCCCGGCGCGCCTGAGCGCAGCGCGCTGCTCCTCGCGCTGCCTCTGCGCTTCTCGTTTCTCCCAGTGGTAGCGCCTAGTGGAGGTTCCGACCTGCTCCTCTGCGGTCGTTGCTCACGATCTGATGCTCGTCTCGTACGCAGCCCGCGCGCTTGAGATGCTGACGCGCCGTTCGCTGCTGGCTCGCGAGCAGGCCTCGATGGGCCGCTCGCTACGCTCGACGGATCGTTCTTCCGAAGGTGCGTCACCCAAGGGGTGCGCGCTCTCGCGACGGTTGCTGAAGGAGACTCCATGCTCGAGTCCGAGTCTCCGTCCGCGTCATACCCGTTGCGTGGGCGCCGCCGTGCACCGTGCGTCCCGGTCCTGATCTGATCTACTCTCTCTCGCGCCGATTTTTCCCGGATGTACACGTTCGGCGGCCTGCCCCGGGAACCCCATGGATCGCTCCATGCTTCTTCGATCCTCACGCTCCGGCGCCGTTTCGCGACACCTTCCGTGTCGGGATCCAGCCATTCTCGGCGCCAGCGCTCCTGCTCGTAAAACGTACTCCCGCACGCTGCCTTTCGCGTTTCGAGAGATGACCACTCAAGACCGGCTTTCGTCTCCGCTTTCATGTGCTGCGTGAAGTACCCGCTCGATTCTCGGTACCCGCGTACGAAAGGGCCGTCTGCCGGGTGCGCGATCAACTTATACAGACCGAGGATCTGCTCCGCCATCGTTAACGCTGCGACTTCGATAATGCTATACCAACGGCGCATCTCCTGCCAGACCGTGCTGCTCCGGCTAGCTTAATCCTCCTCGTACTCTTGTTTAGCGGCGCGCTGGGAGCGCAATATGCGTGATCCGCCTCACGGATCGTGGCTCCGGTGTTGCCTCCGGGTCCTCGTTGCGCGGCCTCCGCCAAGACCAAAAAGTAAGAAGCTGACCTCTATCGACCATGCGCTTCGCCGCTACTAACGCGGCGGCCTCCTCATAAATGTTGTCCTCGTTCACGTTCTCTAACAGCGTCCTTTGAAAGTTCTCGACCTTCACCCAATCCGTGATCGTGTTCCAAGTCTGCGGGTAAGATTCCCTCTTCAAGAGTCTGCCGTTCCCGCGGAGGATATCGACTACGTATCGCTCGTACTTCTTGACGCTATTCGGCCTCAGATTGTGCTCCAGTGTCAGAGCCACCGCTGCTTCGTGCTGCGGTGTCGGATACAGGAGCATCCGCCTCGAGTGGAGAGGCCTACCTGCTCTCTCCACGGCACGGTGTCAACCGACCGGCGAATCGCTATTCGCGCGAAAGTGCTATGCCTCCGGATCCTGCGGAGTTCGTAAGAAGAACACGCGCTGGGACTCCTGTGAACGGTGGCTCCGGTAAGACGTTTGTCGAAGAGCCTGAGAACGACCGCTGCGCTGACCCGCGAGTGACCTGATCCAACGCAACGTTTGCCCTATGCGCGAGCTACTTACGCGCCCGCCGTTCGCTACGCATTCGGGGGTCTGGTATGCGAGGTCGCGATCGTAGACCCTATGGGCGGGTCGCCTGTCGAAGGGCCTATGTGCGGCCGCTGCGGGTGGTCTTGAAAGAGTTCTCGTAAAGCGTAAGAAATGCCCTATGTGCGAGCTTCTTGCGACCGCGTGCTTCGGTACTCGCGTTCAAGGCTCTTCCTCGCAGTCAGCTACGACCCTATGGACAGGTCGCTTGTCGGAAGGGCCTATGTGCGGCCGCTGCGGGTGGTCTTGAAGGAGTTCTCGTAAAGCGTAAGAAATGCTCTATGTGCGAGTTTCTTGCGAACGCGTGCTTTGGTCCTCGTGTTCGAGACTCTTCTTCGCAGTCAGCTACGACCCTATGGGCAGGTCGCTTGTCGGAAGGGCCTATGGGCGGCCGCTGCGAAAGCGCTCGGACGACCTCCAGCAAGAACGGGTCGCTCTATGTGAGAGCTTATTGCGATGTGCGGTCTGCGAGCCCTATGTGCGGGCTACTCGTCGAGCAGTTTGAACGCGGCCTCTGCTACGATCGAAACCTATGAGCGGTCTCGCGTGCGATATGGAGCGCTCTATGTGCAAGCTCCGCGAGTGCTTTCCGCCGGGCGCAGAGAAATGCTCTATGTGCGAGCCGCCTGCGACTGGGAGCCTAGCAAGCAACCACAGAGTACTCAACAACGACCGCTCAGGCAAGAGCAGGTCTGGTGTCGCGAACTGACGTTTTGTGCCATTCTCCTCCTCTTTTCATTCTTTCGACGTTGCTACACACATCGCTCAACTCGACGCTCGCTTTTTTCTCTCAATTAAATACCTTGAGCCAAAGGAGGAGCTGCTTAAGTTCTATTTTCTTGAGCCAAAATGGTCAAGAAGTTTTAAGTCGTCACTCGAGAATCGAATAAGGACTCTACAACATATACATTGATGTTATGAAGAAATCGGAAAACACTGAAAGGTCTAAAATACAGAAAATCACATGGCCGTCCAGTTACGATAGATGAAGACACGACAATACTGACAGAATCGTCACACTTTCGAGTTCCTATTCCTTCATATTTTCAACATTGATGCTGATGCTCTAAAACTAAAACCATTATCAATATCATGCTTGTAGTTTCTGTTTGGTTCTCATTCTCTACATACATTACTTATGCACACACGTCGTGGTTATGCATCGAAGGATCGGGAAACCTCGCTGTTCAATATCTACGAAGACACCAAGAATGTTCACACTCTGTTCAATCTGAAACATCATTATAATGTATAGCTTCATCTTTTTTACTCTATCTAAAAGCTTTTGTAGGTACAAGTGACGGGGGATGCCCAAAAAGACTTGGTTGATAACTAAAAAAAGGGCTTGACAAGGAGAACAATTCAAACTCTGCTGCAATTGCAACTACTACTAGTAGCGACACAACAACTCATAGAAGATACTACTTCAGTGATTTGTGAGTGGACCAGCATGCTCTAATCGATACGAATAATGCTAGCCACAATTTCGAAACGTCCTACTTTGTAAAAAGCACCTAAAAATATTAATAGCCACACTCTTCTATCATGATACACTAATATATTATACTTCAACAACTTCTTTCTTCAACTGCATAACTTTCCGGCAAAAGCAAAAGCATAACCATAAGGCAGGTTGATCGTGATCTACTTCGTGAAGACAGGCTTGATAATAGAATGTGCTTCATCAACAGCATCTAGATCTAGTGATGGTAGCACTCTTCGTGCTGCTGAAGATGACCCGAGTTACAACAATTGTTCTCTCTCAGCATGACTTAGAAGGGTGGATGAACTAGGAAGTCAACGTCTTCTGGTCGAACAAATCCCGCTAGCGTGGACTCCTCTTGTAGCACTGCGCGTTCGTCGGCGGATAAAGCGAAGGATAACCACCGCTCGATCTTGCCTTGACCTTTTTGGTTGTTGATTGTAGTTCTTGTAGGTGTTTGTTGATAGATCAGTGTAGTAGGTGGAAGATCAAGCTGGGGGTGGCGTAAAGAACGTCCTAGATCAACATTTCATTTTTGCGACAGAAACAGAAGCTAAAGCTAAGCCCTAAGATTGTCTTCCACGCCCAAGACCATCTACTTCAATTTTCGTCCTACCACGACGAGGAGCGAAAATTATATATAAGTTGTTAGAGTGATGCTTACTTTGAAAACTTCAGAAAAAGTAGTACGATTTTCCCTTGGCTCGCAGTAAGAGGCTGGCTTCATAAGAATGCCGAACCCTTGTAAATGCGTATTGGCTTCCGCTACCCAAGCTCGGAAATCCTTGTCCCACGCTTCTCTGTTGCCTTTCCTTCGTCAGATTAGAAGCAAGAGACTCTCTTTTCAGGTGCGATAACAACAACACTTTTTTTGTTTGTCATGTTTGTGCCCCTGATATCGCCTTTCGTGACGACATGACTTTTTTTGTTTCACCATCACCTTTGATAGTCAACGATAGATAATAAAGTAGCCGCGTAGAGCGAAGTGCCAGAAAATTGTAGGCGTGAGTGAGATTTTGATTTTTCGGAAGAAGATGTATGATACAGATAATAAAAAGCATCAATGTAGGAGTCTCGTCATCTCTGCGGTATAAGGTGAACACTTAAGCACTTCGTAAATATATCCCGGGAGGTTGTGGCTATTTGGTTAGTCTGTCACTTGACTCAAAGGCCGGCCCTGCACACGATTAAGTTGGTCGGTCTATGATTTCAGTGCTGTCATTGTAGGAGTTCATTGATTGGAGTCGTGCCATATTTGGGCACGCTCCTATTTCTCAAATCTCTCCACTTTCTTTTTCTTAACCTTTTCGGTTCTCGTTCTCGTTGTGGGCGAACAGAGTATTTTTCTCATTCACTCGGACGGAGATGATAGACTTGGTCGCCATACATCCCCTCCTACTCTGTTCGGCCCTGAGAACGTTGGAAAATATTTAATTATTTACTTCTTAACTTCTAGCACTGATATGCTTGAAGTCTTAGTTTTTGATACTTGGAAAATGGACGATTTTGATCGAGTTACTTACTTGTTTCGCTTATGGAAATCTTTGACTTTATGATTGCAGGACGGCCATATTTACTTACTTACTTGTTTATTTTGTACTTACTTGTTCTTCACTTTTTCAACTACTTAAATGCTTGACTTGCTCGTTGAGACGTTCAATACTTTCCTTAATTATTTCTTTCTTTCAGCCTTTACCTTTTTCACTTTTCTAGTACTCAGCACTTGAGTACTTTCACTTTCTTATTTCATTTATTTACTTCAGTGCACTTATGTTAATTCTTCATCTTGTTCAACCAAATAATTCCCATTGTTCGTTTCGTACACGGTTACTTTTACTACTAGTACTCTCCCTTTTCGCTTTTCCTGTTTTTCCTTTTTCGCTTTCGGCTTATTCGGCTTCCGCATCAATGGCGTTAACCTGGAGGAGTTTTAATTGTAATAGACCACGTTTAAACTCAACACCACGACAGATTTTACTTAAGACGTTACTTCGATTTTTAGCAGATTCAAGGAAGAAGACTTGCACTTCTCCAGTATTGGTCAGCTCTTTGATATACGCACTACGTATGACTACATGTTTCAGGCGAGCAACTGGCTGACTCCCTGTAACATGTTTTATGGCGCCCTGATTGTCCCCGAACTGTTTCAAGGTTCTTTGCAGAGAGAATCCAAAACGCATTAGAAACTCTTTTAATGGCGTTACAGAGAGTAGGTCTCTGTAAACTAGACCCATTTTAGCTCCTTCACTCATCCCGTATAACTCAGCTTCAGACACAGAAGTAGCGACTGTATCTTGAGTTCTACATTTCCACTGTATAGCAATTCCACACAACTCTACCAAGATGCCTGAATTGCTTCTCCATTCAGTGAGGCTCTGTAGCGATGCCCAATCTGAATCAGTGGAAACCTCTACGATGAGTTCACCTGTGAAGGAGTCAGGTGCGACGTAGTGGAGAACGCGTTGTTTACGCAAGTAGCGGACTACTCGCTTCAATCCTTGGATTGTGTTCTCGTTGATATCCGAAGTAGCGAGTACTTTCAACGCGACGCATAAGTCTGGTCTTGTAGCAGTGCAAGGGTATTGCAAACTGCCTAGCAGAGACATTCTTTCTTTGTTGAATGCTGCTAGTGCGTCGGGTTCGAGAGGTACTTTGGAAGCTGCTGGAGCGATTTCAATTGGAGTAGGAACATACTTGCCATCTTCCCCTCCAAATCGCTTGAGCAGTTTCTGCGTGTATTGAGTTTGGTCGAGGATAGCGGACCATGTGAGTTTATTAAGACGCACTTGAATGCTCAAGACATCATAAATAAACTCAGTAGCCGTTTCTTGAGGTGGTTCTTCGACAAGGTCGAGTCTGTGAGCCACTTCAGGATAGACTTTAGCAAAAGATTCTTCGTCGCCGAAAAAATAAAAGTTATCGACGAAGATTATAAGGATGACATTGGACAAGTGCCAAAGAGTAGGCTCTATAGCACACTGTTGCCAACCTATACTGACAAGTACTTCGTTTCTGTACTTGGCCCATGCAGCGGGAGATAGCTTTAGCCCGTTCATGGAGTACAGAACTTTTCCTACGGAATAGTGTAAGACAGATTGCAACCTGGAGTCAAGTTCGATTAGAACGTGCTCAGGGTATGGAGACTGTAAGAATGCCGAAGTTGCATCAGCAGACTTAATTTTGATTCTCCCTCGAGATAGTACTACGAGCGCAATCATGAGCCTTACTACGCTGATATCTGTTACCGCGGCATACGTGGATAGATGGGTCTTAGGTGCTAAGAATCCCATACATGCCACGCGTGCCTTGTGGCGTCCATCACGCTTTACCGACAGTAATAGCCTGCAAGGTATGCGCTTGTGTGGATACTCAGCGACTTCCTGTTCTGTAGCTTTTCTGAACACATGCTTGCGCGCGTTGAGTTCTTTTTGGATAGGGATAGCCTTCCTCCATTCTGGAGTGTCATACTTGTCCTGCTCTTGCGAGTTTGGACTTTTTCCTTCTGTAGTGAGAAGCACTAGCGGCGTCTCATCATCGTCGAGTTCGACGAATTCACAGACTGCCAAGAGAAGTTCTAACTCTTCATCGAGTGGATTTGGTTCCATCTCGAGTCTATGTAACACTTTTGCAGCAGCGGCTTCTGCCTGCGCTGGCTTAAGGTGTTCATACTTTGGATGCTCTTTGAATAGACCTCGAATCTGTCTAACCCCTGCTTTGCGTTCTCTCCAGTGGAGACGCTTTCCTTTTTGTTGTTGTCTTAGTTCACTTAGGATCGTGCGCGCTTCTTCTTGAAACTCTTGATAGAGTCTATCAAGTTCTGTTTTAGTAAGCTTTATCTTGATCCTGGGCCCTTTATTTTCTTCTTTTCCTTTTTCTGTTTTAGCAGAATCTAGATTACCTAGCCTAGCATTGACATTAGTAGGAGGATTGACCGGATCCCCTACTGACCCAGTGGACACATTGGTCAGATGTGACTGCGTAGGGATGTCAGTGCCGTCGGCTATTGCAGGAAGTTTTGCATCTAGATTTGCTTGAGGGGTAGAATTAATTGGAATCCCCTCCAATTGCTTGAATGTGATTCCAATTGGATAATGATCACCACACGCGCGGCGAACATTCTTTAGAACGTGGAAGCTTGTGACTAATCCAGCGTGTGCTTGTGGATAAAAGACACGATCAATGCGCATGCCTTTTCCAGTAGCATCCGGGTACTTGTGTCCCCAGGTGATACATGTGTAGTCTGTTCCATTGGGTCGTAAGTTTCTGTATGCATCCATTAGTTGGAACTTAGTAAGAAGAGTTACGCAAGCTTGTTGGTCAGTTTCTCTTACTCCTGGAATGGCTGCCTTTAAGCATTCTGGCTCGAAGTCCAGAGATGATGGGCAGTAGTTTAAATCTCCCATAATCATAGGCACTGCCGTCTGTGCTGACAAGTACTTATGAAGTTCTTGATCCCATGACTGAGTTCTTTGCACGTCTTCGCGAAAGCACGCGTAGACGATGAGAATCGGAATGGGACACTTGGGACGATGTACCAACATACCTCGTCCGTTACTTAGAGCGGTACGCTCTACGCGAATGCCTAATCCCTTCTTAACCAGTGCGGCTGTAGAGGCGAATGTTCAGAAACATTCTAATTGTGTTTTTTTCGTCAAAAAGTACCAAAATAGTGAGCCATTAGTGGGTTTTTGCAGACTGAGTAATACTCAGTATTACTCAGTATTACTGAGTAATACTGAGTAATACTGAGTAATACTCAGTCTTCAAAAAAATAACCCACAAGCGACCCACTAATTTGGTTTTTTTGACGATAGGGGGGGCTTGATCAACATCGTTAATTTTTCTGAGTAAACTAAAGTAATGGCCCAGGTTTAGCAGTTATAGACGAGCGAACTAGTATAGTGAGATAGTTACGCAGCTGCCACACGCAGCTGATCCGGCTCCAGAGCGCACGAACACATACATAATTAGAATAAAATAGCTGCCATCTGAATAGTTTGCTTCGATCATTGTATGACTGAAGGACTCATGGGAAACCAAATGGCGCTACTGTCGTGACCTTAACTCCTCAGGATTCATCTCATTCTTCCAGAGGTATGAAAGAAGTCCTGGCTGGATATCCACTGTACACGCAGGCAGTGGATTGGCCGTCATGTTCTTGGTGTCTCTCAAATTAGATGCATGATGTGCCTAGCTGTCAACTACTATCGGAAAATGGGAAGCGATATGAGGACACACGAGATAAGAGTGAGAGACATGAGAAAACCAGCACTGAGAGGTCGCAAAATGTTGAGCGAAGAAAAAGCATACACTGAAATGGAAGAAAGGCTCCACCTGAAGACAAACCACATGCTTGGAAAATGATGCAAAAAGAGAAACGCTACCAGGAAGATAAATTTATGATGGAGAGACTCGTGACACATGGAAGAAAAACTGATGCCCGTATGATGTGTGAAAAAGGTGCGCAAGAGTAAAAAAAAATGGGCCAGAAGTACTAACATGGCAGAGCGATCAGAGAGGGGCCCTCACTCCTTATCCCCTCGCATTCCTCAGACTCCTTTAGATATTTGCTTGCCACAGATAGAGCAGACCACGACTTTCATTGTCTCATCTAGAGCATTCAGATACATGCGCTCCATTCTCATTCTTTTAGGAGATTCTTGGCGGTTCCATCATTCTTGAAATTCTTGGCAACAAGGCGCTGGCGCATCATTAACAGATTACGCGTTCACTGGTGGATCACTAATGAAGTAATAATAGCCCAATGATGACCCAATAAACACTCAGTCGTGACGCAATAATGAACCACCCATGGATCAATAGTCATCCACTGCTGGCAGATAGTCACCGACATCATCTACCGACATTACTCACAGACCATTTCTACCCTCACGAACAACAGCGGTGGAATGTGTGCACTGACTGCTCTCAACTGAGAAGCAAGAGCTGGCTGCGTTATGCAGACTCAAGGTCAAAAGCAAAACTTGACAAGCACGATAGTGAAAAAGTTCGCGCTTGTCTTTATGGCATCAAGAATTCACTGCATCTTTCAAAATATGTCAAAGGTCCGTAGAAATACACCACGAGACCCCAAGTTCATGATCAAGATCAGCTTGGTAGTGAGTGTGTAGGTTTTTCTCGTAAGCGATGCATCCTGTTGATAGTACTACTATCATTCCACTTCAAGATCAAATTCAAAAAAAACTACATCACCTACGAGATCACTACAAAAAAACTTAGATGCTGCGTGTGGATCATGTACTTATGTATCACTCAATATATGAATTTACAAAAAAAGCCTGCGCATATGTATTATCCTCCTTTCTTTGAAATCTATTGGAGGCTGTATGTGCACTTCCTTGTGTATATCGCGTGTATATATTCATGAGTGAATGATGTATTTTTATAATGATTATTATTATGATTAGAATATTATCAATTATCATGAGTGTGTATTTCTATAATTATAAATATAAAACTATCTTTATTAGAATTATGGTCGGGGCTCTAGTGGTTATTGTCATTTTTTCTAATAACATCTCTGACAATCTCCCACACCTTCGCGAAGAACCCCTTTGGGATATAAAAACTACCGAAACGTCCGACAAAACGAGACACAGGCCTCAAACTTCGCCGGACAAGCATTGCGGGGCGGAGTCTCGATATGTGCAGTCGCGTCCCTTATGGAAGAACTAATACTAATGTGTTTAACTATGGCCTAGGTGAGGCAATTCCTTTCATCTATCAATTACGCAAGACAGAGACGCGACATCTAGACTAACAATCGAGTAGAACGATGTAGTCAGTTTGACCTGAGACATCCACCCCTTACATATTCATTATTATAGTCTCAACCTCGTCTCCGTGGGTTCAGTAGGATGCCTATCTACTCCTCTAACTAATCTCATCTCCCTCAGTCACCCCCTTACACAGAGCAGCAGCAGTCTTGCGCTCCTCCTCATAGTAGGCGAGGCGGTGCGGCGTCATGATTCTAAAGTTCCAGCCATGTGCAGTTCGATGCGTTCTCCTATGGTTTGGAGGAGTCGGCACCGACGGCGGCGGAACTTGCTCCGGAGAGCAGAACCGCTGCAACTGCATAGGATATGTATCTAGAAAACCCTTATGCTTACCGTGGCGCCGAATCCATGGACTATAGTAGTCCGATGGCTTTTCTTGAGGACCAAAAACTTCAAGACTAGACTTAGGCCTTCTACTAGAACAGCTCACTACTCCATCTGCAACCTTAGGAGAATGATAGGACTCATCAGCTCCCATAATGTTAACAGATGACTGAATATAACTCCCACCCTCTGCCCCTTTTCTAGATGGAATGCTAGCTCTCCTCGGTAAAGTCTTCCGCTGTGTTCGTCTAATATTTTCACGTGGTGCAAATACGATAGGACTGTCATCGGAAGAGGACGACAGGATGACGACGCTACCTATGAGTTATGGCACAGTGATTACGAAAAACAAAAGACAAATACTGAAATACCTCTGAAAACTAAATCCACCTAGAATCACACGAAGAGTTTACTTTTCTAAAGTAGCGGGCCACTACCAAAAAACAAATTGAGCTCGTCAAGTTCTCCCTCATTATTCATATCAAACCACTCACCTAGTGGATCTTCCTCTTGCAGCACCAGCGGAACATCAGCAGGCGGAGGGGCGGCAGCGCTTGACGATGATGATGAGGATGCACCGGCTTGGGGAAACACGCTGTGTATCACGTCGACGCTGGTCATGTTGTTCGTGATGTTGTTGGTCACATTCACGGACATCTGTCTCGCCACGATTCTCGAGTAGGGCACGGCGACCGTGCCTTGGTAGCAGGCACAGTCGTACTTCCCTTCTGCGTCGCTCTTCCGCAAGGCCGTAATTTGGCCGGCGTGCTGTCGTAAGAGTGCGGGATCGATGTCCCTTATGCACGCTGGCCGTTTGCCACTGGTGTAGTCGATGTAGACGTACTCTCCTTTAAACAGCGTGTCTTTGCTCCACTTTTGCTGAATTAGATTTTTTGAATTTAGATTTTTTAGAATGCGAAAATTTATAGACAAAGAGTTTGGTGAAGTATTGGGATACTAATGACGCAATAAGGGTGTACTAGTGAAGGACTAGCGAGTCACTAATAACCACTAATGGGTCAGTAGTGAATCAATAATAACCACTAATGACTCAATAATAATCAATGTTCACACTATGAAGAACCACTAACGAGTCACTAATTATATAGAGTTATCATATCAAAAAACCACTAGTCACCCACTAAATTGCACTCAAGGTATTACCTCCGGCGCCTGCTTCTTGTTCTTCTTGTTGGTGACGTTGGATGCAGCATCTGGCCCTTGCTCTTGGCCTTGTGCTTGATCGATTGGATGTGGTGCTGATGCGTCATCTAGAGCTGAGTCTTGGCCTGCTCCGCTGCCATCTGCACCACCAGGATGAGCTGCGTCAGCGCCTGCAGCTACACCACCTTGTTGGTCGGCTTCGCCAGTCGCGGCTTGTGGTTGTTGCGGCTGGAAGTACCGGAGCAGACTTGTAATGTCGGACGGGCCGTCTTGTAATCCCTGCAACAGCAAGTCTACGGCGTTGTAGTAGTATTCGAACTCACGACCATCAGCTTCTTCAAGTGAGACGCCAGCGCTCTCGCGTCCTTCTCTGATCTGTGCATCTGTCATGTCCTTCAGCCAGCCACGCTCTCGGGACTCATTGACCAGGTCCAGAAGCACGCAGTTCTGCTTTGTATCCTCCAGCAGCTTGTGAATCTGCACCTTCAGCTTGCTCCACTTTTTGTCCTCCATGTCCTTGGCGGCCTTCTTCTCTTTTTCTTCGTTCGCGTCCTGTAGATTTAGATGGAGGCTGAGACTTAGAAAGTAAGTTGTTGGTTGTGAGAGTGAGAAGAACTATAAGTGTACACAAGTGGAGACTTCGGAACTAAGATCATAGAATAAGCTCGGGTCTAAGTTCTGACTCATGGCATATTGCCCATACTCAAAACTCAGAAATAGAGAGAAACTACCTTTATGATTCGTGCGATCCATCCTCCTCTGACTTTGTTAGTTTTGCCGCTCACTTGAGACAAGAGAAATGTTCTCAAGGGAGGGGGAAGACATGAAGCATCTGCTTCCGTACGGTCCTCGCCTGATGTTGAAATGAACCAACGCAGCGGGAGTGGGAACGGTAGCGCCATTCTTGATGACCCATAGCTCTGCACCCACAGCAAACGCGACTTCCGGTTTCATGTGCTCTGTTGTGGATGATGAGTTGACTACTTAGTAGTAGTTTTCAGATGATGCACCTTCACTATTTCATAATAATCCAAATTGAAACTGTAGCAATGACCACTACAGCACTACATCTTCAGCAATGAAGTACCCACTACATCTTGAGTGTTCCTATGTTATGTATATCATACAATAAAAAGTATATTACTGCTGTAGTCGCCTCCAAGCTGCTTCATTAGACCGGCCCACTCTAAAACCGCTGGAGTGAACTTCTTCTCGCGTAGATCAAGTTGCGCTTTGAAGATATCCCGGGCAACCGCCTCGAGGAGAACAGTCTCCGCGTCCCTGAACTTGCTAGGTGAATTCCACTCGCCAACTCCCATGTAGTAGCTGTTCCGCAGCGTCTTCGAAAGTTAGAGGATTCGTTCAGACTAGAAAACAAAAGACCCATGGTCTTACATTAACCAAAAAACCTAAGTCACTTCTGCCTCGACTCCATCTGCTTATCTCTAGTGGATATTCAAGAATAGGCCATAACTGTCGTTGACGAGCCACTCCAGCTTTGGATACGTCTGCATCAGCCCCGCTAAGTCGCTCTGATTGACCGTAGACCAATAGTCGAACATCTGTTGCCGCGTTCCAGTGATTGCCTGCAGCAGTCGTGTAAGGCCTGCGTCGTCTGGTAGTAATGCGCACAGCTCCTGTAGGCTCTGACTGTCTTCTTCGTCCTGGTCTTCTTCCTCTTCACCATGCTCTTGCGCATCCAACAACTGGCGCGCTTTATCGATCGCCTGTCCTCTCTGGTTGTCCAGCTCGAAGGTCTTGCACAACGGACTCCCCATCAGCTTCACCATCGTGGCCAAACCCAACGGCCCGATGACATTTCGAAAGCCATCGAAATCGTTCGCCATGAGAAACAAAATCCCTTTCGCCACAGCGAAGTCCATGTCTTTGAGGCTCTTCTCAAAGATTTGGATATCCTTGACGCTGGCGCTGCTCGACATGAGCATACTGCATATACCCCGCTCCACTTTCGCTTTCCCATCTGTTGCATTTTTAGAAAATCCAAAATTTAGTGTTGTTATCCAAAAAATAGTGAGTGAATAGTGAGTGAATAGTGAGTGAATAGTGAGTGAATAGTGAGTGAATAGTGAGTGAATAGTGAGTGAATAGTGAGTGAATAGTGAGTGAATAGTGAGTATTATTGAGTTACTAGTGAACGAATAGTGAGTGGCTAGTAAATGTTTAGTAAATGTTTAGTGAGTGTTTAGTGAGTGTTTAGTGAGTGTTTAGTGAGTCTTGAGTGGGTCTTGAGTGGGTCTTTACTGAGTCTTTAGTAAGTACAGAAATGGAAGTTACTGAGTAAATAGTGAGTATGTGCAAGTAGTGAATCTAAAGTCATTATGACTCATATGTAGTACCTTTGTTAGCGCTTCCCAAGCAACTCCCCACCATCTTCAATTTGTTCAACGCAGCCGCCCAGAGTTGTTTGTGCAAATCCGCTCGAAACATATGGATTAGAGTATAGAGGAGTGATGATTTCACGTAGCTCAAAATAACTCTCGCCTTCCTAGTGAGTCAACTACTTCGCGTCCCAAATACTGCGCCCCTGACTTGAAGTTACTTATTTACGTGTTCCGAAACATAAACTCAGAAACTGCAACGTCGCGTCAGGCTCACCGCGTTCAGCCAAGGACGCCTGTGGCGCCTGTTGAGTTGACCCAGGAGCAGGAGGTCCTGGCTGAACTACCGATGAGCTAGACGAAGATGCAGCTGGTACATGTGAGGATGACGAAGATCCGGAACCAACGCCACCATTCTTCAGTGCGGACCTCAGTGGTGGAAAATCCTGCATGCTGTTGAGCGGCGGCACTTGCAGGCCAGCTGGTCTCTCCGGTGAGTCCTGACTCGGTGTCGGAATATTGAAGGTGATTCCCCTCTGTACTGCAGGCTTGGCTCGTTTCTGCGCTGGTGATAGTAGGTTTCCGGGCGAGCGAGGACGCTTGCTGTTTTCATCTCCCTGTGCCTCGTCAACATCCATCGGATCATCCACCTGACCGTCCGTGACTGCCTTCTGGTTTCGGTATAAGATCGCGGCCATGTGGGGATCCAACACTGTTCTGTTCCAGATTCTTGTAGCGACGTAATTTCCCCCTCGTGCGAGGCGAATCGCTTGTATCCTTGGCCAAGAATGACACGACACTCACCGCCCAAATGATAGTACGCGGTCCCCGGATACTTCGCCTCGAGGCTGTAGTGGTCAGTGTGATAATAGATACAGATGGCCATTACAACAATCCAAAGAAAGACCAAGAGTTAGACACATCGAATTATTGTGGGGAAAGACTAACAAACAGAATCAGAAGCAGCTCAAGAACTCACCAAAAGTTAGTAGATACCTTGCTGGGATTTCGCCTTTGATCTGCCATTTCTCCAGATATCCCTCTGATTCCTCTCCTCCATTCTTTAGGTAAGAATCCAAAACGCTCTTCTCAATCGCGAAATAAATCTTCACAAATTCGTCTTTGTCCTCCTTCTTGACCACAGTCTTGGCGCACAAGCTGACGGCCAAGTTGCTTGTCATTCGAGGACAAGCGATCCCTTCTTTAGCACAGAAGGTCGCGAGGCATCCTTTTGCGATCAGGAACCTGTGAGTAGTGGATTGATGGCACATATATGACTCCTGTATGAGGAAGCCCCCACGCCCCTTGATCGTGCCCCAGTCAAGCTTAGCCCATGACAATCCACTCAGTGTTTCCTAATAATGGTCCACAAACTACCCAGTAATGACTCACAAACAATCCAGTAATAACCTACAAACTACTCAGTAATGACACAGTAATACTTCAATAATGGAGCTGGTGACACTCAAGTAAAAATGGAATATACATCCAAAAAAACTATAAAAGTCAAAGTACCAAGTTTCCAAATCAATGCCTTCGTATCCTTCAAGAAGTGCCACGATCTTCTTCCTGGCAGATGGCGGCCAGTTTCTCGTCTGGTTTCTACCATACTGACGCTCTTTCGGCTTGAGCGATGTGATGCCAGAATCTAAATCGGTGGCCATCAACGCCAAAAGTTAGATGTGAAGGACGCCTTCTTATCATATGTACTCCCCTCTCTCAGTACATACATACTAGTGCTGGGCTACATATTTCTCACGTGAAAATCAATCTAAAAAAGTCATCTCTTTTAGTGATCATATGAATACTCTTCCTCCACCCTTAGATTACTTCCATCAGCTGCTTCTGATTGAGCGCCATCTTCTTGCTCTGCTTAGTGTGGTAGTAGACAGTGGAGTTCTTGTCGGTGACTCTGGGGTGATACCGTACACGGCGTTGTGGTTGGTGATTAGTCTGTGCCCGCGAGAAACCCAGCGAGGCGTTGCGAGACTGTATCTGAGCGCACGAGAGAAACCGAGCAGGGTGTTGTGGATCAATCCGTCTGCGTAAGAGACCTGGCAAGGCGTTGTGGGTCAGTCTGTCCGTGTGAGATACCGCACGCAGTGTTGTGGATCAATTCGTCTGCGTGAGAGACCGTACGCGGCGTTGTCGATCAATTCGTCTGCGTGAGAGACTGCACAAGGCGTCTGCGCTTTCGACTCGATAAACGAGAGAGAAGGTGCACGGATTCTTTTGATCTTTTCTACCTACCTAAAAGGAGGCTGCTGTTTGGTGTGAGTTGGTTTACAACTTGTATCGCAAGCAATACAAGAGGAGGAGGTTACGACTTGTATTGCAAGCAACGCAAGCGACACAAGAGGACGAGGTTTAGCTGAGACTAATGTGGTTGGTTTTTGATTGTGAGGGAATGAAGCTGCGGCTGGCTTTTTTCTGTAGAGAATGAGTGAGAAAGTGTGAAAAGTCGGTATATTATTGAACTAGAGGCAAAGAAAGCATCATGTAGCAAGCTAGTAATAGTATCTGTATCCTGCACAAGGTGAAACATCTGAAGAGTGTGACGAATGTTGAAGAATGTGAGCGAAAAGCAGACTGTAGATGTAGTAGAATGAAATGGAAACCAGAAGAAGCTACTTTCAGGATACAATGACGAATAATCTATCAAAAGTGAGTGTCTCTTCACCCTCACTCTCTGTCGTTGGTCAAACTCTCACTCTCAGCCCCATTTTAGACAGCCACGCTTCTCTCAGTGAACACTTTAGATGCACTTATTAGCCCTCAGTGGACATGGTTTTTATCGCCACCACTTCTAAGCTTTGACTCGTTAAACTTTAAGGACATACGTCGATAGCATTCAGATGACTGTGCTGGTGTCAATGTAATTCCATACGTGAAAACTTTATCAAGATGATTCTCTACGTTGTTTCTTTACAGTACGTCACTGCTGATGTCCTCAGGATAAGTCTTAATGGGTCTGCGATAATGCTGGACTAGTGGAAGAATGATGACACAGTGTTGAAGCAGTGATGACGCAGTAATGGCTCACTATTGGCGCAGTGATCACCCACTAACGAAGCACTAATCACTGATCAAGACCTACTAATCATCCACTACTTATGGTCAAAAACCTGCCAAACTGCGCCCATACCAGGTTACTGCGTGATAGTGAGGAAATCCACGAGTATACTGCGACTCTCAGTGAATTAGTGGGTTATTAGTACATTTTCTGCGCAAACTGGTGGGTTATTAGTGCATTTTTAGTGAGTATATGAATTCTATTAGTGATTCATTAGTACGCTATTAGTAGTTCATTACTTACCCATTATTGAGTCGTTAGTTTACGTCATTGATGCGTGATGTGTTTTCATAATTCTATAAATACAGCTACAGGGATACTGGTGTAGTAGTTCATGACGTTTCAAACGTGATCTGTATCAAGAAATCAAGAAACAAAAGCTCAAAGTCTAACATTCAAAATACAAGCTCAACTAATCTAGAAGTGAATATCTACTGTTCATCATCCTCGCCGTCGTGGAATTGCCACACCCATCTTCTGTCCTCTTGCTTCCGGGTGCTGCATATTCTTCGGATCTCCGCTTTCTCTAGGTGAGAGAAGTCGCGCCACTCGATCAGCACTTTCCTCTTCTGGCGCAAAACCCAATCCTTCCTGTGAGGCGTCTGCGTGAAGAGCGTGGACTTGAGACAGCAATGCACCATCCAGCCGCGAATGAGTTAGAGCCCATCGCAAGTACTCACCTCACTTGCTTAAATAGAATACGAAGATGAAGAATACTCAACACGCAGTTAATTAGCTGTCACAACCATAATAAAGGTAGGTCTCCACTGTTTCTGCTCGCCCCGCTTCCTCCAGGCGGACCTGCGTCTGCCATGGTAGCTCTGAGTTAGAAGAGGATCCAAAATCAAAAGCACAACCATAGATGCCGCGACCTAGTCCTAAATAGCGAAAGAGATGTCCACGCGAGTAGGCCGTAATTGCGTCCGCCTCTGTCATCGCTCGTTGCCATGATGGCAGCAGGTAGATCCTCATGTGATCTTTCTCCTTGTCGTTCTCGCTCTGATTGATTGTGAAATACCCCAGAAAGAGCCTCACCAGGTCACCACGCTTGCGCTTCATCATCCTGTATATCCCATCAGGGTCTCCGTACTGGCCTGGGGCGTCAGGGTCTTCATCATCTTGTAGCATCTGATCGTCCTGATGTTGTTCGCCAGCAGCTGCAGGCACAGGTAGTTGATCTTCTTCATCGTCTACAGCTGGCCCTTCAAGCGCTTCCACTTCTGCGAGTTGCATTATCCGCTCTTCTTCTGCTGGGAATGCTTCAGGGTCTGCCAGTACTGGGTTGCTTGAATTGCGTTGGCCGTGCGTGAACTCATCCTCATCGTCGCTTATCTCCTTATCCTCATCCCACACCCACTCGCACTCTGGATCGTACTCTGCAACGCGCGCTGTATCTTCATCCCCCTGCGATTGCCCGCCAGTCATGCCCCTATTGGCCTTAGCTTTCTTCTTCTCCTTCTCCTGTGTTTTCGGCATCGCTTCGAAATGAGCACCCGGAGGAATCCGCCAAACAATGCGCTCCTGGTCCATCGAGTACACCGTAGGCTCCACCGCGTGGATTGAAGTACCTTCTACAGGCAAATTCGCAAGCAGCTCGCGACACGGCTCTGGCTGGAGTTCAACATCGAGTCGCACCGAAAACGTGTTTCCATAGCGTGATTAGATGAGAAAATAAATACTGCATCTACATTCTACCGGCACAACTCAAAAAACAAACAAAACTACAAACAAGAGCACAAAACAAGTAGATACAGAATAAGAATCCCCATAAGCGGGATCTCTGTCGAACCTTAGCCCCCAGCACTCGTGAGAGAGTAGGAATATCAGCTCCACCCGGCCTCCAACTTTTACTACGTGGCACGCATTTTTATGATGTAGGCGGTTCTTATTATGAACGAACCACTCGGCGTCAACTGCAGCTGCACCGCCGACGTGATTCTTTTCCCAGATGTGTCTTCTCCACGGCTGTGGCCTGATATTGAGCTCCTTATTATCCTGGTACTCCGGCTTGTCTGCTTCGTACTTGATGTTGCACCTCTTTCGGCGATCATTAACTGCACGGCGTATCAACGAGTGCCACTGGTTCACTCCGTCTCCTACCCTCCAATCCACCCAGTCTGTGATTGTCCACAAGAGCGGCGACTTCCTCGACAGCTCCTCCTCTCTCGTCTTCATCCCTTTGTGGACGATGCTCTTCATCTCCGCTACCTCATCTGCCAGCTTATCACGATTCTCTTCGATGTAAAGACTGATTGCCGTGGGCTTCTCATCCTCCCTAGTATTGCTTTTGCCGCTGCTGTTCGCTTTCTGGTGTACTATATCGCCCTCCTCTGCCTCCACCAGTGGCATCGACCCAGCAGAATTATGGTCCTGCTCATCGCCTTCTGCAACACCGTTACCGATGGCTGCTCCTAGTGCCTGCTCTTCATCGTCTCCATCTGCTAGCACATACGGACTGTCGCTCGTCTGTAAATCACGCAGGGCCAACGATCCGACGCCCACGTACTTTTTGCGATCGATATTAGAATATGGGTGGAGCTTCGTAACTAGGAAAAAGTAAGCTATGAGGTTAAGACATATGAGATCTACATTAGAAATTATGAAAGAAGACAAGACTGCGCCGCGCTTCGATCTAGCTGAAGCTACTCCTCCTAGTGTACAAGGCTCCGCCGCAGCCACTAGTCACATCCTTCACCGTAAGTAGAATCCTTAGCGCGTTCCTCACGTTTTTTTCTTTCTCCCTGAAAGGCTTCGCGAGCGTGTTGTACTGGCGGATGTTGTAATCCTGCGACGCAGACTATGACGAAGCAGGGCTCTTATTTGAGCCATCTTTTCCCAATACTGATATCCATAAAACGTAGAGGGAAAAGAAACAAGTAAGCACCTCTTCCGCCGTACCACTGCATAGGTCTTTATCTGTTCATGCTTCCGCGAGCATCTGTTTGCTTCCGCGTGAATGCTAGATAGTCACTGCATGATAGCGGCGAGTTACTTAGTAGTTACTACGTGATTAGTACACCAATACTGGCCAGACAATAGCTGAATAGTGTGTCATTACTGATTAACTGGCTGACGTTAGTGCATCATTAGTGGTTAATTATTGAGTTATTTCTGTGCCATTAGTGGGTAGTATCGAACAAGCGCTATGCAATTATTGGCTCATTACTAAGCAATTACTGCGTATTTACTGCACGTCTACACAAGTGACTTCATTGACTAACTACTATAAAAATAATGAATAACCGGTAACATGCTAGGGAATAAGAAAGGGTCAGCTAGTACGAGTAGAATGCACCGAGTGACATCCCTCAAGTTCCGCTCACATTGAAGGTTGTCCGGCCTTGCCATGTGGGCAAACGCGTTTTGTTTAGAGCAATGCAAGCACCACCACCACCAGCCCATCACTTCGAAGAATAACTAAGTAGCATAAAGAATTACGCATATGGAAGAAAATGTGATGAGCTGATGGCGCCCGTAACTAGCTGCTCTTGGGTATCGGGGTCCTCAATTCCGTTTCGTTTTATCTGGTGCCGCATGAAAATCGTGAAGCTGTCCAAGTACTGTCGGTCCTTGCATTCCGCGATTAGAGATAGAACTACCACAACAGACTCTAAGAATTAAAACCACACTACTCAACTATCAGCCAGCCTTAACGCCAAGTCTCGTGCTTCATCAGCGTACTCGAACGGATTGTAAGTCTTGGAGCACAAACAGAGTCGCCCCGGGTACGCATCTGAGTAGCGGGAGGAACGTTCTGCAACGTGCAGCATCGTCAGCAGGATTCTGGCCACTGCATCCCCGCACACTGTGGTGCCCGGCGTTCCGATCTGTGGATCACTCGGTAGGCGCTTAAGGTAGCGCCGCGCTGCTGCTTCTGTCGTTCCGTGCAGACGACCTGACGCAAACTTGACCAAGATCGGCGTCGCGTCAAAGTTCGGGTCTTGGTCTTTTTGCGTCCCGGAGATCATCACAGCAGGCCGAACCGTCTGCCAGCCTAAAACTGCGATCTTGACCCTTTCCTCGTTTTTATCGTTCTGGAAAAATCGCCGCAAGTAGCCCTTCCGCGTTTTCGCCTCATATAATTAGAAGACTACTAATCCTATAGCACTAAGATACAAGGAGAAACACAGGACGTTGATCCCCCAAGAGTAGGCGCTTACATCTGACCCAGTAGTAAGCACTTATACAAACGCAGTTTCTAATATGACCATAGTCATCCCGTCCGTTTACTCCTGCCACATGGTCCATGCCCGGAACGATCAGCCATTAGATATCGCAGCCAAGATGATAATCAACAGCTAGTAGATGACTGCTTTTTTCATTTACCAAACTAAGAGAAAAAAGCAGTGCTTACAGAGGCGCTGATGCTCAGACTTACATGATGATAGGCCTTAAAGAAAGTGCATGAGAAGTCCTTCACAGCAAGGCCCAAACTTGTAAAACCTGTAGCGTTGGAATGAAGTGGCTCCTGCTCCTTTGGTAGTCTACATCGTGTAACTATTTTAGTAGTAATATTAAATGGGTACTAGTCATCACTAGATATTAGTACTACACTACTCACACACTACTGATTCATTAGTGATCCACGAGTGGTCCATTATTGTGCCATTACTGAACCATTATTGTGCTTTTAGTCGTTGGTAAGTAGGCGACTAGTGACTTTTAGTGAGTGACTAGTAGACGACTAGTGGTCATTAGTGTACTGCAAACGAATTAAATGAGCCTTGTTGTAACTGGGTGCTCGTCTACTTTTATAATTTTCCGCTCCGCCAGTAGTGTAAAATCTGCAACATCTTCCGCTGATATCGCAGCCATTATCTCTGGGTTAATACACTCGTATAACTCTTGGATTGGCTCCAGCTTCTGCCTGAGTGCCCCCAAGTCCAAAGCTGCTAGTGCTTGTCGCAAATTTAGAGTACACCCACGGTTTAGGGATCTACATCTATTCAGGTACTGCTTACCTGCCGCTGCAGTTCCAAAATAAACATCCCCCATAACAGTGTTACTTTCCACACGTCTGCATGGCTTGGCGCTACCGCAGTTAGACGAGTAGAAATCTACGAACTTGATGATGTTCGCTTTTCTCATCGTTCCATCAAGTTGAAGCTCTAGGCTGATGAGATAAACAAGGAAAGAAAAATAATTAATTTCTGCCACCCATAAGAACTTGTGCAAGAGACTACACACTCGCCCGACGTCTACATTGGCAGCGGCGTCACCCTCCCACAGCTCCATCTGGCCCATGCTTTAGAAAAAGAATACGCACTAAGGCCATCTCTATAAAATACCTGTGACAACAGAGCATGCTCCATCACACAGAGCCACACTATGCCAACGTCGTAGGCCTTCTCATCCTTAACTCATTTTTGCCAGGGCTGCGCCGTTTCCCATCATGGTGCTATTAGAGGCAGAAAGGCTGACGCTGATGCATTCGAAGTGCCCCCTGTTTTTACTTTTCCTATGAATCAAGAACACTTCTAACGCGTACACACGTAGAAAAAGACTAGTAGTCTTGCCGTAACGAAGGATGACACCAAGTTCATCTTGTGCGGACAACATTCAAAGTATCCCATTAGAGATACATTGACTTTCTACCCAGCCGCGACCAGAAACGTAGGCAAGGCTACTATAATTGATAGTAGCTGCCGTCATGGTCTCTGCTTTCTGATGGGAGACTCAGACTTAACACAACAATGTACTGGCATCCACATTTATGAGCTGCTATCTTGATCCTGTTGCGCGCCATTCGAACCGCTAAAGCGTTTGTTTCTAATTAGAGCAGTTTTGCACTCATTTCTTCAGTTTCCAAGAGAAATGAAAAAACAGAAATAAAATGTTTTAGGCCTTAATCTAAGTTATCGCTGACGACGCAGCGCACAATGACGGGACGAGTGTCAGCCAATTCACCTCCTGAAGCTGCCCGCTGAATGGTTGAAAGTAAGTCGTCCACCATGCCCTGAAACATAGCAACCATCGACGCAGCCACTGATGGCCCGTTCTTCCTGCCTAGTATATGCAGTTCGCAACAATATAAGAGGAGGAAGCGCTCCCGGAATAGAGATGGATAGACCTGTTGATATACTAACTCCTTAATTACTGACCAAGAAAAAACAGATGGACTAGGAGCCTTAACAGGTATCTCAACTCCGACACTGCGACCATGCCCACTTTTTCCCGCAATCGAGAAGGAACCCAGAAGCTCACCAAATATATTTGCGCTGATGAGTTGCGGCTTTGGGTAGCGTGCGAGTCGGTATTTACCGCCCTGTAGATCAATAGTTACCCATAAGCATATATATTACGTTCATGGAAATCGTTACTACAACTATCCAGCCAGTGCTTACTTGTAGTTTTTGCATTTATGAGCGCTCCTATAGAGCACATCGTCTAGATTACTAGCTTATTAGTGGCCGCGTGATGAACAAAGCTAATCTATTAGCAGACAAATACTGCGTCAATAGTGATCTGATAGTGGGCATTAGTGAGTCATTATTACTCCATTAGTGCACGGTAATGGACTACCAGCGCTAGCTTCTGTATAAACAACAATGTACGTGACGTTCCCCATCTTTTTGAAGTGAGCAGAAAACTCGTCATGTCCCTGAATTAGAAGCGTAGGTCCCCTATCTCAGCGCCTTGTTCTATGAATTGCTTTCAAATATCAAAGAACAAAAACAGAAAGGATAGGACCACCCAACATAACATGCGCATGAAAGTCGGCTGGTCCGCTGGTATTTGATCGAGGATGCGGCTGTTAGAAGGAGAATAAAGCTAACCATAGGGCATGTATGTTCACCTAGATGCTATGAAGTCCTCTGCGTAATTTTGATCCACGCTCGATTTTGCTGGAAAATCTGCTCAACGACAGCTGCCTTGTAGGATGCCAGGCTTGACCTGCACACAGCGTCTTCGACCAAGAGCGCATCTTTGCTATACGCTCTGACTGCAATGCTGCTATCAGCTAGAGCGCAAGCCATTTGCAGCCTAATCTTTCGCTTGTGCTGCTCATCAGCCTTGTCTTCTCGCATTTCCAGTACTGTTTTCCTCCAATATTTCTCCTTCTTTTCCATCTTTCTGTATTTCTCAATAATTAGAAGTCCCCTACTCGCGTTATTTTTCCTCAATATCCCCACCATCCTGCTAGAAAGAGTGAGCATTTACTAGGCATTTACTGCGTCATTAGTGAATCGTTAGTGCGTCACTAGTGTGTCATTAGTGTTTCATTATTCAATCAACTAGGAGCTACAATCTAGAGCAGCCCGCTCATAATCTCCAGTACTGCGCGTCCTCGTCAGCTGCTGTCTTCGGTCTTCCTCTCTTTTTGAGGATGCTGCCTCTAGTATCATTTTCTGCCACCAAAACTTCTTCCCGGAGATCTCTACTAGGTCTTGAAGCACTGCTCTTTTCTACTATCAGCTGCTGTTCCTGCTGTGACTCCTGCTGAAGTGATAGTGATTCATCAAGAACGAAGTCATTCTCAACAAATTGTGCTAGTGCCTGATCGCTGTCCGTGACGAACAACGTCTGGTCCAGTAGGGGCGTCTCGTCACTGATGTCCCATCCACCTGCTCCTGCCCAGAAGCGAACTGCATTAGGCTCCAGTAATCGCTGCGCATTTCTACGCACGGCAGCCTCTTTATCACTCCCAGCAGGACGCTGCGGCGAAGCCGGACGAATCACCCTACGTCTCTCAGCGTCAACACCTGCCCCAACAGATGGAGCAGGACAAGAGCTCGATGTAGTAGCCAGCGGCTTTTGCGTACTCGGCTTGAAGAGTGCGTAGTTGTGGCGGCGCATTCCATCTGGAAACATTGTCTCTGCGCTATAAACTCGCTTCATTTTGTGGCTATCTTATCAATATTCAACGTTCAAGAAATATAAACAACACGATGATCCAGATTACCAGGGAGAAAATCAAGTTCAAAAGTTCAATAATCGTTAATTATGATATGAGTATATTAGTTCATTTGTTACTGTTTGTCCCTATCACCGTGCAAATTTAAGTGAATGACTTGCGTGGTGTGGATGTAGTGCTTATTCTTCAGTATGATACTCCGCACATTGCTCTTCTCCATTTTGTGAGTGTACAATTGGTAAGCCTTTTTTGGTCATGATGTAATTCGCAAAACTACGAGACAGCGCCCTTTTATCGATCGCGATGCGCTCTTGGACTCAGCAAGACTCTCCATCACTTACTGACATTCGCTCCTTCTCTCGTCCTTTTCTGTTTCTTTTGTGTTCGAGATTCTAGATGATAAACTGTCAAAGCACCACCGAGCACGCACTGCGATCGATTAGTCTTTCGTCGTTCACATAGACAACCAGAGGCATGGACAACGCACAGGCTGCTGGTCCTTCACAATGTTCAAAAGACTATCCTTGACGTTTCGATCATACAGTCGCGGTAAGATGCGCAAGTTTATCCGTAAGTGTTGCGTTTGTGTTCTCATGGTGCAGGAAAAGACAACGCCTGCACACAGGTCTCCATAGCATCGCTTCACATATATGGGCGTCTCAACAGACACAACCACAGCTGCAGGCTCTCTCGTTCCACTATATGATGCCCCTCCACATCCGCTGAGTCGTATGCAGCGCGTAAATTAACTAGCTACTAAGATGCCTCTGCTTAACTAAGTATCTCATGATTGGGCCATTACTTACCAAATACTACTCACTAATGGCCGTCAGTGGTCCATTAGTGACCCATAACTGCTCCATTAGTGGCACACTAGTGTCCCACGGCTGACGAATGCAAGCTCTTAAGGACAAACGGACAGCCAATATCTGCTCGATCATGTTTCCAAGCAACCTCAAAAAGAGGCAATTACAAGACAACAAGAAACCACTGAAAACGCAACACTTTTTGGACAAAAATGGGAGAAAAAATTACAGAACCCACTAATGCCTACTAATACTCACTAATACTCACTAATACTCACTAATACTCACTAATGACCCACTAATTATTAGTGTGCCATTACTGGGTCGTTAGTGGGTCGACCGGGTCAATACCCACTAATGACCCACTAATTCGCCAAAAGTTTTTAATTTTTGACGAAAAAAACACAGTTCAGTTATTTCTAAAATAGACCCGCCGCGACAGGCTCCGCGATGAGTTCACAAAACTCTGGGTGAGTGCCATGAAATACCTCTGGCATGGGGAGCAAGTGATGAAAGACATCAGCGTCCTCTTCTGCACCATAGGGGGCGACCCGCTAACGCTCTCACCGGCCCAGATTTCTCTGGTAATTTCTCTCTTTGTAGTTTGTTTTTCTCTGTGTATTTAGGTGATAGGGTGGAGGAGGGTGCGGCGGGTCTATTCAAGTTGGAATCCCTTGCCTCAATAGTAGTGACTTAGTGGTAGTTTGGTTAGGTGTTCAAAGAAGCTACAGCCTGTCACTTGGAATAGGGAACCTAGTACATAGTCGTAGTTTTGTGACGAAGGGGGAGCAGCCTATTTTTTTCAGAGCTGGCCAGCATGTTTATTCTTCATTTCCAGGTGCATTTTCTCAGGCAGGTGGCGCAGATAGCCCTTATCCATGCGCGGGTGGTTTTGTGGTACCGGGATGGGCTGAGTGAGGCGCATGAGGCGTGGCTATGGCAATACAAAGCCAACCCAGCTGGCGCAACGACCTGGCTAGAACAGTGGACGGCTGAGCACATCGCCGGCGACCCTGGAACCATGGCGTTGCACTCGTTAAAGCAGTGGCACGCAGCACAGCCTGCCAAGCAGAGGCCACACCGTTTGCGAAGGGCGGTCGATTTCCTCCTTGGGAGGGAGAGAACACAGAAAAACTGTGAGCGGAAAATTGGCCGCTTCAAGAACGAGAGCAGGAGGGTCAAGGGGAGCCTCAAGTCTACTGCTGGCGCAGATGTTGCGGTGAACAGGTCTGATTTCCGTAACGCGGAGACGCAAGTAGACAGCGAGCTTCAACTTCATTACGACGCAGACCAGTCTGACAAGGAAGAAGAAGCACCTAGTAAAAAGGTGAAGAAGCAGTACATTGCCCCAAGGGCCATCGACCTCAAGAAAAAGGACTTGCTTCACGACACCGCACTACCAGAAAATGGCAGGCAGATCGAACGCACGCACAAGCTGAGCAAGTGGAAAAATAACGAAGAGAAGATTAAATACTTACGGCTATCACAGCAGATCCACAGGAAACTAGTGCAGCAAGCGATAGCCTGTGACGCGTCTTCTAGTAGTGCTGGAGAAGGAGATGACGCTTTGGCGCGTCCTCGTGCAGTCGTACAAGAAGAAGCGAGATTTTACGCAGACACGCGAGCAGAGGCACAAGGGCGGCACTCAGGTGCAAAAGAGGACTACACTCGCATTTTGGCGCAGCGCTGTAGCCGTGTTCATCATCCCATCAAGCGAGAAGCACCACCAAAAATAACACTTAAAAGCAAGCACATCCCTAGTAGTGCTGTTCTTCTTGCGCGTTGGTGTAGAGCACAGCGGAAGAAGCTGAAACAACTAAAGGAGACAGCCGCAGATAATGTCCCAGTGGGACAAGAGCCAGATCACATCATTCTTCAACCAGACCACGACCTGGAGAGTGATGGCGAAGGCGTGGGCCTCGATGAAGATTTGGAGCGGGGTGACAACATTGCTGCAGCGGTAGATCAACAGGCCTGCAACATCACAAATCTACTACATCCAACACTAGTGACAACTTTCAAGAACAGGATCTCCGAGGAAGTGAAGCACTTCATCATACTAGACATCGTCCTCGCGCCTGCTTCTTTTAAGGCTATACAAATGCAGGAGTTCGAGGGGGCGGACGCAGTGGATGGAGAGACAACTTACTTTCCTCGCGGCAACATGTTGAACTCCGACAAGGATAACAATCGCTGGGATCTGGATACAGTGGCGGACTTCTACAAAGTAGTGGTGAAGCCGAATGCAGATGAGAAGGAAGTGAGGATTTTTCTGGGTGAGAAGGTGGCGCTCATGCAGTCAGGACCATGCAAAGGACGACCCAAAAAGGATGAACAACTGAAAGAAGTCATCTCCACAATGTCGAAGGCACAAGTCGCTGACCTGCAGAGCAGTACAACTTGCAGGAGACCTTGCGACCCACCTACTCATCTGTTGGCAACCCGTGCGCCCGGGATCGAGTTGTGATGATCAATAGACATCTGAGCTTCGGCCTGCCAATGGAAAGCACTGATCCAGCTGCGGACACCACTGGGGAAAAAGCTTCTTCTTCTGCTGAGAAATCTGCGCAGTGTGGCGATAAATCTAATGGACAAAGCAACTCTGAGCAGCATCTAGACGAACCAATGAGCAAGAAAGAAGCTCAAGCTCGTGCTTTTCGCAAGGACCGCCGGGTTGCACAGGCAAGGTTGCTGCCTCTTCGAGTAGACGGCTTTCGCGTCCAGGAGGACACCGACAAACGATCTGCAAAGCTGGCGGGCAAGTCTATCGTTCGTTTGAAGGCGAAAATAATCGACCCAGCGCTGTCCAAAACCTTCGTGCAGCTCCTGGGATCTCCGTATATGCAGATGAACTGCGAGGCCACGGTGAACGCGAACCGATCCAGACGGCTGGGAAGCGACACCATGGAGTTCACCGAATCTATCCTCAACATCTGGTCCATACGCAGCAGATTCATATGCGAAAGAGGTACGCTCCACGTGGCTAACCCGCACCTCACACCAGGCAAGCACCATCTGGAGTTCATGCGCGCAGCGTACGACCGATACTGCAAGGACGTGAATGACTACGCCACTATGGTGGCAAAAGGAGACATGCACAGGCTGAAAGAAATCGATGAGGAGTTGTTTATTTCTCCAGAGATGATGGAGCGTCTTCTGCCTGATTTTGGTGGTCAAGAATGGCACGACTTTCCCGCAACAGATGCGTCTGAGCTGGAGGAGGATTGCAATAGGATCATACGCAAGATGCGTGGCAAAACAGGTGGCGCAGCAAGCAGCACAAATAAAGCTGACGATGGAGGCGATTTTGGTGATGATTTCGTGCTGTGATTGAAGAGCGGCTTCATGGACTTTGGAGCTGATATTGTTGCACAGCGAGCTTATGAAAGGGTGATGATTATATGTGTTGCGAAGTAGTTCAGTGAACCTCAGAAGAATTATTTACTTGACGAAGTTACAAGATACGAGGACAGATTACTAGTTGGCTGAATGTTAATAAAGTTAGAATCTCGGAGTTGATTAAACCGATGGAATTCCTTATATTTTTCGCCCTTGTATTTCTTGCTATTATAAGACCCTGGCCATTTTCTCACTCTGGCGCGCTTCGGCATCGGCTTCCCACTGGGCTAGGCGGTGGTGGATCTCTGGCTGCGTTTCCGGTGCTTTCGCTCAAAAGACCCTGTGGAAGACACCTGGAAGTCTTCTGGAAGTCTGGGATCGTTTTGGCTGACCCCTGTCTGGAAGTCTCCTGGAAGTCTCACGCCAATTTCTGTAGCCGGGACCCTTCCACGACTACAAATGGCCGCTCAGATGAGACTTCCACAGACTTCCAGAAGAGGGGTCCAGAGACTTCCATGAGACTTCCAGGAGACTTCCAGGAAGTCTGGCCAGGGTCCTCCAGAAGAGCTTCTGAGGAGGCTCCAAACACTTTCCCGAGATGCAGTTTGGGGTGCCAGTCTGGAATCTGACGGACTTCCAGCAGACTTCCAGCGCATTCGAACGGAGGCACGGGCAAAGGGCAAGAGAATGAGCCCTGCGACCCACGCAAACGCTCTCGAGGCCCTTATCAGCATGACTTGGGCCTCGTGGGCCAGGGGCTCAGGCTCATCTGCAGGCAGGAAACCCGGCGGCAGGCGGACTGTTCTTGGGCCAAATGATCCCGGACTATTGGCCCAGAAGTGACAGGCGGTCTCTTACCCTGGTTGCCCTCACTCCCACTCCACTAAAACGCTTAATTTTATGTATGGAGATTAGCGATACAACTAAGACAAATACGTGATGGGCAGCACTTCTAGACTAGGGACAAACGAAAGAGCATTAAATATGAACGAAATTAGTCGACTTATTCAATCATCTTCATGTGTATTGTCCGTTTCATGTGGTTACTATATAGCGGGCGCAAGTAGTCAGAACTGCGCTCGAATCTCCTTAGGATTAATGGACTTCTGGCGCAGCGTTGGAGATAGCCTCCTGGTTTAAAAATCTCAACGCGTTAGGCTTCTGCTGATACAGATAGTGACGCTTCAGAAGCAGGACGATGCTAGAAGTAAGGGGCTCAGATCTTCTTCCCGGTGTGGAAAATGATGAGACCACTTTGGAGTCTGGGGCCAGGCTATGCCCTGGGAAATGACTGAAACCAAATAGACTGGTCTGACACGCTTGGCGAGAAGAGAAACGCCAAGCACGAGCACAAGCTGAGAGAAAAGGCGCTAGAAGGATCCGTAGTCTTCGTCCTCATCTCCGTTTCTACTTGCTGACGCACTTCTCGGCACAGAGAGTCCCATCCATCGGTCTCCTTGTTGGATCTCCTTCTACCTGGATCAGGATGTGGGTTAGTATTTGTTTAGATAGGCCTGCGATGAAGATCCTGCCCCGATTCTTTGGTCATGAGCGCGAGTCTATTCGTCTGAGAATCCAAGCCATCGCCTATATCATCCACAATTGTAGCCCATTTGAGTACATGCGCGGCTTACTCTGCAAGCCTGTACATGTCAAAAACAAGAGGCCCTACTACAAGTGGTTTGTTATACAGTAAACAGGACTAGAAAATACATGGCGACGTTGCAGTAAGCGGATCTGTGCCAACAACCACCACTAAAGAAAGCGCTCGAACAACTACAAGATCAAATACAACTGCAACCAACTCATTGATTTTGTTATAGCAGAGCGGCCTATATGAGTTAGTTACCACACTGGGATAAGACAATAAAACTGTTAAAAGAGTCGCAAATAATAACAGAAGAAGTGCTGCCCCTCTCACAACAACTTGCTAGGCTCTCACTCTCATAAAATTGCGGCGAAAATGCCTTGGAATGCAGCTAATAACGGCCCTTATGGGCGTGGTGGTAAGCGCCTGGTGCGTCACGATACAGACTCCACAGCCGAGGAGATTCGCACGCGTTCAGGGCTACCGGTACTAGATAGTCAGGTGCTTAGATTTTCGTACTTAGCCTAGTACTGATTCAGAATAAGACTGATCATAAAGCGTGGGGGTAGCCCAGTAGGATCCTCATGGTTCACCGCTCTGAAATCCTAAGACTCTCGCAGCAAAGTCTTAAGCTGTTATTTAAGTCAAACATCAAAAAAAAATCTCTCATCAACTTATTTCAACCCCTCTAAAATTATCCCCCGACTTTCTAAATCTCACAATTTCCAGAATACGGCCAGCATGATCGCAAACACGAAAACCCTATGCCGTGACCAGGGAAATGTGAAGACCCGTATCAGGGCTCGGGTGGAGAAGCTGGCTGAGATGGATATGGATCTTATCGATACTCAGCTGTCGCTTGAGCATGAGCGTGCCATTGCGAGGGCCCTCAAGCGTGTGCCAGGAGTGATCAGAGACGTTGGCATTTTGACCCGCGCCGACAAAATCTCGGCTAAGCTGGTCCTGTTGCATGACGGCTCCTTCGTGGGTGTGAGCAATGAGCAGACGAACTCTCTGATGGTACTGATTCTTTTGGTTGAACTCCAGGCGATGGCAAGTTTTTAAAAGTTGCTAAGTTCTAGCATTTTTGAACTGATCTCGTTGTGGCTTGCTATTTAGATTTTATTTTTGACCGTAGTCATTTTGGTTGATTTTAGGGCACAAGTGAACTCTTCACCCACTGGTATAAGGGTTTCAAAGATCATCACCACCCACACACCAGACCCACTTGTTCGACCGTTATTCTGCCATCTCGGACGAGCAGAATGCGTGCCGTGCGCTTGCTGGTCTGATCCACATGATGCCTCTTCTCCCCGATGCCAACGCTAAGGTGCTATGCGAAGTGGCGGCGGCCCACACGTATGTGGAAGGCGCAGCGAAAGCACGCAAAGGTGAGCGTGTCGCGAAGTGCAAGACTTTGGCGGTCATGAATACGTGGAATCAAGGAAAAGGGAGAGCTTATTGTCTACAGGCAAGCAGCTATTTGAAGCAACTGGCTGCGAGTTGTGATCTCATGCAGCAAGCGACTTGGCGTCGCCGCGTTGAGGTCCTGTACAACCAGCTGCTGCCGTTGATCAACGGCCCAGAGAAGAAGAAGTGCCCTCAGTGGGTCTTCTGGCACGGAATTTGGACGGTAATTCCTCTCCTTGTTAGATGATCCGGAACCTTTTCGCTCTGGTTTGTCTGATGTCTGACCTCCTTTCGTAGATTCAGTTGAAATATAAATATGCACTCCATTCTTCATCGCCTACTAAGGTGTAGGTCTATTTCAACCCCATCGCTTCATCCTTTCCTCATCTCCTTTTCTTCTACTGCAGGCCGTCCAAGTCGCGGCCACTTCTGAACGCATTGAAACGGTGCAACTCGCGTGCATCTCCTTCTTGTCCACCAATGGCGCCGACCGTGGTCAAGTCACAGACATCCAGTTCGAGTCCGCGATGGATCAGGCAGAAAGTGGCGAGATGCTCCTGCTGGAGATCTGCGTCAGGCACCTCTTCGGCATGAACAACGAGGTCGAGGCAAAGCACCTGGTATTTTTTTGTGATTTGGATTGATTTCAGATGGGTGAGAGATGAATAAGAAGAGTTGAGACTTCGAGAGAGGAAGATCATGACCATTTTTCAGCTTAAAGCTGACGTTTGCACCTATAACATATTACTTATATCACCCTATCACACCCAAACAGATGGATCCGCGCGTTGTAACTAAGCTGGGCTTAATCCGTGCCGAGTTTACCGTCCAGGCAGCGAAACCACATCCGGCCTTCGCATCGTTGCAGGGTTTGTGCAACCGTGTGCGCGTTGATGGGCAGCGCCCGCACCACAAGATGCCAGGCGCAATCACCGAAGGCCTGCCTAATACGTTCCGCACCAAGATCGTCGAGCTTGACGAAGCGCGTGCTTCTGCTGGGATCGAGAAGATCAAGGAGAAGTTGCTTGCCATGTCCGCCGCCTTCGCGGACTACGATCCGAACAATCCGCAGGACACCGAGACCGCCATCACCGAAAGCCGCGACGCCATCTGGCATGATGGAGTGAAAGAGTCTGACCCCATCAAACCTCTCCTATCTGGTGTCCGCAAATTGGCCACGGTTTTCCTGGAGACAATGGATGAGGAAGAGGAGAGCAAGGCGCTCCTGGTGTTGCACGAGCAGACCCTCGAGGTGTCGATGGGAGCGCTCCCCGAGCTGCTCCCGCCGTATCAGGAGTTCCTGAAGGCTTACCGTGAGCATGATGCTCGCACGGTGAAAGAGCAAGCTGCGGCAGCTTTGGCAGCAAGTGTTTTCTCCTGTTTGACCTTCGGTTCCATTGTTTCAGGAGTGAAGATAGAAACTGTTACTTCTCTCATTTTGAGCCTCAAAATCTTTACCGCGTCGGTTCTAGGTGGATCCTCCGAGAGATTTGCAATTTTTTAGATTGGTCAGAAGTTTTGTCCAAGAACAGACCTCACTCCTTCTATTTTCTCATCTTGTATAGGTCTCACCAATTTTCCACACCCTTCTCTTCAGATGACTACAACAGTGCTATTGCAGCTTTCAACGATCTGGACGAGACCTGGGACTTCCTTTGCCCCTGCCCGAGAAACGCTATCTATGCCAGTATCAAACGAGCGTTCCCGAACGGAAACAACCCTGCGAACAATGCAGCGAATGGACCACAGCAGCCGCTACAGATGGCATCCGTCAACATCGACCTGGGCCAGTAGGTCAGGAGCAAAATGACGGAAAAAGCGGCGAGCGGAACGAGCTGGCACACATGACACATAACGAGTGAGAGAAAACAAGACCTACATGTGAAAAGAAATAAAATATTTATATTTGAAATATCTAGAAGATTGCAAAACCCTCTACATGAATACTATTGATAAAAATTTATTATATCAGAGTCATGCTCTTCAGGTGTTGGCTGCCAGATGTTAGCAACCTCGTGGATCTTCAATGCATTGACTTCATCACTTGTTTCAGTTGTTTTAGTTATTTCCTGCTTGGCAAATGAACAGCTTCACATCTTCCCACCTTCTTTCTACGCATAAACTATCATTATTTAATTATAATCACAGAGAGATGAGCGACTCGCATTGATATTCTTATATACTTCTGTAGAGATTGATCTTCATATAGTTGAAAGATGTCAAATTTTCATTCTTTTTGCTCTTGAGAGATAGACAACTAGCCAGAAATTCACCGCAGTGCGCGGCTAAGTCATATCATTCACGAGCTACATATTCGTCTTCATCTTTGATCTCGTGCGATTTCTACATATTTCACGAGCGTGACAGATGCAAGACACACGGAAATCCGTCCTGCAGGAATGCAGTGGCGGAACAGTATGAAAAAATCAACAACATGATGATGGACGTTTCTACTTGGTAAACCAAGTATAGTCAGGACGCACAGACAACAAGAAACGCGTCGCCATCTGAGTGAAAGAGCAGCAAGTGAAAGCAAAAGCGGAGAACTGGCACCACCGGGCCAATATGGAGCAGCCAGGGGAGCCCATGCCCTTCCTGTAAGTTGAGGCGCTGCAGAAGTGTGCGAGAGATGTGAGAAATCGGGATGAGCGAAGGCGAAGGCATCTGTTGTCACTCTTGTGGCAGAGGGATAGAGAGACCTCCGATGGCTCGGCGGAGGCGCGCACGCAGTTGGTGCGCTCGGTGGATTGCGAGCAGAAGGTCGAAGGTGACGCGTCAAGAAATATGGAAAGTGCGATAGGCATCTTTTCTCTGTGTGTGGAACGCCTGCGCAGCTTGTGCACGAGGGAAGACGAGCGTAAGACAGAGCGAAAAGCAGGCGGTGGTGTGGTAAGTTCTCTCTGGCCTGGCGATTTCTCTCCTGATGGTGATTTCACTCTCACGAGGCACAGAGATCGGCAGGTGCCGGGGAACACAAAGCCACCTCCGAGGAGGCTGGCGGGAACACAGGACTGAGGGAGACACAAAAGAGGACATCGCGATCGAGTGGCGGCCTCTTCTCCGCTCAGTCTTTGACCACTTGCCCACGACACGACCGGGGGCCATGCGAGCGACAAGCCCACGGACACGCGCGGCGCAGGTCCTGACTGAGCACACCACTACACTCGGAGGAAGGCGGGGCGTGCGGGTGTTCGCCTTGTGCTTGGGGGGGGTCGAGGGTTGTCAGTCTTACAGATTTCCTGGGGAAATCCGGGGGACTTCCAGCCGGCGAAGGCGAACCAGGGCCGGCCGGGTCAATAATAACAGAGAGAGGCGGGGAATTCGCTCTGTTACTAGCTTTCTCAGACTATCTGGATTATAATAGATTATATCCAGCTTAGTTGCTGCGGGCGAAGTATTGTCTTTTGCTACAGGAACGAATGGAATTGAAGTTCCTTGGTCGTTGCTGTCGTCGTTGTTTGCTGCGTCCTTAGTAGGATCAGCAGGCAATTGCTTGGCAGAGACTTTAGCAAGTTCAAACTGTGAAGCAGTTTCTTTATCCTTGACTGCTTCTGCTGCGTCCAGTAGGTTTGGACTGTTAGCAAGAGCGTCTTGCTTAGGATGTGTTGCGCGAATAACATGCCACAACTCGCGCGGTAAGACCATGGCGTCAAGTGTGGCGCGTTTTCTAATGTGACCTTGGTGGATGCGCTTGTATCTACCAGAGTCATCAATGACGAACGTTTTTGAGTTGTCATTTTCTTGAATATAAATCAATCGAGCTGGACCGTACCAGGCCGATGAATTATAATCGAACCACTCGACTTCGTCTCCAACTTTTAGTGAGTCAGATTCGTTGTAGTAGTTACGTTGTTGTTGCGCGAGTCTCTTGATTTCTTCAATGAACACTTTGTCGCATCGAAGTCTTTCAAGGACAGAACGAGCATCGCATCGGATTTTATACGTGCTATTTGGTTGCGAAATAGCATACGTAAGCCGATTGAGCTCGATCTCATTCATGTGCTCGGGCTCTTTGGGCATCATGAATGCGGGCGAAGATGCGAATTGATACTGATGAGGTGACAAGCCTTCAAGTATGGCTGTCGGGCTTTCATTGGCAGCGTTAACTGCCGCATACAAGATTTGCACAGCGTGAGCATATCCATAAATCAAGATCAGCTTATGGAAGATCTGTTTTATGGTTCTACGTCGACGCTCGATCACTCCATTAACCCACGGTGATGCGCGTGGAGTAATGATGGGATGACAGCAATGCAACAGTAACCAGTTGAGGAAAGAGAAGTTAACAAATTCACTTCCTCCATCAAGTAAGACGAATTGCGAGAGCATACCACGAGCGCGGAATTGCTCAGCAAAGTCAACGATGTGTTTGGCAGATGGTGAATCTACATTCCGTGGCAGAACGTGGATAACACTGAAACGAGAGAAAAGATTAATAACATGCAACACTCAAAGCTTCCCTGTGGGTAAGGGAACGTAGAACGTGTCAAGTGCGATCCAGTGACGCAAATGACGTCCGTCGATTCCTCCAAATCGCATGCGTGGAGTGCTTTCTTTCTTGAGTCGGTTTAAGTTGTTTACTAGAAATTCGACTACAAGTTTTCTTGCGTGTTGATGGTGCTTGGGTTCTGTGATACTTTTCACAGCGCCCCAAAGCTTTTGATAAGAGGGATAAGCCATAGATTTTGCGACTTTGGCTATCGACTCCATGGAGATAGCGGCTAGTAGCATTAGCATGCTAGTTAGTTCGCTAGGTTTGTGCTTTTTAGGTTGTTTAACTATGTGAGTTTCTCCTTGAGAAACTCTCTTGAGACTAATTAGTTGACTATTAGGAGTAGAATCTAAATTAGGTAAGTTAGTAGTAGTACCTTGACAAACCAGCACAAAGACTCCTTGTCTTTTCTCGAAGGGTAGGATCCCTACAACTTTGCCATTGCGATGCACTTCGAGACACATCTTCAAGAAGTTTGGGATGATGCCTCGTGACATCAGTTGTCTGACTGATAAAATGTTAGCTGGCGCGTGAGGCCAATAACAAACTTCATCAGCTTGTACGTCAGGCGTCAATTGACAAGATCCGATCTTTGTGATTTCGATCAAGCCATTAGCCGTCGTTAACTTGATGTCCACCGTCTTGGGGTTGGATATGGGCAAACTAGTCAGGTGACGAGCAGCTCCACTATCGATTACCCATTCGGTTGTCTTGGATACTTGCGTCGAAGACAACTGCAACAGCACTAGAATCAGCTTCGAAGAAGAACTACTAGAAGATCCTCCTTTATGTTGTTGCTGATGGTGTTGCTGCTGGTGGTGTTGCTGTTCTCGTGCCTCTTGGAGACCGATGAGTTCCCACTTCGGAAGGTCATCCTCATTGACGTTGTGCCAAGAAGAATCATTTAAGTTTTGCCAACTGGGACTGGAAACCTCTTGCCAAGTAGAAGTAGCATCTGCTTGGAGGTATACTGGACTGTAAGGACTGGAAGAAGTAGCATTGTAGTTACGCTCAGGACGGAAGCCCCCTGGCGGGTCTCCTTTGCCCTTGTTCTGGTTGTTCTTTCCTTTGCCCTTGTAGAAACCCTTGTAGCCCGAAGACTTATCGGATTTCTGTACGCCTTTGCTAGGTTTCCAACTGCTCTTTTTGCCGTGCTTTCCGCTTTGCTTCCAGTTACTTGTCTGCACCCACAGCAATGGGCTGGGATGAGCAGCAAGATTTTGACCTGGATGCGGATTCGTAGAGGGGGACGAGTTCGTAGCGAGACTGTCCTTCTCCTGTAGTTTCAAGCAAGAAGATTGAACTTGTTCCCACGTGGTGCAGGAGTCGTCGATCAGTTGCACTTGCAAGACTTTCGGGCACTTAGCTTTGAAGACGTCGATCCATCCCGTAGTGGAGTGGATAGAGTCTGGCAGTTGATTGGCCAACAGTTTGAATCGCTCGAGGAATTCTGCGTAGGATTCAGAAGGTATTTTGGTAAAAGCAGACAGCTTAGACCTGAGAACGGTTTCATTCTCATGCTTCTGCTTCCAACTTTCCAAGAGGAACTTGCACTGTTTGGCCCAAGCCCAGTTTTCGTTTTTACTTTGCATAGCGGCTTCAAGTTCGTTGAGCAAGATCGCGAATTTTGCGGCCGTGTGCTTGTACTTAATCGCGAACTTGCGCGCTGTACAATGGTCGAAAACTTATTGACCTTCTGTAGGGATTTGAACCAGACCGAAAAGGTCATAGGCGGCCCCCAGTAATTGCCACCAATAATTTCTTCGGTCTTGGCTGGTTCAATTTCTTCGATGGTCTGCACTCCATCTTCGTCGACCTTAGCGGCCGGCAAGGATGGCCTTGCGGCTTCATCATTCGAAGACGGTCTCACTTTCTTGGAGTCATGTCCAGCTTGTGCGTCCAGGACTGCCCCGACTTGCTTGGTCACTTCTTCAGCGATCTGGTTGCGAAGCGTCTGACTTTCCTTTTGCGTTTTAGCTACAAGGTCCATTAGATGCGCTTCCCGTTTCTCCATCTTCTTGATCACTCCGTTGGGAGTGGATCCCTTGGCGGCGCTCTTTGGCGTCGCCCTTTTCATCTTCGGCGGTGGCATCTTGTTGCTGATGCCTTTAGTTTTACGCTCCTAACTAGATGGCTAGTAGGCTCCTCGAACCAGTGAAAAATTATTTATTTCGATGCTTAGAACTTAGCGATTTGCTTGTTGGTTACAAGCAACAGCCTAATAATTCAAACCGTCGAGTTCCAAAGGTTTGGAACGCTATGATAATCTTAACAATTGACAGAAAAATAAGGCCCCGGCGTGGTTTCGTTTTTCTGCTGTTCGTTGGTGCGACGTCGTTGTTGGTCGGAAAAAATATGCCTTAAGTGAGTGACTCGGAAAGCCTTAAGTTGTGACGTTGTTGTTGAGTGATTTAATGATTTAGTTGCTGTAAGCACGTGGTTGATGTGATGACTAACTTGCTGGATGTTGTTGTTGTTGATGATAGTCAAAAAGTAAAAAAAATATTTTCACGTTGATGTTTGATTTTGTAATTGTTCTAATGCCTTAAGGTGGTGCTAATGCGTGAAATTATGATTGTGTTGTAATGTTAAAAAATGTTATGACGTGAGTGGTTGATTTTGTAGTTGTTGATTGATTGAGAAAACTCTTAAGATCGTAATTGATTATATGATTGAGAAGCAGTAGAACACTAGATGATTGATTTCAATGTTTGATTTGAAGAACACGGAAAATTTTGAATGGTTGAACACGAGATAAACTAAGTAGGAGCCTACTACCAAGAAGTTGATTGATTGATTGATTGATTTGATGCTTGGAGAAAACTAGGAGCCTACTTACCAATAACTTGATTGATTAACTGATTGATTGATTGAAGATCATGGAAAATTTTAGCCGTTCAGTGTTACCCCTAGGAAAGTGGGTAGTTTGTATTTATTCACTTGATGACTCTAATACGTTACAGATTTTAATTTTCTGCTTCCTATTAAAAACCAAAAAGTAAAAAAATATTATTCTTGAAAGTCAAAAACTAGAGGGGGAAACATATGGTATAGCTTGTCTATTTACTTACTTAAGAAATGACAGAGACCCCCACGACTATATTAGTATATAGCGTAAAGGGGCTCGTGACTCCTGTAGGAGTCTCGTCATCTCTGCGGTATAAGGTGAGCACTTAAATACTTCGTAAATATATCCCGGGAGGTTGTGGCTATTTGGTTAGTCTGTCACTTGACTCAAAGGCCGGCCCTGCACACGATTAAGTTGGTCGGTCTATGATTTCAGTGCTGTCATTGTAGGAGTTCATTGATTGGAGTCGTGCCATATTTGGGCACGCCCCTATTTCTCAAATCTCTCCACTTTCTTTTTCTTAACCTTTTCGGTTCTCGTTCTCGTTGTGGGCGAACAGAGTATTTTCCTCATTCACTCGGACAGAGATGATAGACTTGGTCGTCATACAATCAAGGTCCTCGAGATCCACGATCCGTTCATAACAAAAGAATTTGGCTCACCTGGCCCGGAAAATGCTTCCTGAGAGAGAATTGATCCTTATGATGGATGAGACATCTGAGATATCATTATCGGATCAGATGATTGAATTTGAAACACACCTCCACTGCCACTACAACCAGCTACACCAGCCTGGTCGAAAAAACTCTCTATATATAAAAAAGTCTAGTACTGCTGCAGTGTTCGCAAGCCACCAACTATAGTGGCCCACGTATCTTTTGGTACGCCTTTGTGCCTCAACGCCTTTGGCGGCTGCAGAACATCCATCTCCCTGAGACCTGATGAATGAATTAGTGAGAGCCTGTGCCTGAATTATGAATGTTTATCATCATGTTGGTGGATACCGATACTTGATTTCTAATCTAAGTATCTATCGTTACGAACATCTCCTAATCCAAGTTAGTATTATACTATACTATAATATAGGTACCATACCAGGATGCGCTCCAAACAGTGTGGTGCTGCTAGTTTGTAAGACTATACCAGGATGCGCTCCAAACAGTGTGCTGCTAGTTTGTAAGACGATGTTGAGACGCACGACTTTTCCCGTATGATCAGGTATGGATCTTGGTGGTGTGTGTATCAGACTCGAACCACTACAACATATTCCGCTATTATACTCTACCCTTCGTGGCCCCATAGTCGCGTAGCTCTTCATACTTTCTACCTGTGTTGTTCTTGTTGAGGAGTGAATGCTGAAGTTGTCATCATGGGAACAACTTTTATGGAGGAGGTGTGATTAGATTTTTCAGAATTGATTGATTGATTGATTGATTGATTGATTGATGTGCCTGGCAAGAGGTACTAGATCACAATCTCAATGTACTGGAGTGGTACTGATGAATACCTGCACAACCGAAACCCGACTTTGAAACGAAACGTTCCTGTTTGGCGTGCTTTTCCGCGATGCTGGTGATGCGAGGGCTGACTTTATCCGTATTGGGGTACCACTGTCGGACTTCTCCACGTCGGCATTCAACAGGAGCACAGCTTTTGAGCCAGGGTGTGGTGGAGGCCTGGATGAGAATTTTGAATTTTTTCTGATGAGAAGTGGTCGTGAACAGATAGAAAAACTTCTATGTTGCTCCTGAGATTGTGCATTTGTGACTGATTCTACTAGGCTAACACACTCCTCATCATCAAAAATTACGTTCTTGGATCCAATTCTTTGCCCGTTTCTGGGTCTTTTATACGTACACTGCGCGCTACAGATGAAGCCCCTCGTGCTGTCTGCGCCGCCGACTCAACCAACTTTAGAAGCGGACTTTTATTTTTCCTTCTACCACGATTTTCCTTATAAGTGCCATGATTTTCGGATGGGTTCGGGATAGGATGGATCGGATGGACTTCCCACCATTTCGAGTAGGATTGGAAGAATCAGGAAGGTCCATCCGATCCATCCAAGTCCATCCTACATAAGTTCTATCAACTAACTTTAGAAGCGGAGGTTGCCGTAACAAGTGGACGTGCTCATCAACCGATGCACCTGGTGAAGTTGAAGAAGTCGCTCCACCGTGCTGTTGCGGTCGTTTGGTCGCCAATTTATTTGTGCCGCCATCTTTTCCTGGCGCTGAAGCATCTTTCGTTGAGTCTTCTTGGCCGCGGGGTGCTTCCTCTTCTGGATCATCTTTGGCATTAGAAGTGATGCAGATGGTGCGTACGTACACCTAGCATAGGATAGGAGTTAGCTCACTCAAAACAAAGGAGCGAGCGTTCGGGGCCATTGAAGTGCCCAAAAGAGGAGGGAACAAGGGCTATAACTTTGTTCCCTATCTTCTCCGCTAGAAGAAATGTAACCAATCGTCCTCCATAACTATCTCAGCTAGCTCCGCATTCACGGCGTCTAGCGTATTCCGGAGTGCGTTCACGTTCACATATGACTTTCTGTTCTGCGTTGCAAATTGGAAGAGACAAATACCGCTGGTTCGGCAGGAGAAAATTCAAAATTTTGGTTTCGTCTACTGATGAAAATCAAAATCACTATTTTAGTGCTTCACGTTCCTCTACGACTACGTGTAGGTGTTGTACGTGAACGAAGATACAAACTATAAATATGTAGAACAAAAGTACGAGAACTACTGTCCTTGAAGATGATCTACATGCACGAGAACCAGTGATCTTACAACACCTTCTCCTTCAGCATGCAAAAGCTAAAATGATGATTAGATTGTAGGTCGAAAAGTAAACGAGGAGCCCCTGTAGGTGTAGCTATACGTGTACCAAACTAAAAACGATTGTGATGTTACTTATCGATACTGGCGACTAAATAGTCTGTTATACTTATCGATCTTCTCAAACATGGACATGTGCGGGCCTTAACTAACCTCCACAGCTTTTCTCGCCTCTTTCAGAGGTTGGCAGGTTGTATGCGATTCCACAGCGGCAGAGCCTGGACTCTCTGAACCTTAAAGGTAGTTCTTCACTATGCGTGGTTGAGTGGGTTCCCTTTCTTAGGATAAGATAGGAGTTGACTCGCCATCCACAGGGAGAACATGTATCCTCGAGCCTCCGTTCTTCCCCTCATAATGACCGTCCCATTGAAATAATAGGAAGGAGCCCACTCAACATACATAGTCCAGACGGGAACTACTCGGAACTACTAGATAGACTAGCCTTAAGAGCGCCCGGTTGAGACAACATGATGTTCCACCGCTGCAGGAGTCTGAGGAACTACACCCGTCATCATCACCCTCGTTCCACTGCTGCACTCGTTCTTGTACTAAGTAACTTCAGTTCAGCAGTTGTGCTGGACTTCATTACGAGGATTACGATGACTTCTTCAGACGGGAGGACACTAATCTATGATGTACTAGCAAGAGCCTGATCCTGAGTGCACAAACAGTATACTTTTGAAGATGTTGTTGATATTTCGTTCTTCTCTCAGCAAATTTCTCTCTCACCTGTGGTAGTGAGTGATGACCTGCTCCCTCCTCTCAACACAAATTGCTGGTGCCATGGCGCTTCATTTCCTTGAAGATGCACCGCTTCAGCAATCAACATGATGTTATTCAAAAAAGTTGTAAAGTCTTTTCGTGATAGATACATATTTAACAAGAAAAAAAAACTCGTGCTAGACGTCTTGGTCATTTCAGTGTTGAAATCATACAGAATTGGAAAAAGTTGTGAGCTCCTGCTTTTGCATTGGAAAAAGTTGACTATTCATAAAAGTAGTTGCTGTATACCATTGCCATCCTACTTGTATACGCAAATCGCTTGTTGCGCTTGTTATTTTCTTGTAACAAGTCTATAATTTCTAGTAAGACATCAACATTTGTTTATTGGTTTTGGCTCCACCGGATGACCTTGATCATGTCGAAGTCATTGCTCGCAATGATCCTCCCATGAGCATATTGCGGTAGTCTGGTCCTATCTGCGACCTATACCCGTCTTCAAACGCCTTGCGGCCATGCTCCAATAGTTCGGGTCCATAGGATTGCGACAAAAGCCTAAGACTCTCGCAAAAGTGTTCTCGGTCGCTTTTCATGGTTTTCTGGCCCATTCCGCCAACATCGATAAGGGTTAGGAATCCATTATCTTCATCATAAAAAATATTCGAGGGCTGGACGTCGCCTGGTGAGGGGAGGTTGGAGGTTGGAGACGTGAGGGTGGAGGGCTGAGGAAGAGGGATGTCTCATTATCGAACGAATTTTTACTTTCACATGTAGTTCATGTTGCTTGTGGGTAATTGAAGGAACGAAATTTCTGAACGCTTGCAGCCTTATATGTTGCTGGAGGAAACTACGACAGTGTTAGTTTGCACATCTTCAAAAAAGATCTCCAAGAACTCCGTCAGTCAAAAAAGATGAGAGTAGTATGAGTAGCCAGCACCATGCTCTCTCTCTGGATAGCGCAAATGGAAGGCTTTGAGGAATCGTCCTATTTGTCGAAAGAGCTCAAAAATTTTGGATCTCGGTAAACTTAAACTAGGACTTCTCCAGGCATCAGCAAGGACCTCAGCTAGCCTTCTTCCACGTGCTTTTCGCATTAGCATGACGTGGAGTTCCTGGTGAGGAGAGGTTTTTTTTGTTTGACTTTGTGTACTAGTTCTGATCGTTGACACTACAAGAATTAGTTCTTCTCTTTGATTTACTTTGTGTACTAGTTCTGATCGTTCTTGACACTACAAGAAGTAGTGGCAGATTATTGCACCAGAATATTGTTTTTAATTTCCCAATCTGTGTGCTGCTAGGAAACATCTTCATCTACATCTTCCTCTTAGTACCTCCGGTTTCCCATCTGCCGCTTTTGGTACATGTCGTACTCGTATAATTTCTTTCGGAAACGTTAACTGCGGGTCGTTCAAGATTCCCGGAATCTCAGCACGCACGTGAAGGATGTTATCAGCTTCTGACAAAATGCCGGGATAGCGACTACCGCTTTTAACGACTTTGAGCGCCTTCGCTTCCATCCCAGAACCCTCGGCACTGTAAACACCGAGGTTGAGACCACCTGAGGGAAGAGGATGAAGTGGGACGGGGTGTCTGGGTGAGGTGCTGGAAGAGGATGAAGCAGATAAGGATCTTGGAGTAGTTTTGGTGTTGATGATTTATTATTATTTATTATTTTTTTTTTTTTTTTTTTTTTAGAAATTCTCGATGCCTAGAAGGTGGTGGAGGTAGATGAATCAATACCCTGTAATCCTTCCAATCTGGTTATTGTAGCATGTTCTGGAATCTTGAGCCATCGTTTCACTAGTGTAGCTTGACCGCCTGAGACTGGATTGAACTCCTCGTTTATCTTATAAAGCGGCAGATCATCAACACACCCTGCGCCGTATTTTCTCCGGTTTCGTGCGCCAGTGCTACCGGAAATATGAACGAGTGAGAGTCGTTTGCTAGACTTTTATTTGTCTTGAGTATCTCCCCAGAATGACATAATGTCGCAGTGGGGGTGATTCCAGAAGAACATCGAACGGAAAAACAATCGCAAATGAAGACCCAAGCTAGACATAGTAGAACAAGCCTCAGGCTTTGGTGCAACAACAAGTACTCTAAATGCATAATAGTAAGCTTCTGCCGCTCTTCTTCCTTCTTGCTCGTTAGCAAAAGGCCTTGTTTTGATGACCGAGGTGGTTGCGGCTGCACCAGGAGTCGGTGACGTTGACAAGAGACTCGTCCTGCTACTGGCGTTAGTGACTGAAGCTGTCCTTTGACTGTTAGCGCTTTCAATATCAAAAAAAAATGCATCTTCTAAAGAATGAGTGAATGAATGAATGAATGTACCCACTCCAGGGGTTTAATCTAAGGGCTCATCACCTTGTTCGCCGAAGTATTTGATAGGGGAAATGAGTGCCTTAACAATAGTAGTTCCCGCTGTAGATGCACCTCTTGAAGCTCGGGATGTAGTCGCGGTCGTGGCATTGGAAGTTGTACCAGTTGTACTGATCATTCCGTTAGTACCAGCAGTCCCACCAGAAGTTGTAGCTGCAGTGCTATTTGGGGCCGGTAGTAAATTTGGACTGACTGATTGAAATGCGGAGCCGAGAAAACTGCCACCAGGTGGACGTGGGCCACGAACGGAGGCTAGACCACTCGTCGTCGACGGTAACCGGTATCCGTCACTCACAGTCCTAGGAGGAAGAGCAGAAGGCACAGTAGAAGACCGCACTTCTGGCCTAAAAGTGTGATGGGGCTGTGCAGTCCCAGCAGTAGCAGCTGTCGTCGTGGTGACTAGGTTTTAGATTTAGACCTCACCTTACCGTGAGCACATGAAGTAGCGTCTTTGACTCGTTCTATTTTCCCTTGATGAAGACACCATGTAGTAGTCAGAGATGCACGACCTCATAGAAGGCCTACTTATATAATTCGGAGATGAAGGAGCGGGAGCGGCCCTAAATCTGTGGGTTAGTCGAAGAAGTAGCGGCGCTGGTACCCGTGACTACACTTAGTTGAGCGCTCGCTTGTTGTTGAGCTGCAGCACCCGTCTCTGCCGAGGACGATCGATTTCCCACACTCTGTTTTACTGGCGGCATAATTTCAGAGGTGTCGGTGGAATCAACCCTATGACCTCCACCACCTGCTGAAGAAGTGCTAGAAGATTGAGGTCTCCTGGTCGTAGTTGTTGTATCTTCTTGTTTTTTGTTCACAACCTTAGAACGTCTTCCCTTTATTCATCTTGGAGTGCACCTCTAACCTCGTTTCCCCTCGAAACCATTTCAAAGATGCTTTTCAACAAGAGGAATGTGTATGTGGGGAAGCCTTAACAAGAACAGCGACACTAGTGCCACTAGTTCCGCCCTCAGTTGATGTTCCAGCAGCTGTGGCAGAGCTTGTAGTTTTAGCAGATGAAGCTGCTGTGGCAGGAGCCGGCGTAGCAGAGGCGGTGGCGGTCCCAAATAGCGCACTCATTATCCCTGCAGGGGCACCTACAAGGGTGCTCGATATCGTCGAAGCTGTATTCGCAGCTTCGGTTGTTGTAGCACTACATGACACTGCGGAAGCACTTGTCTGAGGACCACTTGTAGTTGGAGCTACATCTTCTTGCTTGTTAGCGCTTACTCCCACGACTCCGGAAGAAGAAGTGCTTGCACTTACAGTCGTAGCAGACGACGCAGTTGTGGCTGGCGTGTGATCTTGACTGTAGGCTGCGTGCACTCTTGGATCACTACTGTGAATTGTTGTCGACGTAAGCGTTTTTGTAGTCGTTGGTGGCCTTAGTTTAGAGAGTCAAATAGACAAAGACATCTTCCCCGATGAAAAGCAGCGACTTCGTTGTTCTTGTTGCTTCTAATACAAACTGGAGACTTAACCCCCGGGGATCCTAAATCTACTGGTGAGTTATACTTTTTAGTGCTGTGGCAGCACGGTAGGCTGGCTCGGCCGACCCAGGTCTTTGCCGGCGCCGGTCGTTGCACCTACGGCCCATAAGTTTGCCACGGAGCGTGGCGGGAGGCCTTTACCTCCCCAGAGAGAGTTGCACACCAACGTCCGGGTGTCGTAACCCCTCTCGCGGCTCGGCCGGTGTTCGTGCACCGTCGCCCTACGAGTCAATCAACCGGCACCCGCGAGGTTTCGGGTGCTCGCTCTTCGCGTCGGACGCTTTGGTCCGGGGCGCTTTGGCCCGGGTGCGCGGCTAATCCCTCGGCAGTAGCAGGCGTTGTCCCCCCGCTGGGGGACAAGGTCACTTTGAACCTCCAGCCCTTTGGGCCATCCTTTCTCGACGCCTCCTTGGTGCGCCTTCCATCCTTTTCCCGACGACTGGAGGTTCAGAACCGCCAGGTGCGTACGTTTTTTGTACCCGGTACTGCTTTGAGTGCCCCTGAGCCGCTGCTACTGGCGCTCTTTGGCGCTAGGGCCGTCACCTTTTTGGTAACGGTATTCTGTTGAATCCGCCCTTTCTTCTGTAGCTTCTGCTTGGGGGTGATCTTGATCGTCCGCTTGACCAAGGTGTCCTCTTGGACCGCCTTGGGCTGCACGAAGACGCGCGGGGGTGGACCCCCCCCCGAGGGCCACCGCCTGCGCAATCCGTGCAGCGGGATGAATTCCGAAGCCTCCCACGTTTTGTGGTCGGCTGTGTACTCGTCCCACATTTTGCTGGACTGTTCCCAGCCCATGTGGGTGAGGAATTCATCCTCCTTCACGGAGATTTTCCCTTGCTCCCACTCGCGTCGCGTTGCCAATGCGAGTCCTCTCCTGCAGCTGTGCAGCGTGCCGCTAATTCCCTTCGCCAAGCTACTTATCCTGGCCTTGCCTAATGGGAAATCAGATCTCATAACAGCGCCTTCGCCGTGCATCGGGCAAAAGCGACTTCGTGCACCAGCTGTTTTTGCGTTGGTGTCGCAATTGCAGTGGATTTCTATTATCCTACCGCGTTGTTTGCGGATTTTGTCTTCGGATATGTGGATGCGCCACACGTCTCCTTTTTTGGAGATGTCCGTGTCGTCCACCGCCGCGATGCTGTCGCCCCGCAATCCCGATAGCGCCCAAAGGAGGACCATTTTTTGGTCTTTTGCCTTTAGCGCCTCGAGCTTCGTACCCGGTAGGAAAGGCTTTGCTTTCCTCGGGTTGTGGTCTTGGATTGTTCGTTCAATTGCCTTTTCCACGTCCCCGATGTTTCGGAGAATGGCGGGGCTTTCGACTAGCCGCTGCGGGCCATCCGCGGGTGGCGGTTCTACCAGCCACATGATGATGCTGGATGGACGTAGTGCTTCACCCACTATGTTGAGAACCGAAAACAACAGGCCCGAGGTCCCCCTCACGACACATGATGATGCTGGATGTGTACTGCGCGACTGAGGTGTATTCATTGAACACTAGGAAGGCGGCGAATCTTTGCACCGCCTCCGGCCTCACGGGTAGCTTTTCACCCTTGGCCGCTAGCCAGTCGAGGAAGAAGGCGACTCGCGACTTTTTGTTTCTAGTCGTGGAGTCGGCTTCTCCCATGGCGCGCAGCTCGTCGTCGTTTAGATCGACAGCTTTGCGCAGTGCGTCCGCCCGCTTCGACATTTATTTTATGTTACTTTTTTAATTATCTCTCGCTGTTGTTCCCTCTAACGTTCTTTTTAGTTTTTATTTAGTTAGTTTGTTCTCTCGTCCTTACTTACTTTTTTGTCTAGGCTGGTTCGTGCGGCTGCTTAGGCGAACCTCCACCATGGATCTTGGCCTCCTGCCGTATCTCATGAAGTGGTCTCCCCAGCCTAGCTTCTTTACTTACTCGTAACTCCTTCCCTCTCTGTTTTCCCTCTTTTTAGCTTGACGAGATGTAGCACGTCTCTCCCTCGAACACTGCGCCGCCGCCGCCGCGTTTTCCCTTTCGGCCACCAGTCGTCACTGGTGGTTTGATTTGTTTCCTCCCTCTCAACTAGAGTGTTTTTTACTCTGTCAAAAAGGACGAGTTTATTGCTCCGCCACTAACTTAATAGTGGTCCGGTGCCCCTGGTAATTTGAAAAACATAGTCGATCCACCAGAGGACTTATGGCGAATGCTTTTGCATTCTGTTTTTCGAGGATTTGCTGTCCTCGAGGCCGATAGCCTTTTTCTTCCAGCTAGTCGCGTTCTAGCTTGTGCGTGGCTCCTTCCACCACACCGCGAGGGAGCGTTTGCTCCCAACGTGCTCCTTCACGTCTCTCCCCAGGAGGATTTTTCCCTCCACCACTATCGATTTATCGGCGTCGATCGCGTGAGCTTATAAAGAAAAAAGCCCACAAATCGAGCAAACAAGAAAACCAGCGCAAAACAAAGAAATGAAAAAGAGCACTTGCAAGAAAAAACAAAGAACGGGAGGGGCCTTCGCTGGGGATATGTGTATTTGCCAAATAGAACACAAGCAGACAGCTCACTCTGCGCGCTTGTGAAAACAGACACAACTTGTCGTAGTCGCTACTGGCGGCGATGCATGGAACGAACGCACCCGCGCGGAGCCGCTCAGAGCGGGCGAGGGATGGACCAGGCGCGCGCAATACATTCAAAGCGGTGCGGGTGCCTCGGTTTGGTTGTGGGTCGCTTCGCTTTCTGCGTGCGGGGAAATCACTCAAGGCGCGCTGCTCGTTTACTCGGTCAGCCGCCTACAAAGCAACACCGGCGCGCCGGTGCGTGGGGCGCGCCTGTCGTGTGTTTTCTTAAACATCACTGGCGCGGCAATGTTTTCAGCTTGGTCCGCCAATAATGTCCTTAGCTAGTAATCGGCCCCGTACTCATGTAGAGAAAAGGCGAGCAAGCTCCTCCTGGGTTTCTTCTGCTTCGTCATTCATTTCACTGGGCAAGAGAGAGCGCCGACCCCTCGTGCTTCTTCTGGTCGCGCCCTCCTTGGTTGGGTCAGTCAATGGGTGACGTCAGTGCGCTTGGTGCACGGACCGTCCGGGACGGGGTTGGCCCGTTCCTGCCTGCGTGCCTTCTTTCGCGGGCTTCGTCGCTCGCTCGGGTGCTCCTTGCTTCGCTCGCGTTGCGTAGCATGCTTGGTGGCGCTCTCGCTCTGTCGCTCACTCTCTCAGCAACTCACGCCATTGCTTGCTGCGTGCCATGTGTCAGCCTGAGTCATGTCAGCACTGCTCACCTTCTTTGTTTCATTCTCATTCTTTCGCGTGCCAGCCTAAGAAGGTAGGTTGGCAGAACTCCCAGCGATCCAATCGAACACACCTCAACACCCAGGAGCGCGCTCGGCTCCTTGGTTGGCCCACATGCTTGCCGAGGGGTTGCAGCATCCGCGTATCTATCTTCAGTGAAGCTGTGCTGCGTACTTATGCGCGGAACCTCATGGCCCGTGGTGACTGAGTGTGGCTTCGTCTAATATTAAATATATGCTACCTAGGTAAAGCTTGTTTGAGTAACTAACTGACTGAGTGAATGGCGGCAGCAACCTGTCAGCCTGTCAGATCGGTTACTCCTCCCGGTGCCGCGCATCGAGAGGACAGCACTGAGTGATTGCTTAGCCAGCGGAGCCAGAGAGCCAATGCCGCAGACAAGCGGAGAGTATCCGACGCAGGGGCAGTTAGACAGGCTCACTGACTGAGGGAGAGGAGAGAACGAGGGACAAACCGAGCACAGACACGGAGGAACCCGGCTCCGCCCCCCGTGTCTCTGTTCGATGGAGCAGCGGGTCCGCCTGCGAGTCGATGCGTGACAAAGAAGCCGACGGACCGACCAGCCTACCGTCGGCTCATGCTTGCGCACTTGCTGGCAGCCGTCAGTCGGTGCCTGCGAGCGTCCGTGGCTGGGTGGGTCGCTCACCCAGTGCTTGCCCTGCGGGGGAGTACGCCATACGTGCCATCTTACAGCCGTCAGCCCTGGAGCTAGAACGCGGCTGCTCCGGATGCAGGTGCGGCACGCAAGCTTGTCAGTGATTATCTAAAGCAATGCGCGCCAGACTCGGCGATCACTGTGTCGTAGCTCGTATTGCGGAGCATGCAAGGCGCGTAGCATGCGCCGGCGTTGGGTGAGGCGGTGAGGATACGCACCCATAAGAAAGCCGGGTCAGCTCGATCGATCTAGACTCCAGCAGACCGACTATGTTTGTTGCCACGTGGGCAACAAGGTAGTAACTGAGTACATGACTAAGTCACGCGATGACGCCCACTGATTTCTTATCCTTAAATATTTCAGCGATGGCGTCACTCAAGCAAGTGAAGCTTAATATTTGCAACAGCCTCGCCTGTCACTCACACACGCACTGCGTGTGTGGGTTTCTCCTAAAGGTTTCTGTGTGTGACAGGCAGCGTGGACGCATGGAATCAGAGTCAATTTATTAGCGAGATCAAAGCTTTTTAGCAGAGAAATCCGACAAGTACGCAGCACATCAGCCTGGTCCTTGGTCGTCGGGTCCGAGGCCTTCCTAGTTACCTAAGTAAGTTGCTTGGTCTTCTACTTCTTTGATTTAGGCGATGTACCACTTTCATTCTTCCATCTACTCACTTGTCGACCCTTTCTTTCATTCATTCTAGTTTGTGCTTTCTTCCACTTGGGCCTTCATTGAAGTGGAGATAGATTGATTGATTCCATATGCGTCCTAGATTGATAGACTAATAGCATGTGTTCTCTGTGAGTTGTGTTTTCTGTGAGTGCGTAAATTTAATTCGCTTGCTTTTCCTTTCATTTTCAATCATGATTGAACCATGGACGGAGCAGACTCTTTCTAGACAGTATGCATGAGGCAAGATTCTTGTGGCATTTAATTCCATCTATCACGCACTCGACTCCACTCCTTGAGGATTTAGGTTGGCCTAGGTAGCTACCTGCTAGAAAGAATCAACAAACTAACATATTAATTTATAGATTGACACTCAAGATACGTAGGACCCGCCGACCACAACAAACACGGCCACCTCCGTGAGGCAAGCTCTTGACTAGTAGCAGGATGGGCATGCAAATCATTGGGTATCTTATTCATGTTGCCGCAGTCACCACAGTGCGCGAAGCTAGGTAGGCGTGTATGATTGAATTGGGATTCATAGCGCGAGTGTAACGACCTACCTGACTAAGTCAGACTGTGTCCTGACTATCTATGTATCTATCAATCTATGAAAGAATGCTGACGACTAGCCGCAAATCATATTCGTGCCTGCAGCCTCCCGGGGAGTATATGACAGTCGATAGATTATAGAACGAGTCTCGATGTGATAAATTGTGCCTCCACGATCAAAAGCGTTTATGTGCAGCTGACCCCATAATATGAATGTTTGTGCGCAAATTTGTTTCATTCTTTCAAGATAAATATCCTTTTTTTTACATCCATCCTAGGTAGTTGCATGGGCATAGTGACCATGCGAAATGAGTAGCGGCTCATACCCGTAGGAAAGAGCCAGATGCTACTCGCAGTTCTTGCTGACAGACTAGCTATCAATTTTAGTTTAGTGCAACCCCTCCCATTGTGTGTAACTTACTAAGAAGATGGACGGCATGTATGAACAGAGCAAAATTGATTCAGGGACTCTTTTTTTCTGTACATGTATACACAACTGTCGATCAATGCCAGTACTTACATGCTCTTTTCATGGCAGAACCTAACAAAAATCTAACATGAGCTACCCTATGCATTTACGCATCCCGCATGATCCCGATTCCCAAGAAGCAAGCTTGATTCTACAAGTACACGCTCTCACGTCAAGCGGGGGTGCCTCTGCACTCTCTCCCAAGAAACATTTCGAGTTTGCGATGGTAGGTACGTAGACTATCCTAGAAGGAACCTCGCAGGCGCATCGCTTTGTTCGTTGATTGTAGCAGGAGATCGACCCATCCACTTTTATCTATGAGTTTGTTTCCCCCAGTGTGTGCCCCAAATAGAGGCTCTGGCTGGTCTAGTGGAATGTGCGCGAGCAAGGAGGTCGCTCATTCAAATAACTCGATAGGAGAGAAGAGGCGAAAGAGAGACGCCAACTTTTATGACAGAGAGAATAAACGACCTGTAAAAGTGTCCTTTTCGTCAGTGTATGTTTTGTTAGAATTCAGATAAGCGAGGAGAGTGAAAACCACGACCACTCACGAGAGAAAATGTGAGTGAAAGCGAAGGAGCAGCAAAATTGTTTACCCATGTCTCTATGTGGGTACCTCTACAGCTTACTTCTGAAAGTAAGTGGCTCTATAGATTGACAACTGGCCTTTCTCTGTCCAACCAATGTGACAGACTGACAGCACTTCTTTACATACATACTGAGAATGAGCGTCTTATGAATTCGCACGACAATGCATATAACGCAAGCTAGTGTCGCTGAGTACGACGATCAATGAGCTTTTTAAGTCAAATTATCAACAAAAGAAAATGGCGCCTTGCTGAGCCAACGACGGACACGCGACCAACGACCTACAACTCCGCGGCGGTGCACAGGCGCGATGCGACGATGGGTTCATTAAGGCTGCTAGTTCAGATGAATTCGATTCATGCACTCACTCATAAGTAGATATCAATGAATGCGGCGACCTATTACTTCCTGACAAAAAAAATGCAGGCTGTCACAAATCCCAACTCTGACTAATTTGTCAGCTCTACCCCCTCTATGTGACTATGTGTAGCCTACTTAGTTCTATATCAAGCGATTGTATAAATAATGGGGTCAGTTCGTGAATAATGCTGCTTGCCAGTCCCGACAAAAAGAGCCGTGGGTGGGGGGAAGCCACCGAGCAGCTAAGTTCATTCTGCTTATTGACAGAGAGTCCTCATGTTCTTCAAACCCCACTAGTTTGCTCTTCAAGCCACACCAGGCGCAGAGTAGGCACGATGTTTTTATATAAGCTCCATGTCCATCGTATTCATTGGCTTCATTCCCCCTTGTCCTTGCGACTCCGATTGTGAAAAGCATAGAGTTAGGAGCTTCAGTCAGCTTCTCGCTGAAGACGATGAATGTAACCCATGACAACTTGCTCCGCAGGAAGTAAGAACTAAGTAAAAAAACAGACCTGAGTGGAGACATGCGCCTTGTTGGTTCACCCGTGAACTCAATACCAAGCAACACAGACATGTGATTGGAGAAAGGTCGCTGCAGTATTTTTGTCCGTTCTGCTACAAAATTAAAAGATATTAGTTTTACACGCAGATATAAACTCATGCTCGTATCTATCTACCCCATGAGACTTGCTACAGGTAACTAAAAGGAGACCCTTCGCCCTTTCTCAATTTTTTTAGATCAATAGCCAAGTTCTGCAGAATGCCCGGCAACAACTATGATTTATAAATATGCTTTCTTCGTGTCGTTCTATCCCGTGTTTTGTCAACGTTAATATCTGTACGGTAGTATTTTTTTTTAACATTCAAAAAAGACCCTTACTGAACCTCTACAGGAACACTGATAAATAAGAAGCTTTTGCCTAGATACATTTTCGCATCTTACTGCTACTTTCTTCCTGCGACTCTCATAGTATTTGGTTTTTACGGCTGAGCGATTGGGTGTGGGAGAGACGCTGCATCTATAGGTTAAGACGTCTACTCTTTTCAATGTGCCCTGCAGTTGATCCATATTAAATAGTCTGAGTTCTAGTTGAAGATAGGAAAAAGAGTGAGTAGGCAGGGACCCTGTACCCCGTAGTGAACTAAGCAGGTGCAGCCACGTGCTACTCCCTCAGTGAACTATTCTGATTGTCAATCATTATTGATGTAAGCAAGAAACATAGATATGGGCTCCATGTTTTTTAGACTAGTGCCTCGGTGGAGCCAACCTACCTCGCATAGGGATCAATGAGAGGGCAACTACCATAGTGGGCCGTATCTTGAATCGGGGTTGGTCGGCTAGTATTCTCTTTCACATAATTAAGGGGCGTGATAGTATCACTGACTAGACGCCCCTGCACAAGGTGACTGATCGAGTGTATTGCCTCATCACTCTAGATATATTGCGTTAGTTCCCGGTGGTATTCAGATTAACACTCTTTTCTTGAATACTTACTGGATATATAGGACTGCTTTCGCCTTTGCCTACATCAGTTACTTAAAGTAGAAAGAAAGAAGCTCGAATTCGCGTAATGCCCGGCTTCTTCCATGCCAGCTATGTGAGGAAGCCAGTCTATCTTCCAAAATCAGTCAAATCGGAATGATGGGCTGTATTGAGTTCGGCTAGATTTTCACAGGTTGGTCCCGAAGTTCCTCACCCGCAGACAAACTAGACACTTTCATCCGGGGAAAAACTTGCGAGCCCTCTCAATTTGTTTAGCTACAGCAATTCAATTTCCACGAGTCGAGATCTTTATCACCTAAAAAGAGAAGGAATGCTGAGCAGAAGCCAGAGTGAGGAGCTTGTTCTGGAAGAGTATTTATTTACGAGAGTGGAATATTCCTCCAGGAGATGAGAAGTTTTCTACCTCAGTGAGAGACGCTGGCGAAGGAATGGCTCATGCTGTTTATCAAAGGAAGTAACTATCGCGCATGTCACCACTGAACATGCAATATATAAGGACGAGCGCCCACGTACCTATGGAGGGGCAACAAGGCCGAAGATAGATGGCTAGCTATCGAAGTGCAATTGCATGGATATATAGGTGAGCTAACTATCTATCAATATCAATCTTCCTCCACTCCTTTGCAGGCTGAACTCTATGAGAGGTAGGAGGCTTGCTGGAGAAAGACTGGACCTCCGATTCAACTCTACAAAGACACTCGTAGCAAAAGACGTTGAAACTCCACAAAGTGTGAGGTAGGGGTAGAAAATTGAAGCAAGGTCTTTCAAAGCGATATGTAGTTTATTGAACTAATCATACTACTACGCCAAAACTATAACTAAGTCGGTTGACTATGTAAGTATTCTCTTGCGCGACGCGGTCTTAGTTATCATCTACGCGCATCCATAGACAATTTGTCACGATCCTCAGTTCATGCGAGTTGACAGACGCAGGCAAAAAAAATCATCAAAGATCAACTTATTCGGTCTGCAGAGGGAAGTGGTGGAATAGTTGTAAATAAATAGTCAATCCAGATCATAAATATTAGTATGGAAAGGAAACGTAGGGTCGGACAGTCCTGGCCTAAACCCTAGCTAGTTCAAAAAGTGTAGAAAGGAAAAATCTCTGTCGGTGCAAAGAAATAATGAAACCGCCTACACCTAGTACGTAGTAATCGATAAGTTACCACATTTTGTCTGGGATACCAGACTCCTCGTCCTCTTGCCTCAGACGATCAGGCATACTATCCTCCCCATACATAGGCTCGTCTTCTTCGTCATCTTCTTCTTCCTGATTAGCCTCATCAGCTTCAAGCATTGCGTTCTTTTCTTCACTGACTTGCGCCTGTTGGTTGGCGGTCTGGTCTGTGGACCCGCGAGCCGAAGCCCGGCGAAGAAGAATTCGATCATTGAAACTAGATGGGATGATGCCTTCTTCCTCCACTTCTTCTTCAACTGTTGCGTGTTTTGAAGATGAAGAACTCCCTCTATTAGCTGGTGGCGTCGTCTTGTCCTTGCTGGTTGTTTTCTGTTTCTTAGCAGGAGGATGGTCTTCTTCGTCTACAGCTGCATGCTCCTGTTCTCGCTCCTGATCCTGTTGCTTCTTGCTCTTGTTCACGAGAGCAAAAATGCCCATAGGTTCACTCTGTTCTCCGCCCTTTGCTTTACGACCTCGCTTTTTCGGCGCGGGCCCGGACTTCGCCTTTGCTTTGCCCTTTGGAGTAGATTTGGCGTGCGTGAGACTGTTCCTGGAACCGACGGAGCCTGTACCACGTTCCTGTGAAGATGTGCTGTCCTTGGATTTCGCCCTTTTTCCTTTCCCTTTGCCTTTCCTCTTGCCTTTGCCATTACCACTACGGCGGCACATCTCCTTTTCCTGCTCGTCTTCCACAACGATTTTGGTCTGGCCAGGTGTCTCAGCAGCGGCACTCGGGTCTACGTCCTCGGCAACACAGTATGAGAGTGAGAGAACGACGGATCCGAAAGTAAAGTCTTGCCGTCGTAGACAAAGAGGCGAGGGCCTCTCCCCTCAATGTAAGTGTGTGGGCACCTCTGTATACGGAATTTATGAGATGTCCTAGGTTCTAGTTGACAACGAAAATGGGCAGCCAAGCCTTAGTTTCGTTTTTCGACATATTCATCTACAAAAAGAAAGTAAATGTTTAGAATGACGCTGGTACTGAGCTGGGTCTGAGTGACAATCCGTAGCCTGACTGAGTAATTTAGGACGTCTTGGCTACAACTATTTATAATAAGTTAATGAATTGTCCTCATCTAGCAAGCCATAAATTCGCCTGGTGATTGGTCCGTGTTGTCATCGGTAGAGCGTCCTTCTCCAAGCTGCCGCCGACTTCACAATTGGCATCGCCTGCAGGTTCTCCCTCTTTATCGCCTTCACTTTCCTCAGCACCTTCTGGGATAGGAGGCAGGTTTCTCCGCACCGTCGTAAGGTTCAGCTCGGGCATCATCTGCAGTCTTGCATTTGGTTCCTGGCTCAGGTTGTTGTAGTTCATGGCTAAAGAGTGCGACTGCTGTTCTTGTTGTAGTTGCAGCTGGTCCTGGATAGGATTGATAGTTGTTGTGGTGGTGGTGGTGCTAGGTGATTTTGCGTCTTCAGAGGACTTCCCATGAGCTGTTTCCGCAGCCGGCGCGGTAATGGGAGTCTCTTGCTGATGTGTCGAGCATGCAATTCCAGATGCCTCCTCGTTTCCAGATGAGGAGCTTTGCTTTCCGTCTTTCCACAGCCGTGTCAGCAGCTCGTCATCTTGGCACACATGTTCAAAGTAGCTGTGCTTTTCGCAGAACTTGTGCTCCTGTTCACTCATCGCCATTTCTCCACGAAGGTGCTTCTCGGCTACAGTCAGCCAGTAAAGATCCATGTTCTGAACGAACATCTTTCGGATTTCAGACGTCCGCTTTTCAGGGTCTTCTAGGTGACTCCAGGTCGTGATGGCCTCCTCCGCAAGTTCGTGCAAGTACGCAAAAAACTTGACGGGGAGGTCCTCTCCCTCGTGCCCTTCCGGGTTGTTCTCCGACGCGTGGGTTTTCGGAACGACGCCATTTTTGAAGCAGTACTCCATATAGGTGAGCTGGACTACTCGCCTAGTCGAGATGAGGTTGCTAAACTTACAAGAGAGAAACCAGTCATCCATCATCCAAGGAAAGTGGAAGACCGAAATGGGGGTGTGCAGCTGCTGTGGACCAATGCCAGCTGCTCGCCACTCGTAATTCTTCTTCGTGCGAGCAGTCGAAGTGGACTGAGAGTCCTTCTGTGCCTTCTTTTTAGTTCCTTTCTTTGTTGTAGTCTGTTCAGATGATGGAGATTTTTCCTTGACTTGAGCAACAGCCGAGCCTTGCGCGTTGCGTTCTCCTTCAGTTTTGCGCGCCTGAGAAGTGACAGCATTACTTACTGTAGAAGAAGTTGAGGAAAGGTGCTGGCTAGCATTAGAACTGTAGTTGATGCCAGTGGTAGCGGCAGCAGGGTCTGCTGGTGGAGTGTTGCCTTGAAGTTCATGCTCATTATCGAACGCGAAATCATCCAAACTAAGACTGCCAGCAAAGTCTTCCTCGTCGGCCTTTTCGAACTCGTCCGCAGGATCGAACATGTCGTCTCCGGCACCCTGCTCTTCTTGCTGGTCGTCATTGCTGAATTAGGTAATGATGTATTTGGATTGAGTTCATATAGCAGCACCCTAGATACAATAAGGGAAACGCAAGTAACTGAGTATCTCTTTGCTTAAGTAGCCAGTTGATGCATGGCAGCATGGAAATCGACTAAGTGTAATTTTGCTTGTCAATAAGTACCTCTGATCAAAGGCAGTCTCGTTCTTCTCGATCTCATCGTCTTCGCCTTCTCCTGGGTTGTTAAAATCTCGTAGAAGATCACTCCTCCGCTTGCTAAAGCCGATCGTTTCCGAGTCTCCCGTCGTGTTGCGCTTGCTGGTAGTGCTAGATGTGGAACCGGCAGGCAGCACTCCCATTCCCCGACTATGGAAAAACCCATCTAGTTCGGCTTCCTGCGCATCCTCATCGTCCATTTCCAAGCGAAACAGATTATCCCCGCGCTTTGACGTTTCTATGACCATATCCTGGCCCCCGATGTCACCGTTAGCCAGAGGTTGCAAGTCGCCGGCGCTGGCGAGTTGCAAAGCTTCTTGCTTGGCTTAATTTTAGAAGTAACAGGTATTGCATAAATACACTTTCACGCTTCGTGTTGCTGTCTGCATACTTACCTATGAATCTAGAAGCAGGCGAAAGTGATGGAAAAACAGACGTCATGCCTTAATCTCTTTCCTTTAGACTTTTAATTCTCTTGGCTGCGTTCGCTGCAGCCTGTGGATGGGGAATAAGACACATAGGATGAGAGATTAGGTTTCATCACATGAGATGATATAGGTGCAGTAGGTAGATACATGATAGAAGAGGGTATAGAAAGATGTGCTACGAGGAGACCGAGGCACGACACTAGTGACTACAAACCAGCACCAGATAAATGAAGATAGAACGACCAATCGATACAGGGAGAGAGTAGCTTGATAGTTTGCTGATCTCAACAGCATACTAATAAATCAAAACATAAGGTGCCTTTTCTGCCTGCGCCGTAGCTTTCTCACCTTTCTTGTGTGCTTTGAGAATTTCCACGCTTGTTTGAAGTTCCTCCTCTCTCTTCTTCTTGTCTAGTTTTACCTCAACCGCCAATTGCTTTGCCCCGGCCTCTTCAATCCGCTGATCCAGTTTGTCGACAGCGTCTTGATCTAGTAGAGGCTTCTGCTTGGCAGTGACCCAAGGTTTGAGAATAGTCCACTTCGCGATAGCGTGACTAAGATAAGAGCTCGTTCCTGATACATAGTGAGTGAGGTCATGAAGAAGTCAGTAGGTCGGAAAATTCGAGCACTACGTGAATTGCCGAGAGGCATTTTTTTTCAACCGAAAAAAAAAACGTGGTGTCTGTAAACAAAGGTCTCAAAGGAGGACAAGGTTGCTGTAGTCATGCTCTATCGGATAGAGAGTAAAGAAATTCAATATATAACAGAGTGTGACTGCTAGGGTGCAGCATCCATCGGGTCAGTACACGAAAAGACAAGAGATTGATTTTTCTCGCGCCTATGAGTGGCGACTGGGGAAACGAAAAGGAAGGGTCTATCTTACCTGTCAGATCATACGCGTCCAGGTTTTCTTTGATTTGCCGCAGTCTGTTTTAGAAGGAGTTTGCAATCTATTCACGGCTTGCCTGTTTGGCCCCATCCTGTTGGTTTCTGTTATACTTTTCCATTCAATTGAGTACGGAAAAACGCACAGAAAACAGCGGGAACCATGAAGATAGAATGCTTTAGAGGGCCGCAACTGTCTCCAGTATTGGAAAACTGGTAATACTCGAGGGCTCGAAATCCAATGCCTTCAGAGTAGTCTCGTGTTAGAGAAAAGCACAACTCTATTGGTGGTTACCACTGCGACTCCCGATGGATGCCTCTACTAATTACTGATCACACATTTCCCCTTTCTCCCTCTTATACATACGCAAAAGGTGCGACTTTTTCCCACAAGGATGGACTGTTCTAAGTAACGAACAAATGAAAAGAGAACATTACTAGAAAACTTAACAGCCTTAAATTCTTATCGTGGTTTTTATTGATCGCCCATTGGATCTGAGTGCGGGGTGATTTTTGTACAATGATAATATTCCTGCGCGTGTGTGTGTGTGTGTCTGTACTTATATCTATATATATATATGTATATATATATATATGGACGATGCCAGTGGGTGTTCGGTTTCCATATAGCGAGAAAATCAAAAGAAGCAAGACGTTGGCTATGATGTGACAGACTGAAAACAGTACGCCTTGCTTTAATAAATGGACATAAACACTGGTGGGAATTCAGTTATCAAATCGTTGGGAGTGGGTCGTACTGCTTAAAAATGAACCCAAATACCTTCTCCAGACGTCGCTGTATCACATCTGGACCATGTTCGGTCAGGTCATTGTTTTCCAACCATTCCTCCTGGAGTTCCACGATGAGGTCGCGATCCCACTCGCCCACAAATCGATCCAAGAAAGCATGGCAAAGTGCTTCTTTCTCATCTGCTTCCTTGCGAACTAAATCGATCAGCTTCTTTGCTTTCATTAGAGTGAGGGGGACGGTGGATAGGAACAATCCACTGCGGGAAATCCGTAAGAGAAGCAAACCTGCATACGCAGCCGCCTGCTAGGTTTCATAGTTGTTGATCTTCATAGCCATGAACAAACAACACATCACTGATGAAGGGCCTTCTTGGTGACTGTGGCCTCCATGTAATTCCAAACCAGTCTTAACTTGAGCGGGCGCCCCTTCTTCAATACAGCTACGACTCCGGAAACATTAGAGCAGAACACTCCTCCAGAGGGAAAAAAAGTGACAGAGAGTGCGTTGCTGAGCATTATTTACGGGGCTGTAAAATAAAAAATCTCTGGAGGTTTCTGTGCGAGGAGCTAGGACTTCGCTTTTGCAGGAGAGGGGCAGGGAGTTCCTAGTTTTTTGAAGAAGTAATGCGTTGGAAACCAACAAAGGCAATTGTAGAATTCTTGATGATAGACCATAAGAGTGAGGCTCTTCTTTCGGTGGAAGCAGCTCTGCTTCGCAAGAGAATTGACCTCGCGCATGTACTGGCACATCGGATACGAACTTTAGAGACTGACAAAGCAACTGCGTTTCACCGCTCGGGTGGAAGAGAGCTGTCGCCAGGCAGTGACACTTCAAGAAAGAAAAGAGTGAGTTCTTGTGGGATGAGGGGTCTATACTAAAACCAGTACTCATTGGTAAGAAATGCGCGGTCTAGTCAGGTGAGGCACTAGTTTGTAAGGAAGAGTAAGTTAGTAGAAGTGAATGTGTTGACAAGTAAAAAAAGGAGTCATCCCCTATACATGAAGTTCTTGCGCTAGCTACTGGGAAAGTGCATCGATATAGATACTAGAACTGTGCGAACTATAAAGAAGGTCTTCATAATTCTGCTTCATTACTTGGGGCATTTCTATTGGCTGCGGCCACCTGTGAGTGAGTGTGAGTATTTATGAGTCCAGCAGCTGCTTGCCGCGAAACTAACGAGTTAGCCAGTGCGTAGGCTCCTGGCTCTAGGTAGGTCAAGAACAAGGCTAGGTGGAGGAAGCATACGTCATCTAGAAAAGTGAGACCTTTATTTCGTGTGAGGATGGGAATAACAATGACTAGATAAAATAGAAGATGCCCGTCTACTGTCAGAGAGATGCAGGTTCTACAAGACCAAAAATCCCAAAATCAACAAAAAGCGAGAAAATGAACAGAGATAGAATACTTTTCCCAAATGTATTCCATGACCCTGCCGTACATCGCTGGGCCGTGCGTGTAAGTGCCCAGCATCTTCGTGTCGAAGTCACTGACTGCTTCCTCCAGCAGGGAAGTGGGCACTTGCCTATTCTTGTTATCGTGTGCCTCAACGGCGTCTGCAACGTCCTCCTGATACCGTTTGATGTCGTCGATCTTCGCACAAGTCTCCCGAAAATGCTCGGTGCCGGTGTTGACTGAGTCGATTTTTGCAGCGATGGACTCGAAGCACTTCCAGACTGGTAGCCAAACGCCAGTCATTGCGTTCTGCACCCTCTGGCCAGGAATAATCGGCTCTCTGACAGCGCCCAGCTGGAGATCTCCAACTCGCACACTGTTGTCGCCTTTGGCTACGTTGTTGACGTCATTCGTCTCTTCCATAACCTGGCCAGACTTGATATAGTTGTGGGCATCGATCACGTAGGTCAAAAAAGTCGCGAGATGAGCAACGTTTTCAACCTTGGGCAGTGGATCAGGATTATCTGCAGGGTAGCGTAGCTCCCCCTTGCCAGCCGCAGTGAGCAAATCCAAGAAGTCCGAATTCCTGGAGTGTCGTGATAGAAGAAACCCCCACACCCTATAAAGAAGTTGTATATGAAACAAGTTGTCGTACCAGGTAGAAAGATGCCAAAGCATGGTAAATCAATGCTGAATGGAATTTGGAGAAGAGTTGTTGAAAGAACAAAGAGTTTCGTTTTATGTATATACATTTCCAGCCAACAAGAAGCGTTCTTGCCGATTTCCTGCGCAAGAAGTGGCCCCAGATGTCCGTGGAGCTGGGGCAATAAGCATGCCTGTTCGATCCAAGTGGTTCCGTGGTCCTCCTCAAACTTCGTGGGCTTCGGAGTTTTTCCCTGAAACAGAAGGAAGTAGGGAAAAGTGAGTTTTTTAAAGTACTGAGACTACCACGGAAGGATCAGCATGTCTTTACCGAACAAAAGATAAAAGAAACCACGTCCATCTTCACTAGGAAGACCGCTGTCACCGTGCGAAAGCTAATGATGGGACTCAATGTATTGAGAATTTTATACTCATACGGCACAAGTTTAATAGAAAGCATACAAGTACAATTATCAGCTTTGTCTCCTCTGGGGTAAGTGGAATAATTGGAGGGGTCGTGAGGATGCTATTGAGCTTCGACGCAGTCAAATGAGCTCCTTTCTTCAGGTTCTGGAGGCCTGGCCGCACTCTACTGAGAGTCTCTCGCTGCTCTGGTAGTAATTGGATGTTCTTAGTGTTAGCTCCTGCTTGGCCGAATGTGACCTCCACCGCTTCGCCCTGTGCGTTGGACACAGTTGCTGTGATCGTCCTATTCTGCTGCAAAGCCTGGCTCTCTTGCCACCCCTTCCATAACGGCTCAAACTTGCCTGTCATGAAGTGCTCCCTTGAGCACTTCGTATGATTTTTGAAGTGCTGCATGCACACATCCGCTACAGATTTTACCCAGGAGGAGTCAGCTCTACAGGTGTTGGTGAGCCACGGGACCGAGCGAATCTTATCATTCACGTACTCCTTGAACTCGCGTCGCCCGGTGCCTGCTCCTTGTGTGGAGCTGGACAAAAGGGCTTTCGCTTGCGCAGGTCCAGATCCTGTAGCTTGTAGGATTCTTGATTTCTTCTTGGCTGTAGGACGAGAGATGGGAGGGCAGATATTTGAGTAGTTGTACTTTCCAGGAGAGGCGGTGCGTTCTCGACCGGGAGAAGCAACATTGAATGTTGCACTTCTAGTTGTGGAGGACGTTGCAGGCTGCTTGCCTGCAGGCTTGTTGCCCGAAGAGCTAGAACTTGGCGACATTTTCTGGTGGAGGCTATCTTAGTGCCAAGAGCAGACTTTTCAATAGATAAACGGGCTTTCGATACTAGGGAGAGATAGAAGCTAGGTTGTTCAATTCGTAATGTTATTTACTTACTGCTGAGTAGGTAGGGGAGACGCTATTTCAAATGGCCTAACTAGTTTACAACGAGCTAAGACGGCGATAGGAATTGAGTCTGTGTGTAGGAATGCTGTTACTTACAAGCCGAGCGTTTATGAAAGCTATCTGAATGCTGGCAGTGCTGAGGGATGCCATCCATGCAAATAACACACGATGAGTGAGGCGATGAGTAAGTAATATTCCGTGTTCATTTTAGTCTTCTGATGCGTGGGAATTTGGGTGGAACGCTGGCGCTTCTTACCTGTATCAATTCTGGCTGTATGCACTCTTTTTAACTATTCTAAATCTTATAGATAAATATACTCAATGCTGCAGCCTTTGTTTCGCATCAACTGGCCATCGAAACGACCAGCGCGATAGTATCAGTCAATCTCAATAAATAGATTAGAAGGGTTATTATTGGACTGAGAGTCACGACTTGAGTGTACCAGAAATAAGCTCAGTGGTGTTGACCTTCGTGAGTTGATCTTTTTGTTTCAAGTTTTTTATTTAGAAGCGTGCGTCTGTGAGTCTACTAGTATCGACTAGGTGAGGCTTATTTAGCTATTCTCTGTCTTCGTTCTTCGATGTGGATGTCGTTATATCTTAATGCATCAATAGTAATAGAATGGAGATCGAAATCAAAGAAATCAATGCCAGGACTCGCAAAATTGAAGTAATGAAGTTGATACTTGAATAGAAAGCAGCGAGGTAGTACTTATTTTCAGTGAATCAAAGTGGTGCGGTGACCCTACAGGAAGACAAGGACTCCCGTTTATGGTGGGTATAAAAGGATGGTGATCAGGTGTGATAGATACTACGCCAGGAGTTCTGTGGTGCCTAAGAAATATGACAGAGATGCTTCCTATCTATTAATCGCGCCCCAAGCTGATTGCTGACTGGTAGAGACTTTGAGGCTTTTATAATATAATGCGTGTAGCGGCAATTTCTTATGTGAGTAGCAGATGGCTATCTTCTAGTAGGACGGAAAGAGTTGGAGGCACTGTTCTATGAAAACAAGATGAGGCAGTCCGCAATACCTTCGATGGAACACTACTCGAGAGGACGCCTAAGCTCCAATAGATGTGCGTTTTAAGCGGTTTAGTTTTTAAGAAGCCATCGGTCAGTAACAGTCAACAACTATATAAGCAACGAACAACGAGGCTCGACTGTGGTGTTTGTTTATCTATCTATAGCGTGTCATGCACGGCAAAGAAAATCTAGTCCCAGTAGGGTTACTAACTAGAAGAGTTCAGTAGTCAAGCTGTGGCTTAGGCAGTGTCTATTTCGCAAGCCGGGAGAGAGTAACGCTAGGTAAGACTAGCAGACGTGAAGATAATCGGGTAAGAACTCAATAGAGCCTCTCATCTATAAGTCCCTTGATCGGTCGAAAATGAAGCAAGCAAAGAAATGCCTACTCTCAGCTCCTTCTAGATTTAGTCAGAAATCTATGCTACTCAGCCGATGAGGGTGCTGAATTTAATAAACTAGCAGGTAAGTCAAGTTCTGAAGAAGCTTGTAGCTAATGCACAAAGCAGAGGCTTACTTTAATGCTGAAATAGCGTGGCAGTGGTTTAGTGAAGCTAGGCTTCCCTGTTTCTCTCTTTTTCCTTGTTTCCTAAATTGAATTGCTGTGGAGGTGAGTGAGAAGATCGAGAAAGAGAAGTAACGGAGTCACGCTGTGTCCTTTGAGCGATACTGAGTTACATTCCTACAAGAAGACTGATGACGAGGCTCGGCGCAACAACTACTCAGGACAAAATTGGAGACCGCCGCGCCCGAAGACTGCCGACGGCGGAGAATCTTGGCGAAAAGTTGCCGGGGCTCACGCGCGCCGCTTTCACGCCTGTCCACTTCGCGCGGCGTCTGCTAAGCCTCTGAAAGCAGAGCCGACAGAACCAACACACGACCAGCCCGGTCACTGCACTGAGAGCACCACAAGCCAACGAGCCAGCCTGCGACGCAGCCGCCCGACAAATTCCCAAACAAATGCACAGCCCAAAAGGCTGCACAGCTCTGGAGAGAGAAACAGAAAGACCACACAAAGCAGACACAGAAGACGCGGAGTCTTATGCGCTCCCGCTGCAATTTGTCGCGAGTTTGTTCTTGGCGGTTCATTTTCATGTCTTCATCAAAAAAACATGGAAGACGAAAACTTCAGAATCTTCGCGAAATGTTTGCGGAAAGTTTACAAGTCTTGACCATGTTGGAACTTCATGCGTCTATCTTTTCGGAAAGATTCCGCGAAGATTTTTCAAAGATTTCGCGAACTTTTCGCCAAGATTTTTTTTTTTCTAAAGTGACAGAAGAGACGGGAAGCCGCTGGAGGTGTTCAAGCGGGGAAAGATGGCCGCCGCCGGCTTATGGTGACACTGCTCCCCCGCCTGCGTTTCCCCTGTCCTCCGCCCCGGTGTCCTACGCTTCAGGGGGCTCACACAACCGCGCCACGCCTGCACCCGGGGCGGCGCCGATGCCAGCGGCATGCGAGCGGTCCACAACGAACCAGCGCCGGGGCTGCCACCAACGACGAAACACAGAACAAACGAAAAGCAGCGCCAGGCGCTTCGGCGCCTGGTTTGGCCTTTCAAGCAAAGAGACAACGAAGACCAGCCCCGGCAACTTTTCGCAAAGATTTCGCGCACGTCTTTCACATCGTCGCGGCGGTCTCCAAACAAAAAGCGAAACTGAGTCCGCTGGATAGGTACCCAAAAAAGTGGTTTACTGATTCATCGACGCATTCGTTTGATACATTGAGTAAAGACAAGAGACTTTCTGAAAAAAAAGACTATCTGAGCCTTCTGTCATAAGAAAAAACTCAAACGACGAAAAAAACACGATGAGGAAGCGACAGAGGTGTGCGTTAAAAACGAGGAAAAAGGACCGACTGGACGAACGTCGAAGCTACTGGCAAAAAAAACAACGACAGAGCGACTCTACGTCGTGCTATTGAATCGAAAGGGCGTCTCTCTTGTACTAGCTTCTTTGTGCGGCTCAGTCTCTCGTCGAAGTTTCGAAGGTTGTGTCACTCTTGCTCTAGGTTGCAGATCTCTATCCGAACTTCCATGTTTGCATCAGTATGGGACTCTCGGTGGTACCTTGAAGCCGCATTTTTCTTTGTTGCCTTGCTTCGAAGCACGACGTCCGACGTGCTGCTTGCTACCGTTCGACGATGGGCACAGGCAGAACTTCTCTCTCGAATGAAGTGTGGCCATAGACGGTCGCAGAGCCGAGGAACACTGAATCAGAAGGCTGAAAACAAACAGTGGTAGTGTAGTGACAAGAGGAAACGCGTATGCCTTGTGTGTGACTACGTACAGCCCGCTCTACTATAGATACAAGGCCCAGCTAGATCCGCAAAAATTTGATTTCATTTGCTAGCGCTAGATCTCTATTTTGTTTTCTTTCAGTAAAGAAGCAGACAGAGACAGCTTCCGCGTTTCGAGCTGCTCTCGGGCCATGTAGTTATATACTAACTGGATGCGTAGAATTACTCGATACCACGGCACAAGGCTTGGCAGCTTGATCCCGCTGCTGTGATCTGAGAACGACACGCTACTACACTTCTAAGGCTAGTGCTCTGAATTCAATAGTATCTATTGAGTGACTCAATATGTATTCCGGATTTATACTATTCCTACAAGATTCATTGTGCAGCATCTTTTCATATAATTTCTTGAGTGAAAGACTAAAAATCATTACGCAACCCTTTGAGCAAGTAACAGACTACGCACTCTGGTAGGGTTAATGAGATGCCGACGGAGACGCACGTGATAGACTATGTTAGCAGAAGCAGTTACTCCAAAGCCATCTGTTGGCCAATGAATTAGGTTGCGACGCGTTGTCATTCTTTCAATGAGTCAGTAGCCCACTCTGCTGCAGACGGAGGAACCCCTTTGCTGCAGAGTAGCTACCACTGGAATTGGATGGACCGATTGAGAAGCAGCCCGGGGCGGTAAGGGGGTCCAGGACAAGGCCTGGCCAACTGCGTGAACGACTTGGAGACCCCCAAACAAGGAGAAGAAAGAGCAAAAAGAAAGAGAAGGAGAAGGAAGGCCGGGCGTGGACCTGGATGGCCCGTCGGCCGGGTCGGCGCGGGCTGTGCAGAGATTGATAGGGGGAGAAGCGCGACCGGCCGTCGGGGCACTGGGTAGCGATCGGGAGAACCTTGGCCGCGCCTCGGCGTTGCCTGGCGCGCTTCAAGTGAGGTAGGGCTTAAGAACGAAGAAAACGCGGCCCCCTTCCTATGTGTCAATCTATTAACTCGGCCACCAGCTGCAGCCCTCAACTGGTCAGCCTAGTGAGTGGATTAGTCTGTGTCTGTGTGAGAGTGTCAGGGCCGACCCTGGTGAAGCAAGGCGGCGCCAATGGCTGCGGGCTCTTGCCTGGCCATGACAGCTAGCGGCCTGGCCTGCCTGCTCCCTCGTGTTTCTGGTCTTTTCGTTCAGCCACGCCCCCCGCGAGGCAGCGTAGCAGATTCGCTGGGGGCGTGGCTGCTACCTAAGGCAAAACCCAGGCGCCCTACCTATTGACTAGACTGATAAGAGGTGGCCGGCCTGTCCTTCCGAGAAACAACACAAAGACACACCCGCGCCACTTCCTGCCGCAACACTTGGCCCGTATTTCGCTGCGGGGAGGCGAGTCCGTCGGTGGGTCGGTGCAAACTAACTAGGCACAAGCGGGCGCGCGCGTCTAGCTGCGAGCGTGTGCATAAGCGTGGGCCGCTCTAGCATAATTGAGCACCGACCGGAACGGCCAGCCATCGAAAACAAAGGAAGAACCTGCAACATAGACAGGCACCGGCATCACCCTAGCAACCTAACACGAGGGGGCTTGATTACCTATAACGCTTACACTGAGGGCGAAGCTGCTGGGCCTTAATTTTCTTTGTGCGTCGCGTCGTGTATGAGTAAGCAGAGACACAGAGGCGCGCGCACTTTCATTCTGAGAGGGCAGAGCTGCGCGGCCTGCGAGCGTGCCCTCTGGCGGCTCCAGGTGTCTAGCTAGGTAAGCTAGCACCGACGAGGGACCAACCTGCGAGGAAGATGAGACGGCCGAAATGCGTGCCCGTGAGTCATCCTTTCTAATCTATCCAGAAAAGTTCACCGAGGTAGTACGCACATCAGACACGAACCCGGGGGATTGATTGCCGACAGGCTGGGCCAATGAATGCCGGCAAACAAACACACGCGAGCGCGCACGAAAATGCACACGCATCGGGGGCGGCCGAAGCTGCTGGCGCGCAAGATTTACTCGCATAGCACACACAGGCACGCAGTAAGCTATCAGCAAGCTCAGACACCGAGGGCGAAGCAGTCAGTAAACTCGGTGGACAAATGTGCGCGCGCGTCGGCCTATATTCGATAGCGCGCGCGCCTTGGAGTACCTACGCACGTACATACATCGAAGGCGAACGAAGCCCCTGCCTGCGTGTGTGTGTCTTTCTATCTACTGCCCCACACGCATGGCAACGCCCTAGGCGTGTAAGTTTTCTGGTCTACTTGCGTGGGCACTCTCTGACCTGCGCCAAGGAAGCACGTAAGAAAAGACACCCCCGCCCCGCAGGTGTTGCGCCGCGGCGTCATTCGTTTGCTTGTTTGTCTGTTTTGATTTGGGCGCCTTTCTGCGTGTTCACGCATGCCCAGCACCTTCACACCGCAGCGAACCGGCTTGCTGGATATAAGTGGCCTCCCTATCCATTCACTGGCAGGGGCACTCTGTCTATGCCCGTAGCATGTGCGCGAGCGTCTCTCATAGTATGTATGTTCCTAGATAAACACAGCCGCACCCCATGCGGTAGCTATAAATATGCCTACAGGCTGACGCCCGGCGCCTGGCTTTGTGTCTGTGGGTCCCGTGCGTCCGTCAGTCCGTCCACCGGCCTAGCTACAGCGCGCGCTTTCCAATCCGTCGGCCCGCGATAGGTACACACATAGACACGCAGGGCCGATGGGTCGATAGATACGCGGACACCCATAAACGCAGCCCCGAGCCTCAGTGAGGTAGTCTGTAAGTTGGATAATACCCACAGGCGCCGGGGGCGCCTTCGCTCCTTAGTTTCTACATGTTTACACGAGAACAAACACGCAGCGCCCTGCGTGTTGGTTATGCGCATAGAGTAACAGCAGACGCGCGTGCGTATATTTCTAAGCCCCACGCAAGTTAGTCCTACAGTACAGAACGGCCCAGACCGTACACGCGTAAGGCGTCGCGTGGTGGGTTTGCTAGTCAGTATGTAGCCGCCAGCCACCATCAGCAAAAGCATAGACGCGCAGCCTGCTGCTACTTAGTGAGTAACCGCGCCAGCTGTCTTAGAGTCACGCGATATAGATACGTAGGGGCCACGTGTGTCTGCTGTGTATAGATAGCGCGCGCGTAAGTAAATGAATAAGCGCCGACGTATTTGCATCTCTATGCGTATAAATATCCACACGCTATAAATATATATAGGCACTACGTGTGTGCGTGTGTATCTATATATACGCACGCGCGCGTAGTATATAGGTGCGCGCGTACTTATCAACGCGGATAGTGTGCGTGTATATAAGTGCGCGCATAATATGCGCGCGCTCTATATATTAGACACCCCGGAGCAAATGCGTGCAGTATATACTACACACCACGCCCCCCCGTGTGTTTCTATATATATACTTAGCACACACGTCGGCGCGTGTGCGTGTGTGCGTGTGTGTGTGTGTCTGTGTGCGTGTCTATATATATAAGCAAACACCCACGCACGCAAGTAAGTGC